CTTAATTTCGAATTTGACCCATTTCATCTAAGAAATTCTTTAAAACTTTTAATGGAACAAATCTTATTCCATGAACAAATTCAATCATCTTTTCAACATTACTATTATAATTTGAGAGAACTCTTTTAAAATTCAATCTGTTCCGTTGAAATCAGGGCTTCGGTCATTTATCCGCCTTTGGAAACAAAGAGTTCAATATTTTGGTGGACTTCACATTTTGGAACATTCACAAGTGTTTTTAAGATCACCGTAACTTTGAGAATGTGACCATCCATGCAAATGCCCAAGACCATGGTAAATGTATCTTATCATGTCCAGTAGTGAGCCCATCTTAGTGAGCCCATTTCAGTAGTGAGATCACTCTAAAAGTAATTTCAAATTTAAGCCCATGGGCTTAAATTAAAAAATCAAAACTGGGCTTAAATATGAGGATTCCCAGTATGATCGGATACCCGTGCTTCAAACAGTTCAAAATTACCATTGAGGTGTTCGGTAAGATAAATACGTTGTTCACTGGTCCCTCGGAGCCCATGGGTTGATGTACCCTTCGGGCCCAGGGAACATAAACAAACATCGAGGGTACATCAGTCCATATCCCCCCCCGAGACCAGTGTACAGTCAGTCATATAGTGTATGAATCATGTAAACTAAGTGGCCACTTCGAATCAGGCAGTTGTTGGCCACTTGCAGTTATCATCTTTCCTGTACAATGAATGTTTTTGTGATTCCATAAGTATTGTCTGACATTTCTCTGCATCTTCTACACACAGTCTGATAAAGGTGACTGAACGAGTGGATGGTTTCATCACTAGGTGGGGACAGCAGTCACAACTCAACGAGGAGAATCATAAACAACTAAAAGTCTACATATATTTATTGAAAATAGAACAGGTGTAAACATACAAGTTGGTAAATAGATGACACAGAAGCATAATCCCCACATACATGTGTAATAAAACAGTTATAACACCTGCTGCCTGGTTATAAACACAAAACTGTCAGACACCTGCCAACACACACCACACAAACAACTTCCCTGAAGACACCTGAATGACACCAAGGTGTCAACACTTAATCTTCAGATTTCAGACAAACATCAAAATATAAATAACATTCAATATCTTATTTTCATAATCAATATAAATAAATCTTAAACTTGTCCATGTACATATTTTCAAAAATGTGTGGAATTGAAGATGTTATGCCTCATGTAAAGCCTCCTACATGAAGTACATCATTGGTCAAATCTGTTATACCATTGACAATGACTTAATCTTCAACATTTGTGTTGACAGAAGTAAATATGATGGAATTCTTTGTTAGATGTAAGTGGAAATGAATTATACTACCCCCTTCATTTCAGTTCAAGACTAATTATCATGGTGTTCAGTTTGGTAAACATATGATCCTAAACAAACTGTCAACACATGTAGAGCTCAGGAATGGACATATATAGTGAGCATCTCTTCAACACAGGCATCACCAAGAATGGGGGACACATTGTGGGGGACATGTGTCTAACAAGCTGATGCTGTAACCACTATGCTACCCCTCTGCAAACATGACTTTATGGGGCAGATAACTCTGACTATAGGGACACTAACGAGCAGATAACTCTGTCAGGGAAATATCAATGCATGTTGAAGGCTGACTGCTGACTGTCTCGCATCATATAAAAAACCCACTAGGGGCAATACAGGAGATTATCAGTAATAAAAAAAGTCAGTTACAACTAAAAAGAATATAATCATGAAGTCCACAGTAAACAATCCCTGGAAGGAGTGGTATCCCACCCTGACTACAGTAGAAATGTAATGACTCCTGTAATACTATTGTTCATTACCTAGATATAAACACTAAAACAAAGGAACACCAGAATGTGGCAACATATTGTATCTTGTAATACTATCTTCCAACAACTAACATATGGAAAGCATAAAAAGATTCTAAAATACAATGGCTGGAGGTAGTGGTGATGATCTGGCATATATTATGTCCTGAGAGTGGTCAATATCTTAACTGCATCACTGAAGTCATTTATGATTTCAACATTTTGTTTAGTCCAATTGACTGGAAAAAAGAAAATGAAACCAGTTATTTAGCATCTGAATAGTGACTGCAGGTATAGGATGCCACTCAGCTTTCTCAGCACAAATACCTGCCAGCACCCCCATCTATCTACAGAGTCAACAGTTGGAGGTATATATTACACTACCCAAAAGACGTTCAGGAATACCTGATTTATCATTGGTTGCAGTCATGTAAAATACTTGAGCATATGTTCTGACTATGAAGCAAACTACACAAACAGTATGATAGTTACATAGTTCCTGGACTTCATCCAGCTGCAGCAAAACATTGACGATCTGGACGGAGGACTTCTTAATGATCCACCACTATAGGCTTATGCATATCACAATTTCAATTGACCCACTAAGTGTCTTTTAAAATAAAATACATCAACAGATTTAAAACTCTGAGACTAGCTAAGGAGTTGTATACAAATTAATAACAAGCGTTCACATGTACATATGTCAATAAACAAAAGGGTGAGTTTCAATTTTAGCATCCAAATATCATTCTTAAGACTCCTTCCATTTGAAAACAGTAATAATCTTAGATGTAAAATGGACAGCGGTCTTGGAGATATTGCTTGATAACACCCAAACAATACTTCCTGTGGAAGACAGGTGTGGATGATAACTGTTGTTATTCCCATCTGTAGATGTTGATGGTGAGAAGGACTGCAGCTGTTCACCACTGTTGGTGAGGAAGTCTGTACACTATAGAGCATGATGAGACATTAAGCATGACTAGAAGTATTCTGTGGTTTATAAACACTGAAGTATTTTCCACATCACTAAAGCAAAGAGGTACATAATGTAAAATATATAATATAAGGGACCGTTCACAATTTATGGTGTGTGTGTGATGATTTTTATGGAGAAGAATGTGAAATGTGAATCTCCCCACCCCCCCCCAATTTATCTACAAAGTAAGTGATCCCCGCCACTACATGTCATGTACAAAATCAATGACTCCTCCCCTTTCCATAATGTTTAAGCATAATAATATTTTTATGTACATATAATAGCTGAACAACCCCCTCGTACATGTGTACAAAATTGCTGACCATGCCCCCACCCCCACCCCCTTCACATGTGTACAAAATTGCTGACCATGCCCCCACCCCCTACATGTGTACAAAATTGCTGACCAAGCCCCCATCCCCACATGTGTACAAAATTGCTGACCATGCCCCCAACCCCACACATGTGTACAAAATTGCTGACCATGCCCCCACCCCCACACACATGTGTACAAAATTGCTGACCAAGCCCCCCCCACCCCCACACATGTGTACAAAATTGCTGACCATGCCCCCAACCCCACATGTGTACAAAATTGCTGTCCATGCCCCCACCCCCACCCCCTACATGTGTACAAAATTGCTGACCAAGCCCCCACCCCTACATGTGTACAAAATTGCTGACCATGCCCCCAACCCCACACATGTGTACAAAATTGCTGACCATGCCCCCACCCCCACACACATCCGTACAAAATTGCTGACCAAGCCCCCACCCCCACACATGTTTACAAAATTGCTGACCATGCCTCTACCCTCAACCCTAGCCATAAATTATGAACAGTCCCTAACTCTCTTGGGGAAACCAGTACACACAAGCATTTCTACTTTGCGAATGAAGTGAATCCTACACTTGCAAACCAACATACCAATTTGCTTAAAGTTGCCTATAAAACATTTGTTTTTGTAAATTTATATCCTGTTCTAAGATTTACATGGTTACTGTGCCAAAAGACTGGAAGTAAATTTTTAACTTTTTTTAAAACTGTCAAAGAAGGATTTAATTTAATTTCCTTCAGAAATCTGAAAAAAAAGCTCTATATGGGCATATTCTAAATAAGGCACAGAATCTCCATTGTTATCTGTGGCAGGACAGCTAAACAGAAACACTGCATGCTTCAGTTGGAAAGGACACTTTTTCAGAGGATTATTTGAAAAAGGCACACAATAATTTAACAGTACAAATTCTAGTACTTATGGGGATTGAGTCCCATCCGGGATTCGAACCCACAACCTCAGAGTCAGGAACCTATTCGCCAGCACACAAAGTCAGTCGCCTAACCCGCTCAGCCACCGCGACTTCCACAAAAAATGGAAGTGGGATAACTGGTAGTCTAGACTGCAGACTTTGTATCATCTATCATTCCACTATATTGCCTTATTCTATATTCAAAAGACAAGGTTTCATAAGGGATATACAATGTACTTGGCCCATGGATATCTGAATCATATTTCATTCACCCAAAGTGATTATGGATTAGTAAACAAGCTTATATGAATAATGTTCCATTACATTTAAACATAAATACAACAAATATTACATAATAAACAGCATAAGAGAGCAAGCAACCTGTGTATATTATATCTTATTTACCCATCAAATGTGCGATTTAATGTTTCCATCTTATAGTGGACAGATGAAGAACTAATGCAATGTGTCTTCGTAGGAATGGCGGCAGGAGCAGGATTGATTTAGAGATATATGCGATTCAAACATGTTTGCATTCAAATCACTACACCCAAGTCAGAGGCAAAAATGGACTATTTAGCAAAAATGTGTACCAAAATATAAGTCAAACTTACTGTCGGTTTATAAGAGCAAGGGTGGGGAAGAAGTAGCCCAGCTAGGCCAGAATCTTCCCCTTTGATATGAGAACAAGGGTGGAGAAGAAGTGGCCTAGCTAGGCCAGAATCTCCCCACTATTCATAGAAAACAGAACAAAATATCCTAGTTTAAACAGGGGGGAAAGAACTTTAGCCTAGCCCAAACTTTCGTAGAATATCGTAGGACAAAACCTCCCCCGGGGAAAGTTTGGCCTAGGCCAGATTCTCCCCGGGGAAAGTTTAGACCTGGGAAGAAATGGCCTGTTACACCGGGTACCCGTCTCAATACCCGGACTCATTATGATCATGTGACTAATGGATTAAACAATGTAATATGTTATTCTTTCATGATTAAAAGGTTGTATTGTCTTTGAAGATTTAGACATAATTTACAGTCATCTGTTTTGAAAATACTACATGGTCAAGATCGAAATTTTAGCCTCCAAGCTGAAGAATATATTGCCATTTCTTAATTGTGCCAGTGTTCCTATCTATGATTATACTAAAAAAGAACATATATATATTTTGGAATTACTTGATCCTTTCCAACATTCCATGCAGTGTTCAATATTTACCGTGTATTATTCAATGTTCATCCTTCACAGGCTGACAGTACATGTCAGTCATGACACCGACCACATCAGCCATTTTGAGCATTAAGTTTTTCACATCTTCTCTTGCCAAATGAAAAGGTACTTACAAATACAGTTTTCCTTAATTATTGTCATCGTGTAACTAATAACGAGTTAAAAGGAGACAAAAAAGTGCACAAAGCACCTACCACATCCTAACCAGCTGATGTAAAAATGTCACCTCCAATGTTGAAAACTCAGTTCATTATATAAAATCTCTAATAATAATACATCAAATTATCCTGTGTGTAAATGCACTAAGCATACTGCACATGCACACAGGAATTATTCTGGGAAACTGGCATCAGGATCTTGTTGGAAACAACAAGATGTTTTCCGTTAGACTGGCAGTCACGGTTCGCTTTGAACACACTTATCAACCTGCATGCACTTCACATCAACTGATCATAACCCTGGTTTTATGAGTAGTGCCATTACAAAAGCTGTTCTCTACAACAAAGGAGGTTAAAAAAAGCCTCCCAATAACCCCCAGCTAAAACTCTGGCATATGTCTTCCAGACATACGTCTAATTATGCACCTTGTATTTCTAGACCAAGAGACTGGGGAACAGGTTTGGGCTGGTGCACTGTGGTCTAAAGCAGATCCTTTCTCATCCATGTGATGGAGTTGCGGCTCAGTCTGATGACGTGCCTGTTATCATCTGTTGGAGCTGGAGGGGTGGGGGGATGGGAGGTGGTGGAGGAGGTGCTGGGGGTGGAGGGTTACTAGTATCAGAGGAAGGTAACTCGGCCACTGTTGCCTCCTTGGCCGTGTCTGGTGAGTTGGTCATGCTGCCACCCATCATCTTGGAGATCTGGAAAGTATGGAACACCAGGACATCAGAGTAAACCACGGACATGATCAATAATAAGCAGCATTGGTAGAATTTAAATTTTTCAAGTTAGTCTCTTTCAATGATCCAACGGGATATTATGTAAGATGTTGTTTCACCGACTGATAGAAGTACACTGAGGTCCTTGTCACTTACTGTGATTGTAAAAAGCAACTTTACAACCATGGTGGTCAAGGAGGTGAACCACATGCAAGCTTCTCTTTAAATCCAATTTCTAACTAAATAGATAAGATATAGATGAGACTTTATTATCCCAAAAGATTTTCATATTGCATGGTAGGAAATTCATACTGCATCTGGCACAACAATATAAATCTTAATAATCTGCATGAATGTACAGCATGTGATGACAGTGTGTTAATACAATAGAGAATACCAGATGATAGATCTGTGTTATTACACACCAGACCATCCAACACTAGATGATATATGTATGTTATTCCCTACCAGACTATCCAGTTTTGATGATACATCTATGTTATTACCGACCAGACCATCCAACACAAGATGATATATCAATGTTATTACCAACCAGACCATCCAACACTACATTATATATGTATGTTATTACCTACCAGACCATCCAACACAAGATGATACATCAATGTTATTACCCACAGACCATCCAGCACAAGATTATATATCTATGTTATTGCCCACCAGACCATCCAGCACAAGATGATATATCAATGTTATTAGCCACCAGACCATCCAACACTACATTATATATGTATGTTATTACCTACCAGACCATCCAGCACAAGATGATACATCAATGTTATTGCCCACCAGACCATCCAGCACAAGATGATATATGTATGTTATTACCCACCAGACCATCCAACACAAGATGATATATCTATGTTATTGCCCACCAGACCATCCAGCACAAGATGATATATCAATGTTATTACCCACCAGACTATCCGGTATAAGATGAGCATTAGCTCCCAGACTTGCAACTGGCCCAGAAGGCTGGTACCCAAGATGGCGGTAAAATTCTTCTTTGTCTATCGTGTTCAAAAATATTGTTTTGAATCCTGCACTGTAACAACAAAGAACAAGTCTCAGTTACTACCTGCATGAGAAACAACTCTCTCATTGAAGCATGTTTTGCTCGACATCATACATCTTTTAGTAGTGAGGGAGTGAACGATTTATGAAGTAGTCAGCAATATTCCCAGCTGTATCAATGTGCTTTATGGAGTATGGACCTTGTGGTGGATCGCATGTCATTGTGTTATGATTGCATATGTTGATGATCAGCAATGTCACAGATCATGACATATTGGTCAGCTCCGACAACAAGCCTGAGGTACCATTAACCCTGGCTCTGTCAAGTAGCATGGGGTACCAGGAGCCTTGGCTCTGTCAAGAAGCCTAAGGTACCAGGAACCTTAGCTCTGACAATGAGCATGAGGTAGCAAGAACCTTGGCTCTGACAATGAGCATGAGGTAGCAAGAACCTTGGCTCTGACAATGAGCATGAGATACCAGGAACCTTGGCTCTGACAATGAGCATGAGGTACCAAGAACCTTGGCTCTGACAATGACCATGAGGTACCAGAAACCTTGGCTCTGACAATGACCATGAGGTACCAGGAACCTTGCTCTGACAATGACCATGAGGTACCAGGAACCTTGGCTCTGACAATGACCATGAGGTACCAGGAACCTTGCTCTGACAATGACCATGAGGTACCAGGAACATTGGCTCTGATAACAGGCATGAAGTATCAAAAGTCGTGGCTCTGATAACAAGCATGAAGTGTCAAAAGTCTTGGCGGTGGACCTTGTGGTGGATAGCATGTCATTATGTTCTGCTTACATATGTTGATGATCAGCCATGTCACAGATCATGACATATTGGTCAGCTCTGACAACAAGCCTAAGGTACCATTAACCCTGGCTCTGACAAGAAGCATGGGGTACCAGGAGCCTTGGCTCTGTCAAGACACCTGAGGTACCAGGAACCTTGGCTCTGACAATGAGCATGAGGTAGCAAGAACCTTGGCTCTGACAATGAGCATGAGGTACCAGGAACCTTGGCTCTGACAATGAGCATGAGGTACCATGAACCTTGGCTCTGACAATGACCATGAGGTACTAGGAACCTTGGCAATGATAACAGGCATGAAGTATCAAAAGTCTTGGTTCTGATAACAAGCATGAAGTATCAAAAGTCTTGGCTCTGATAACAAGCATGAAGTATCAAAAGTCTTGGCTCTGATAACAAGCATGAAGTATCAAACGTCTTGGCTCTGATAACAAGCACGAAGCAGTGGAGACTTTGGCATCAACATGATCAAGCATCAGATATTCAGGATCATGGTTCTGATAACTAGCATGAGATACACTCAGGGGCTAAAAACAAGCATTTTCCTGTATTATGAATTAACAATAAATTTATCAACACAAATGTTATGAGATATATAGCTTTACTTAACCACATTATTTGAATTACCATGAACAATTCCATCAGAAACAGGCCTTGACTGTTGTCAATGTTCACTCTAGAAACTACATACAGCAGATGTGTTATCAAATATTATCTATACCTAGAAGTTCATTTGAATTAATGAGCTAAAATACAGTCAAACACCATTGTGTCAAAACTAAAAGGACAGAAGTAAATACTTTGAGTTATCCGAGGGTAGGCACAACTAAAAATGGTTAATACAGAAACAATATGTCGCAGGACAAACTTTTAACTTGACACAGCAGTATGTTTCGACACATCAGATTTCGACACAGAGGTGTTTGACTGTCATTGGTAAGTGGTTGATCAATTAAACAGATTTTGAACAATGCCACTTCAGGATATCCACACAATGGCTTGAACACTTAGTATGCAGATCCCCCTCACCTCTTAGCATACTCTTCTGTCTTATCCATCAGTTTCCGACCTAAACCTTTCCCTCGAAGATCTTTTGGAACCACAACTGAAATCAGAAAAATTCACTTTATGTTATATTAAGTTGTTAACATACTCTAAAGTTAATGTGTTTTTATGCTCAGTAATTTATTCATGCAATACTCTTCATGCTTGTTGACTTACAGATACATATAAAACATAGAAATCACTAATCATTTAAATAATAAAAAAATACCAACATGTGTACTGTATAAAGATTATTTTCAAAATAAGCATAATCACATATGTTTATGACTTTATCATCTACAGTGGAATCTGTCTATTACGGACTGGCCTTGGACCGCCTTATTTGTCCAGATTATAAAGTAGTCCGGATTAGACAACTTTTGTTCGTTACCATGTTCGCTGCCACGATGAGTTACCTTCAACTTACCTCCCTTTGTTAAGGACAACCAACAACTTGAATCATTCTTTTTTGTTTTTTATTTATACTCAGTATATTATTTATACTTTCATTGGAAAAAGTCTTTTAACATGTACTGCTTCTGCCTCTGTAAAATTTCCGGGTAATACAATGTTTTGAGTCATTAACCATTGTGAACAAAAGTATTAAAACAGAGATGTTTATTCAACGGACTGTTATTTTAGTCAGCTACGTCCGGATTTCAAAGCATTGTTCTCATAGCAAGTTGATTGTCGGGACTGTTATTTTAGTCAGTAATCTGTAACTGAGAGAGTCCGGATTATAAAGCACGCTTTAATGATTAAATTAAGAACAATATTGCCGTAACTCAGAGAGTAGTCCGGATTATGGAGGAAACCGGATTACACAGAGTCCGGATTTGACAGATTCCACTGTATTTGAAAATTACAGTAATAGATCATTGTTAGCGACATGAGCCACATCATACAAAGACAACAACTATCATGTCATGTTTCCATTGCTTCACATATCGTTATCAAGATAACACATCACCATTCAAATTCAGCTCCACATTTCTCTGTGAAAGAAAATTACCTGATTCTAATAAACATGAGTTCCTGATTCCTTGAACTGATGCCAATCGACTGTGACCCACCACTTTGTTTTCTGCCACAAGAACCAAGCTAACTGGCAGGTCATCACATGATTTCTCAAGGCTGTATAGTCTGTAGATAAAATTTATCTTCAAATGAAAATTCATATTTACCAATTTTACACCCGCCATATAGCTGGAATATTGCTGAGTGCAGCGTGTAAAACTAAACACACCACTACCAATTTTACAAATTACAATGTTTATTCATCATGTTTAGATAAGGATTCATGATACTCGTGACAATGGCCAGACAAAGTTTTCATCATCACATGCTATTGGTCTACCAGCTCTCAATTATCATGATTATTTTAGTATCTACTGTGTCAATAACTGTCATAATATTTAAAAAGAATCTTTAGCACGAGTAAGATATTTGGCTAAAACATCCATCAATGTAATTTGTACTATACTGTTCACCAGTCTGAATTTCTGGATCAGCTCGGATGTTTAAAATGTTTCGTGTATATTCAGTGCAATAGAAAATAAAATGCGACAAGTTATATATATATATATAAATCAGTGCCATTAAGTATGCCTGCCTTGCAGCAATGCTTCTCGGCCACTCGGAGTTGAGAAGCCCAGCGCAGTCTTGCAACCATTCCTTGTGAGAATGTAGAGGGAAAAGTTCCATTTCGTCAGCTAAATTCTCATAATCTAGTGTGTCTCAGTTTCGCCCACCCAGCAAGGCGACCTCAATAACTATCTTTCCATCGACCAAAAGTCAATATTTGCATCAACTTTGTCAACATAAACCAGTTTTGCATGTGAAACAAAGGGAGATCACTCTCAATCGTTGACTTGTGATCCGAAGACATGAAATAAGGAATGTGGAAGGATAGGAAAATACGCATGCATTGTGACACACACCGTATTATATATCCCCCAGAAATATCATTTTACCACTGCTCCGATTATGTACGATTATGTTTTATATCATGTTAAATCGTGTAAAATATCTCCCTCCGTATTATATTTCCTATCTATATTTTTGAATTATCAAAATGGACAACCAAGAGTCTGTCAGTGATGTGCCTGATAATCTTTCTGCCAAATACAAAGAGTAAGCTATTGATATCTCAATTTAAGATATGTTTCTTGTTGACTATATATCTCTTGAAGTACCGATATTATCGGTTTGTGGTCCGTTTCTTGTTAAGTCATTTATCGACAATTTAAGTGTTTAAACATCCGGCTTGATCTTGGCCCGTTTTCATTTCGTAATATCGGGGCCTAGTCCTGTTGTAAGTGAAGATGTTGGTGTAATGCTGAAGGACTCCGCGAGGAGTGTTGTGCACGGCTCTAGTGCACTTTACCTAGGCCACTTCACGAAAATATTGCCACTGGCACAGCCCAACCATTACTGCTGTCAGTGACACGTTAATGTTGGTGACGCTTCACTGATCTCACAGGATGACATGTGCACTATAACCTTCTGCAGAGTCTATAGCCAACAAGACTTTGACAGCCATTATTTTGATTATTAGCTGAGGTGTTGGGGTAGCCTTGTGTTTAAAGTAATTGCTTGCCAGGCGAAATGCCCAGGTTCGATTCCCTACATGGTTACAACATATGTTATATGTGGGGTTGCCCTTTTTCAGTAAAGTACGAATTATAGTACTTTTGTTAGGTTGAATCCCATCAGGAATTCGAATCACACTCTCAAGGAGTAAGGCACCTAATCACCAGCACACAAATTCAGCGATCTAAACCACTGACCCACTGCGGCTTTCACAGCATGGAATCCTGGATGGGACTCAACCTCACAAAAGTACTAGAATCTGTATTTTCAAAGAAAGTGTAATTATAATACATCATATGTTACATTTGACCACTTTCTAAATGACATTGTTTATTCATACATGGTACAATGTGATAAGTGTCTCACTTGCCCACTCACTCACTCGATGCTTCTGAAGAGTCAGGGCCTTGTTTACTGTTAAATGGTCCTTCAAGGCTCTGAAATCAACATCTCTGCCACATTATAGTATCGAGCAAAAAAAATGAGACAAGTTTTGATTCAACGTCTTGATTTAATAATTCACATAAATTTATGAAAATTGGCACACATGTAGACAATACATTGACTCGTTCACAAGAAGTCAATAGTCAGTCTGTCCACCATTTCGCTCCAAACACTGTTCAATCCGCCGAGGCATGGAATTTACAAGATTGTCTGTCAGTTCCTCATTTCATGTATCACTCGTTTCCAATCTGCAATGTCTTTCGGTTCCAACTTTTCCACTTTGTCCTTCATGATTTGCCAGACATTTTCGATGGGGTTCAGGTCTGGTTAAGCTGCCGGAAATTCCACAACCTGAATGCAGTTCTGACGAAGCCAAGCTTCGGTGTGGGCAGACGTGTGTACGCAGGCATTATCTCGTTGCATTACACAGGGAATTCCACTCTGTCCGAATTTGAATCTATCAGTCCCTCTTGCAAAAGCTCACAGTACTTCCTTGAATCAATGCGGCCTGTAATTTTCAGAAGCGGCGTTAAACCAAATTTCCCAATCCCATCCCACACCATCACAGAAGGCGAGAACTTTGGTCACATTTTTTGGCATTTTCCATTTCGACACCATCTTTTCCTTTTATTTTGGAAAAATTGTAACTTTGATTCGTCTGTAAATAACCAGTTTGAAAAGTCAGTGTCCCTATTACGCTCACACCACTCCTGTCTTTTCCACTTGTGCTCTTGCGTCATCAACGGAACCTTTGTCGGCACTTTCTTCACGATTCCTGATTCTTTTAAACTCCGCCTTACAGTCCATTCAGATACTCTAGAACTCCCTAAAGCTGTGGCACGCTCACCCAGTTGTTTTGCCGACCAGTTTTGATGCACCGCCGCCGCCAGTTGTACGGGTCATCTCCTGTCATTTCCACCAAGTCAACGAGGACGTCCCAATCCCGGCTTGCGCTGAAAACTGCCAGCAGCTTGAAATCTGGCAATAAGTCGGTAAATGGTACTCCGAGGAAGCCCCAATATTTTCCGTAACTTCTGAACTGATTTGCACCCTGCTTCATATAAAGCGAGAAGTCGACATTTCGCATCAGATTTCAACATGACGTCGGTAACTAGGAAATCGTCTGCTACAACGTCATCACGTGACCCGGCCCAACAACAGGGGAGATAATGCCGAGAACGTCATAATGTTCCTAGTGGTGGAAAATATTACCAAACAAGTTAAAACTCACCGCGCGGCAACCATGAAACACAACTTTCTGTAAGTGTCTCATTATTTTTGCTCGGAGCTATACATATTTGATCTGTGACTATACAGGAACATGGTAGGCTGATCATGCTGCAAGGAAACAAAGCATGGCAGAACACTTTATTTGCATTTACTAGATTTATGGGTAGTCTCGTCGTCACACTGAAGACCCTGGTTTGTTCCCCATCTGTTTACAATGTGTGAAGCCCATTTCTGGTGTCCCCACCTGTGATATAGCTGGAATATTGCTTAAAGCAACATAAAACCAAACTCACTTACTCACTTATTATTTGCAGTAAATCACTGCAATGTTCCATGAACTCAAATAATATCTGAGTTCTAAATATCAAGAAAACAAGCACCAATTCTTGAATTTTCTTTGATAAATAAAGGTACTGTTTGATAAACATAGATGCCTTGTAAAAATTCTTGCTCTCAGTTAACACAAAAAAGTCTAAGGTACATGGGCTATGACAAGTCTAAGGTACATGGGCTATGACAAGTCTAAGGTACATGGGCTATGACAAGTCTAAGGTACATGGGCTATGACAAGTCTAAGGTACATGGGCTATGACAAGTCTAAGGTACATGGGCTATGACAAGTCTAAGGTACATGGGCTATGACAAGTCTAAGGTACATGGGCTAAGGTACATGGGCTGACAAGTCTAAGGTACATGGGCTATGACAAGTCTAAGGTACATGGGCAAGTCTAAGGTACATGGGCTATGACAAATCTAAGGTACATGGGCTATGACAAGTCTAAGGTACATGGGCTATGACAAGTCTAAGGTACATGGGCTATGACAAGTCTAAGGTACATGGGCTATGACATTCCCAATAACAAACAACACTTTGTATTTTTTCAGTTCATTTGCATATTTGACTATCAGAGACAGATTACCAGTGATCCTCACAAAGGTTGTGGATACAGTCTACAGGATGAAGAATAAGATGAAAGATGAGTCTGGGGAGGTAATCAGTTCTTTTTTAAATATTGTAATATTTCTGGTGAGATGTTGCATCTGCCACTTGGTCAGAAAGCTTAGCATCCTTAGTATTGTCCTGAATCACAGAAACATGATGCTGACAAACTGAAACAACATGTAGATAGTATGACATGTACTCGACCAGATCAACATCATAGTTGTTCAAAGACTCCTGACATTTTAAGGCGAGTTAGGAAATCAGTTTCAGACACATTCTGTAGCAACATTTATTTTGAAATGATCATGTCATTACATAATGATCTTTTGTTCTTCAGGAGACTTCTGGAGAGCTGAAAGACATCACTGGCAGATTATCTAAGTTGCGATTTCAGATTCAGACTGATAAACCTGTGGAGAACTTAGAGGATTCTCGGACTGATACACCAATTTGGAACCAGCACCATCAAGATCTACTGAAGTTAAACAATGGGCAGCCAATCAAATGGTTTTCAGCAGCATGGTTATATTTGGAATGTTACATGTACCGGCGCGCATTCAGGAATCTGTGGAACTCACGTGAGTGGTTGAAATGTTTCTGTCCTGAGTCCCCAAAGCTTGTCTCCCTGTGGGAATGAAGGGTTATATAGGTCCCAGTACCCCATACTTGTTGCATAGGATGCTCTGATGTGTACAGATGATGCTGTCTTGCTCACTGAGGCTTGAATCGATTCTTCTGTTACCCACTGCTGTATGTTCTCACAGCACTTCTGGATGGGGCGGTGGGGTAGCCTAGTGGTTAAAGTGTTTGCTCGTCACGCCGAACACCTAGTTCGATTTCCCACATGGGTACAATGTGTGAAGCCCATTTCTGGTGTCCCCTGTCGTGATACTGCTGGAATATTGCTAAAAGCAGCGTAAAACTAAATTCACTCACTGACTCAACTACAGACATGGGTGTTTCAGTAGTCTTGATCCTATGATTGTTGGTTATGTCAGTGTATAAAATAATGCAAAATCCCAGCCAGACATCTGGGCTGGTAACTTCAAAAAACTTACGAGCCCGGAAGAGATTTAACCAGTCCTTCTTAAATACTGAATAGACAGTGCCAGTGGACACGTTATCTGAATATTTTTTTTCACCCGTCCATCGGGCTGGCTAGCTGTAAAATTAGACCGTCCGGCAGAAATCTAGCCTGTCTCGGGCGGTCGGACTGACCTTATTTCATACACTGGTTATGTATCCCAGTTTGTGATCATTGCTTTGTTCCTACATTACCCTTACATAAAGGTAAGTGTCTAGAAACTACATCACAATGGGTAACATTCACTGAGATCCACACACAAGAAACACTTCTTTAGCAGTGTGTTCTGGTATACATAATGATCATTACCAGTAATGTATCAAGTCAAAATCAGTATGTCTGGGTTTTTTCATGCAGCAACAAGTTGAACAGCTTGGATGTGTTTGAGGCCCAGAAATGTGAAGCGTACTATACATACAACCGACATCCCTTCTGAGGTGGTCCAGTGACAACGCTGATAAATTGAAGCTGACATACCTTCTGGAGGTGGTCGGACAGTGCCAGGGATATTCCTCAGCTCTTTTGCTTGTCCCTTCCTCTTGCGAGAAAGCTGACAAATTGAAGCAGTTTCTGGAGGTTAGTCTCAAAACACAAGCTCCTCTGTGAAGCATTTGCAATTTCATGGCAAGTTTATCATCCAAGTATTGTAGTTTTGTACGACTAATGTATTCTAACAATGTTGTACAATAGTACATGAAGAAACATAATGGAAAGTTCTTTACATTATTTGTATGTAAGTAGAGAGAAAAAACGAAAATGTAAGTGGTTGTCTCTTTTGGCTATTTAGAGTGTTGACAGCATATTCTGTGGAACTATCTTCATGAATTCGTTCAGTATTTTGTATGTCATACTACTGCGTGGGTTCTTGCCAGTTATTTGTCATGCATGTCATTAGAGGTGACAAATGGGATCACGTAGTGTAGGTTGATGCTTATGATGTCACTGGATTGTCTGGTACAGATTCCATCATTACACACTTCCATCATATAGCTGCAATATTGCTGAGTGTGGTGTTGAACAACAAACAGATAAAGACTCACTCTAACTTAGCATCTGTGTATCTTGTCTCATCTGCAGGTAGCACTGTGGGGCAATAAGTGTGACTTGTCCATCTCGGCTGGATTCTCAAACTCCCAGACGACCTGCATCCTGGATCAGCTCAAACTCCTCAACCCAAACATCCTTGCCGACCACTCTCAGCAGGTGATTGAAACCCTGCAGCGTCAGACGAAGGGTGAGGCTGGGAGGGTGGACATTGTACTGGACAATGCAGGGTTTGAGCTGGTCACGGATCTCTGCCTGGCTGAGTTTCTTATGTCTGCTGGTCTAGCTTCCAGCATCCACTTCCATGGGAAGGCCATCCCCTGGTTCGTGTCAGACGTCACCCGAAGGGACTTCCAGTGGCTGTTGGAGACGATGAAGGGAACCAACAATCTGGCAATATCTACTTTTGGCGCAAAATGGCAGAAACTGCTCGAGTTGGGATCCTGGGTATATCATGATCATGATTTCTGGACAACACCGTTTGATTTCAGTTTGATGAAAAAACATGCAAGTGAACTGTACAACGACCTTGGGAAGGCAGACCTGGTGTTTTTTAAAGGGGATCTGAATTATCGTAAGCTGGTCGGAGACAAACGATGGGAACCTACAGTGTCTTTCTCCTCCTCCCTTCGAGGGTTTGAACCTGCTCCTCTCTGCAGTCTGCGTGCTCTCAAGTCGGACGTTGTAGTGGGGTTGAAACCAGGCCAGGCGGAGATGACTCAACACCATGACAAAGACTGGATGATAGATGGAAAGTGGGCAGTTATTTCATTCCACACGGGACATTCTTAAATATTTGTTTTTGATAAGGAAAGACAGGAGATATTTTGATGACTGTTGCTGAGATCTCATATATTTTCCATTTGTGCCATAATGTATTCAGGCCTCAGTCACAACTTCCTCCGATTGTCGTATGGTCTTTATTCTTTACCTTGTTTATGTTGATACTATGGGCAGATCTAGAAACGGATTGATTTATTATTGGAGATCAGATTGTGTGATATTTTGTCAATCTGTGTACATGTAAACTGCCTTTTATAACCCATCCTGTGATTCCTCCCTGATTGTCCAATGGCATCCCATCATCTTACCATATTCTCCACTACCCTATCTCTCCTGTCAAAGTATACTCCTTATCTCATAATGGCTAGTGATACCCATGCCATACAACAATCTGATAAAGTTGGTATTACCATCTGTTAAATATGCAAATGAGGTGAGCAATAGTGAACCTACACATCATTTGGAGTCAAGTCACTGCTTAGTCAGGTCACCTCTAAACTCACATAGAAGAGAACTGAGGGCAGTTACTCATGAAGGATATTGTCAGTGGCAGTTTGAAGATGGGTTCAGGTTACTGGTGATTACAATGGCGGTGTGGTAGATGGGACTATTGAGCGGATTATTGAGGGTGAGGATGTCACAGATTATAATTTTGCCCAGAGAGACAAGCTATGTTCAGTGAATCAAAAGTACAAGATTCTTAAGATTTATTTTCATTTGTTGGTACTGTGTTTGTTTGTGGTATTAAAGCTGTGCAACATGTCTCTGGTCTGGCACTAGGGGTTGGCAGAGAGTGGGAGTGCCTCAAGGATGTCATGTTGTGGGTTAATTGACGATGTCCATTTGTATGTGAAATCACTTGTCACAACCACCGCCGATAGGAGGGAGAAATGGAAGGAGAGAGGGTGAGAGTGTATTCTGTCACTTTTCACACATCAGTCTGGGGCAGCCTAGTGGTTAACGTATTCACTCGTCACGCCGAAGACTCGGGTTCGATTCACCACATGGGTACAATGTGTGAAGCCCATTTCTGGAATATTGCTTGAATATTGCTAAAAGTGGCGTACAACCAAAACTTACTCATAATCGGTCTACATCACATTTGGGAATTGTAAGGTGTTGATGTTTTGGGGCATAAAAAACGAGGGCACATATTTCTGCCAGCTGCAGCATTCATGTGTGGGTGTGTGAAGGTTAATACTGTTTGGTGAAAATCTCCATGATTTGTTTGTTTTACACATAGAAGAGCATCCAACATTTTCATCCACAGTTTATATTTTATAACTTTGTTTCATCGTCAGTACGTCACTGGTTTTCTACACATTACATTCCTCCATCGGTCCTCCATGACCACTTTGCAGTGTAGTGGGTGTCTTTTACCATCAAGTCAAACCACAATCTGATTCCAGCGATTTCTGACCAATCAGTGATCAGATTACATCACATACCTGTGCAGCATCTGTACAACACTACTGCCGTCCGCTCTACACACTGCGTCAATGTCTGGCAATGGTTGGGTCCGTACACTGTGCATTTAATGGCCTCATGTCATTAGCTGACAAAGACAGAAACTCTTCTCTTCTACAGGGTAGGAACTTCGGTGAAGTTTTGATGTTTGTTGTGCTAATATTAACGCCACATGTCAGGTGCTTCCACAATTACTGTATATGACCGTCTATAAGACGACCCCCAAACTTGACCCTTAAAATCAGTGTCAAAATGGTATGTTTCGTGCATAAGTCGATCCCCCGCGATGGGGTCCTATTCGCGGCAAACACAGACCACAGACAACTGGCAGTTACCAATAATTATAACTTTGGTCCACATTATTCAAAGAATTCACTGTCATATATATTGTGTCTACTCACGGATCGAAACGAAGTGTAGTTGACAGAAAATGAAAAAACTTATAACTTAAAAGGTAAATAATCTTGTCTAGTGATGTTTAATTGCAAATTTGACGTCTCTACTGACAAAGTCGTCTTCTGTTGTTTGTTCACGCGAAGTGATACGATGTTGTTTTCTTACCCCTGGAAAAAAGTTTGACGAAAGCGTAACCCATGGATAAGATGACCCCCTTCTACAGACTGCTTTTTTTGGTCCTCAAAATTTGGCTTATAGACGGTAATATATGGTATTCTTGTCTGTGGGTTACACTAATTCATCCATACATGTGTGTATATGAAATGAGCTTTGATCTGTCAAGGGGCTAAAGAGGACAAAACAGCAACAGTTGAAGCAGATTTTGTAAGTAATGTGATGAAGTGATGAAAGAGGCACGTGCTGGACAGAGTGCCTCATTGTATCCTTGACAGGAAGTTTGTGTTTTATGGATGTAACTTATGTGAGGATTGTTCTTGGCTATTTTCTTTGTTATACACTGTGGTTGATCGCTGCTGTGAAAATTGGAATAAATTAATTTGAATGGTTTGTGTTAATTCTAATTGATTGTGTTAAGTGAGGCAGTCACAATCGCCAACAGAAGCATGTAAGTAATCAAGTCATGTTAATTACTGAGAGGCACACACACTCTCTCTGTGAGACTTATGCAAGACTAGCTCTTCCTACATAGCAGAATACAAGATCTGAAATCAAATTACTGTGACTGAATGTTATGAATAATCAAGTAAATATATAATAAAGTTATATTTTATTTCACAAATACAACAGGCAACATTGTCTTCAAACATTCAGCTCTCCCCTCACACACAAAGTTTCTAACTGATTTGTCTGTTATTTTCCCTCGTCTTGGACAATGTCACTGATATTTACAGAACAAAACACATCTTATCCAGCAATGTGTAAATGAATACTTAGCTGGTGAAGTATTAAAACATATCAAGTTGTTCTGGCAGTTATGCAACAAATCAGTTACTAGTATATGAAATGATTCTCTATGAATAGTTAATACAAATTTCACAATTAATGTCCAAGCATTAACAAAATACTGCTTTTCAATGGACACCATGTTGGATGTCTTGAGACTCAGCATGCACAATAAGAAATGTGTTACACACAAAAATACTCGGACACCATAGGGCTGTCCCATCTCCATCAACCAATTTTACAATTATTGACATCATTCAGTCCAATGGATTTCATTAAATTACAAATACACTGTCACAATACATGATTATGTCACTGACACTAAGATTATGTCCAACAACAGGTACAGCAATAGTCAGCATATCAACACTTCAGTGGGTGAATGAGTGAGTTTAATTTTACGCCTTACTCAGCAATATTCCAGCTATATGGCGGCGGTCTGTAAATAATCAAATCTGGACCAGACAATCCGTCATCAACAGCATGAGCATTGATCTACGCAATTGGGAACCGATGACATGTGTCAACCAAGTCAGCGAAGCCTGACCACCCAGTCCTGTTAGTCGCCTCTTTCGACAAGCATGGGTTACTGAAGATCAAGTTTAACCCGGATATTCACGGGTACATCAATACTTCAGTGGCTCTCAAAGACACTTAGTCACTGCAATAAACCTACAGCAGAATATATATAACAAAACTTAAACACAAAATCAAATGAAGCACATAACAGTACCTCAATTCAGAGCAGAGGCAATATAGAATAGCCTACTTGAGTAGGATTGGTTGTCTTCATTTATCCTCTAAGGTCTGGTACAAAGACAAACAAGCCATATATACTCATGGCAAAAAATAAGGGGACCTGTGCACAAGCCTGATGCAAACACTTGATGTACAAGTCCTGATTAAGACAGCTAGTTTTATAGTGCTAACCCACTGAGATACAATGTCCTGAGACAGAATACAAGGAGATAACGTTTACAATGGATATTTCACTCTGACAATTACACTCAGCCAACCAGCCCTTTTCTTATCCAATAAATGCAGAGTGTCAGGTAAAGCATCAACACGCACCATCTATTAAAGTCTATTGATATGACAGGTCTAGGGATCAAACCGTTGACTTTCTGCTCATCAGGCTGACACTCTATGCACTAGACCACGGAGACTGTCCCAGTAGATGAATGATACAAATTAAAGCACAACAAAGAAAAATAGTGTAGATATTCTCAAAAAACAAGACAGTTTGTTAAAAACTATTAAATATGATCTGGTGATGTACTGATTACACACCTTCAGGTTAATGTTGCGTCAACTTGCAGCACCTACACGGGCCCTGAAGACCATTGCCATGTACATTGTACTACGTAGGTATGAACAGTTGGAAATGGAAAAACATGTTAATATTTATATTGTGTTAGTATATTAATTAGATATGGATGTCATACACTTCTTAAGATAACCTTAGTATCAGAGAAATGTCTGATTCTTAAACACTCCATCCCGTCAAGTGTCAGTAATGTGACAAATACAGTCACCATGTTGACTAAGTTGAAACGCTCTATCATTGTGACAATTAGACATTATAAAGGCTCATAGACTTTTAAATACTGAATATAACAAAACGTTACCATGCCAAGCATGTTGTGGCAACAGTCTACAATGACAAACGCCACACTTGGAAGTTGTTGTAGCTATGGAATCTGTTTATGCAACATTTAGGTAGAGATGCATGCACTTTTATTATCAACGTACTTATGCTGTTCAATATCGACTTCTCCTGTCATAATCTTTAAGACTTGGCTTCTTGTCTTGACAAGTTAGATTTCCAGTTTCTCATAATGTAGCTGTATGCATGGTGTTATAGCTGATGGAGGAGTGAGTGAGTGAGTTCAGTTTTACACTGCACTCAGCAATATTCCAGCTATATGGCGGCGGTCTGTAAATAATCTGGAAGACAATCCAGTGATCAACAGCATGAGCATCAATCTGCGCGATTGGGAACCTATGACATGTGTCAACCAAGTCAGCGAGCCTGGCCACCCGATCCCGTCAGTCGCCTCTTACGACAAGCATGGGTTACTGAAGATCAATATTCTAACCTGGACCTGATGGAGGAGGATATAGTATCAGGACATTATTTCTGTACAGACACACCTAGGGGATCAATGATATACTTATTTCATTAGGCTTCTGTATGAATCATTACGAATTTGTAACATTACGACCTATCGTAACACTATAGTACATCAATGGGCTTAAGAATGTCGTAGTGCTACTAACGATTTGTGGATTGGGACTCAGCATATTGAACCCACAAATCCTGTGGGGGCATTCTTTCCAATAAGGAAAAGTGGTTTTATAAAGGAAACCAAATTGCCACTGTAAATAGTTACAAGTATTTAGGTGTCTGGTTTTCAAGTAACTTAAATATGACTAAATGCATTTCAGACTTGGCAAGCCGGGGTAAAAGAGCATTGATGGAAATCATTGTCAAACTAAATAAGATTGGAATGATTGACCCAAAAATATATTTTAAAATCTTTGATTCTCAGGTGATGCCGATATTATTATATGGCTGTGAGATTTGGGGAGTCAAGCAATATGAATTGTTGGAAAAGGTACATCTTCTAGCCTGCAAACGATTTTTAAGGGTAGGAAAACAAACTCCTAAAACTATTGTATTCGGCGAATGTGGTCGCTATCCAATATATATAAATGCTTACTTACAGCTTTAACGTTATTGGCTAAAATTGCTCAAAATGAGCGAGTGTAGATTACCCAAGAAAGTGTATTACATGTTAAGATATTTTGATGACATTGGAAAAAAGAGTTGGGTATCGTTCATAAAAAATATTTTGTTTTCTCATGGCTTTGGATATATCTGGATTAACCAATCTGTTGGTGATGAACAATTGTTTCAAACATCATTGATAAATGAATTTTCTCAAAGTTGGACTTCCACTTTGAATAACAAATCTAGATATGTGATGTACAGAGAATATAAATTCATATTTGAACCAGAAAGATACCTGGATATCATATTAGAAATAAAGGTGCGCTCTACTAACACCAAATTCAGATGCAATGTCTTGCCACTACGTTATAATGAAGGTAGGTGGCAATCAATCGAACCTGGTTTACGTTTGTGTCCCATTTGCAACACCTCTGTAGAGGATGAGTATCATTTCACACGTATATGCCACTTGTACAATGAATTGAGAATAACTTTTCTTCCGGAACACTTTTGGAAATTCCTTTCTATCCATAAACTTAAAAGGCTGATATGTGCAACTCAGGAGAATTTAATCAGACGTGTACAGTATTACATTTACCATGCATATATAAAAAGAAATAGGTCTTTAGAAACACTTTAGACTTCATTTGTATGCTCTTGTTAACTTTGTATAGTTTTATCTTGTATATGGGCCCTTGGCCCCGTTACAAATAAACTCCTTTTGACTTTTGACTTGACTTGTGTCCTGGTCAAAGAGGACTACATTGGATTGTTTAACTTGTCCCCAGCACAGTTTAGTAGTCACAGGCCAGCAGTCTAGTGTAGATTGACTGGTATATATCCCATCTCAATGAATGGTTTATACTGCATGACCAATATTCAATAATCATGCCAAAAGCCACTTGCTATTGTCACTATGGTAACTATGGTAACCATGGTAACATGGAACCAACCTTACTGAATTATCACAATGTCATACATAAACTAATTTTATCCTGATTATTTCTTAATAGGGTGGTTATAACTGGTGATACGGTGATTCAGACGGGATATAATACAGTGATATAAGACATATATACAGCTTCACCAGGTATTGGAGTAGGCACTGTTTCATAAAGCCACACAAATCATAAGCCTTCAACTTTAAAAGTGAAAACATGAACATTTAAACAGCAGTGGACTAAACAAGTACATGTTATAGTAACTTTAACAGTATGTTCATAATTCTTTATAAAATAATCAACTCCAATACAAGAATTCAGCACTACTGCTGTCAATCAAAATAGGATAATAAAATATGATGTTCAGTGCAGTTTTTCTTTAGTTTGCATAATTACAATGACATGTAAAACACATCTCTCAAAATATAACAACAAATATAACAAACAAATTCCCCATAACTGCACAAACTACAGCTTTAGGAATTAAGGTGAAACTCTCCTTGCAACGATGTATCTCAGCTGAGACATGCTCTGTCCAGACTGATCTGTGATGAAACTAGTAAGCTCACAATCCCACATGAGTCTCTCAAACCAGCGTGACTAGCAGTTTTCCTCAATGAACCACTATTGGTAAACATGATGGCAATCAATACTGTCCACTTGTAAAGTGAATAACTCCATACATAATGTATACTGGAAGTGTGGCATTATTGTTACCCTGTCATTTGATCAGTGTGCACTCCAAGTTTCATTCTCAACTCCCTGGGGAGTACAGAAGCAGTATATGAGGTGCCAGACGATAACAGCCACATAACCATCTCCTTCTGCAGTTACCTGTCCAAGCACAGCGCTGGTTAACTATACCTGGGTTGTCACACTAGATCACTACATTCCACCTCTAATTAATGTCTGAATCAGGATTGGATCCTAAATGTAGACCTTTCCACCGAGCAGTGCTTCGTGCCACTTTCAGTTATCCCCTTTGTGGTGGCGCTTTCAGTTGTCCGCCATTAAGCGCTGCTGCAAATTGACATTGACATTTTACGTCTGGAAACGTGCTGGGTTTTTTCGAAAATATGTCTCAGGACAGAGGAATGCCTTTTGAACGTGGATCAGGGAGAATTTGTGCAATGAGAGACTGTACAAATAGCCAGAGAAATCTACGTATATGGAAGGAATTGCCCTGTACAGTCCACAAACTGCCACGGAAGGACTGCCCTTGTTTGTTTCCCTATCATCTCCATAGGTTTCCTGTGAATGAAGATCGTCGTCGTGTTTGGGTGTCACATGTTAATCGGAAGGATTATCAATTGTGAGATTTCAACTGATTCCCAACAGTAATGCACACTGGGTTATTTTTCTCATTTATAACATTTTCTCACAAACGTGCAAACATTTCGAAGTCAGTTCACAGAAATGAATCTGTCAACAATTATAACTCCATAGAATGCTTATTTAACAATTTGCACAAAATCACTGTATACAATATGAAGCCAATGACATCATGCAGCAGGGCAATGAAACACGAGTATGCAATTTGAAATTAAACACATTTTATGGCTGCTGGATTAAGCTGAAACTTCTGAAACCTCTACCCCCAATAACTGAATATTTAAAAACTCACATTCACATAAATATACTGGCATGTTGTCTGGGCCATTATTGGAATAGCTTTTCAGTTTGTCTGAAAATCTGATTTTATTTTGACTGTCAACTGTAGTTTCTCCAACAAAGATATTATCTTCTAATCACTAACCTCAGTTATGCTCCAGCCTTCAGTATCACCTGATATTCAGATTCATCTTTGAATTCATTTTATGCCCTATGCAGTCTATTTCATATTCATTTTTAAAATGCCCTCATTCTTAGCTCACCAGGCATACATGCCAAAAAGGGACATGTAAGTTTGCCAATTATTCAGATGATCGTTATGAAATAAATTGGGGGAGGGGAGTATACTTTGACATCTGATGTATTTGGGATACGACCCAGATTTACCCAGGGCTACGATGTATCATTCATTCACTTGTAGTGTTTGTTCATGATGGCGTCAAGGTCATGCAGAATATCTTTCCGTGGGAGTTTTAACAAATCTTTCTTCAAATCACAAAGTCGATACATCTGGAACTCAGATTCAGCCAGGAGCATACAGAAAGGACTCTTCGAAGAACTGTCGCAGTGATTCTCAAAATCTGTGATTCGGTCATAGTCCCAGTCATGAAGATCAACAAGGTCCTGCCATGCTGCCCCGATTCGTGTCTCCAGCTTCCTCTGCAACCACTGTATGATTGGCCGCTTCAACTTACGCACCAGGATGTCATCTGGCGGCAGACTGGACGAGGATCCATAAGCCATTGTTTGGACTGAACAGCAGAGGGAAAACACTGATTCATTAGATCCATGTTAGATACAAACATCAGTATCTTCTAAGATGTGATTTAAAGCTGATTTAAAGAATACCTCATTTACATGTCCGACCTCAGATTAATCAGTGACACCATCTACTCTGGTAACATTAGTGACAAGTTTGGGGATATTATTGCACGTTTTCATTGACACAGTACCATTTTATTGTATCATGTCATGCTCTGTTTGGTGTAAAAAGAATTCCTTTTTGGTAATAAAGTGTTACCTTATCTTATCTTAAACAAAATACACATTCAGAATGGAATTGCTGTAACCAGAGACTGCTTGGTAACTGTCCAGTACATTATTTTATTCATACTGACATAGAATAAACCTACACAGTGTTGAATCACTGAGTTCAATATTGCAGTGTGTAAACAATCCTCGACCTGCCTAACGTGATGAGATGCTGCCACTCACCTCCGAGCTCAGCGCTTGCCGCCCCTCCACACCCCTCCTGATCCTGGAGATAGACAATGAGGCACTCATAAAATCATCAGCAAATAGTTGGCAACACTTTCAGTTTTTCTTCCAACAGTCAATAGGTGTGGTGTTTAGTGTGTGTGTATATGAAGGATGATAATCATACATATTCCCTTCAATGCTACAGTGTAACACGTTATATTTGGGATGACACTTTCTCAGTAAAGTACAGAATCTAATACTTTGGTTCGGTTGAGTCCTAACTGGGATTTGAACCCACACTCTCAGAGTCAGGCGCTAATCACCAGCACACAAAGTCAGCCATCTAACCCACCCAGCCACTGCAGCTTCTATAGTGTTATCATGACTTTAACCTTGCTATATTTTTGCTTGCATTAAATTCACTGCAATATTATGTGTGAATGAATGATTTTTTCACCTGTTTCATCATTGCATTTCTATTCCGGGGACATAACGCTGCCCCACTTGTACCCATGACCCTCACAGGCATACAAGTCAGTTACCTGCCTAATTAGATTATTTACCTGCCTAAACTTTCATATCTAATTTAAAAAATGAAATTTATTTCACCTAAATTATTTGAAAATTTACCTGGCAGTGGTCATAGATCAATTACCTTCTTCATTACAACAACGAGCAGCCTCACTATTACAATGCCCTGCTTATTTTCATAAGTTACCTGCTCGTTACAATCATTACCTGTCCAACAGTGGGGTCAGTCTGGGTTGACTTAGTGAGAGTCTTCCGGGCCGTTAGACTTAGATCTGTAAACAAGTAATTTCAAATCCGATGTAGAAGCCACATGATGATGATGAATAGCACCCTGACTAAACAATGATCAGTACTGAGTACAGAAAATTCAGTGACATATAGAGCTTGTGGGATCTCTTGATACAGATACTACACTCTTCAAAAAAAGAAATGCATATGTGATTTTGAGAATATTGGACTCATGAGTGCCTACAATCGAAACATCACCATAGGCCACCTTGAAGCTGGGGAGTTGCAGTCTGCAGTTGCCCGACATTTCAACGTTCATCATAGCACGATATCTTGCCTTTGGAATCATTTCCTGCAGATCAATTCTGCCCAAGATCACCAGAGAAATGGCCGTCCAAGAGTTATCACCCAAGCCCTGGACCGCTACATCCGGGATGCTCACTTGCGTCATCATCTTGCCACAGCCACGGAGACTGCATAAAGCATCCCTGGTTTCAGAAGAATTCCAGACCAAACTGTCAGGAATCGAATGCGTGAAGTGGGGACCCACTGGTGTTCCAGCATGACAATGCTACTTCACATACAGCACGCATCACAGTTCACTACCTTACCAATTCTAACGTCAATGTCTTGCCATGCCCTTCCCAGTCACCAGATCTAAACCCAATAGAACCTATGGGATGAACTCGATCGACGTCAGCGTCAAAACACACCTCAGACACTTCCACAACTGGCCATTACATTGCAGGAAGAGTGGGGAAGAATTCCGCAAGAGCGACTTTGTCGACTTTTCCAGTCTGTGCCGAGATGGTGCCGAGCAGTAATTGATGCCAACGGTGGCCACACGAAGTGCTGACTTTGACGCCATCTTGTGGACTCAAGTAAACAGAAACACAACAATAAAGGCTGCTGTTGTGTTGGCGATTGCTTTGTCTATAGATGTGTGAATTTTCACCTTTTTACCATTGAAATTACATGAAGTAATTGCTTTTAAACTAATGCTATAAATTCTTCTAACAAAGCTTATGCGTTTCTTTTTTTGAAGAGTGTATTATAGTAAACTCTAAGGTGAGTGAGTTGGGTTTAATGTTGCTTTGATGTATGTTTATAAGCAGTTTTCCAGCTGTATGATGGTGATCGGTAAATAATGAAGTCTGAATCAGATAATGCAATGATTGACATAATGAGCATTGATCTACATGACTGGGGAACAATGACATGCATCAACCAAGTTGGTGAGCCTGACCACCCAATCCTCTTAGTCGCCTCTTACGGCAAGCATCTGCTGCTGAAGATCAATTCCACGCCAGATCTGCACAGGCAATGCCTTTTTCAAGAGTATTCCCATCACATTTAATTACAGTGTGGCAGCTTAACATGTGGAAGCCTGAAGTGATGTAAGTCTCACATGTCTATCACTTAATTTAAAGCCCGTAAAATTTTGAGCACTGATGATGAAATCTTTATTTTACTTTTACAAAAGTATAGGAGAAAACATTCTAGTTTACCTTCATTGAGAGAGATGCTCTGTTGTGAGATATTGTGTGGGAGGTTGGAAGATTCTGTCTCCCACTGACGAACATGACTACTCTGGTCAAGGTTGTTGGCAAACCAGGATGATGTGTTTTGCTTCTCGGTTGGGAGGTCAGACATGAAATCTGCTAAACGTTCTCCATTGTCAGACAGCGCCATTCCTACATAAGATGTAACAATCTGTTCTGATTCAATGGAATTTTGATGAAATGAAATATTTGGCATCTTGGATTCCACTTGCTTGTCCTCAATGATGCTGATGCCTGTTGCTGGGTTGGTGTTGGAGACTTGAGCATCCTGGAGTTTGGGAGCAGCGCCAGTCAGGGATCCACTGTTCAGACTCAGCTGCAACCAGGCCTGGGCCGTCGACAGACTCTCACACCCCACAGACGGCACAGCAACTGACGAGATACAGATGCATTAACAGGGGGAATAAACAGGATATAGAGGCATTAACAGGGAGAATAAACAAGGTACAGATGCATTAACAGGGAGAATAAACAGGAAATAGATGCAGTAACAGGGGGAATAAACAGGATATAGATGCATTAACAGGGAGAATAAACAGGAAATAGATGCAGTAACAGGGGGAATAAACAGGATATAGATGCAGTAACAGGAGGAATAAACAAGGTACAGATGCATTACCAGGGAGAATAAACAGGAAATAGATGCATTAATAAGGGGAATAGACAGGATATAGGGGCATTGATCATGGAATAAACAGGATACAGGGACATTAACTGGGTTCTAAACAGGATATCAGGGTATTAATTTGGGAATATACAGGATAATGGGCATTAACTGTGGATTGAACAGGATAGTGGATTATTAACTAGGGAATATACAGAATAGAGGGGCATTATCTGGTGAATTAACAGGATAACAGGTCGTTAACTGGAGAATAAGCAGAAGGGAAGGGGCATTAACTGGAATAAACAGGATAGGGGGCATTACTGGGAAATAACAGAATAGATGGACATTAACTGAGGAATCAACAGGATAGGGGGCACTAACAGATGCAATAAACAGTGCTGACAGGTAATATAAACAGGATGTTGGTACCGATAGCTGTAATAAACATACTGAAAAGAGGAATTGACACCATTCAACAAGAAGTTCAGTTGGAGGTTATGAATACCAGAATATACGTCAGATGTGTTCACAAATCATTCAATGTCATACAGTCATTGAAGGATGGGACTTTGCACTCACTGTTGTATTTCTTCGATGATTCACTCGCCGGGGTCTGTGTTGGAGGGAGGGAGGAGATTGATGGAGCCTCCTGCAGCTTCTTCAGGGCTGTTAGGGGACAGAGAGAATATCTGTGTAATGATCTAGATTTTACAGCTTGAAGTACTTTAAATATATCAACTCTGCCAAAGGTCAGAAATATATGAAATATTTGATCTTAGAATCAATCTTTTAATGTTTTACCTGGTTACAGGTTTCATTTGCATAAAAAAATTGCATCACCTTTATCCAGTTAAATTTGAACAATACTCTTGAAACAGGGTGAAAACCCACTAGTATAATACAACATGTTTGTGACAACACTCCAAGAAATATAGATAAGAAGTCAAATGAAAAAGTATTTGTAAACCAAATGTCTGCTCATTGATGTAAAAATACACAATAAACTTTAATCAGGAGGGTTAAAAATGAGCGAACACCCAATGAAACCTGTCAACATCCATTGTGGATGATAACAGGAAGGTAAATAGTCAGTAGCTCAAATGGCTGTCAGGAGCCTTGTTGTGTATCCAGTCGTACTGATTAAAGCTGTGGTTGAGTTATTGTCAAGCTAACCTGCTGCTGTTTCAGAAATAGGTTCCTGTGACTCCAGAATCTGATGCCGTCCTGGAATATCATGATCCTTGTCTTGAGAAGCTGGGTGTTGAACAGCAATTGTCGTTGAGCATGAAGGAGGTGTGGCACCAAGCTCTTGATCTGGAGGGGGTGTGGCACCAAGCATATGTCTTGGAGTGGGTGTGGCACCAATCACTTGACCTGGAGGGCGTGTTGCACCAAGCATTTGACCTGGTGGGGGTGTCTCTCTCAGCACACATCTTGAAGGGGGTGTGGCACGTTCTGGAGATGATGTGCCACCAAGCACATGTGCTGAAGAAGACGTGGCAGCATTTATGCCTCCTGACATGTGACTGGTGTTTCTGTGATTCGGTGTAGACTGACTGTAGGTATCTGGACTAGCAGCCCCAGACTGTGTGTTGACTCCATCAGGAAACCCATACGCTCCCACATACTGATCTCCATGGGTACCCTCAACTCTCATATCTAGGAAACGCAAGAAACATAGATAATGGCACTCTATGTATCAGACAAGCATAAAATAGGTGAAGATGAGAAAAGGAAAAAACATGAGAGGTTCAAAGGGTTACAAAGAATGTATACCCCAGTATGGGTCATGTTGGTATTCTATTTGACAACCTCAATAGCCTTGACAATCTGTCAGAAGGGTGGGAGGTCATATAGGGATGGTTGTGATTGTGTGGTGATTGGTTGGGGGTTGTGTAGCTGTGTTGTGAATGGTGGGGGTCAGGTGGTCTACTCCCATTTGTGAGAACTCCCATTTGTGAGACTCCCAGTTAAGAGACAGTGGAGTAGGTAATTAACAAAGAAAACACACACCCTGCATGATGGAATGGATTAACCCTAGCTAATTACTGATTTGCTATGTAACTGAATCTTTTGGAGGTAACTTAATGAAACTTTATAAGATAAATTGATTAACATACTCCAGTAAATGTCCATAAAAATCAAACACTATGATAATGATAATAAAATATGTTTAAACCAAAACGACTTTCAAACTTCATAATAGTCAATAAAAATGTGTTATCATAATTACATATTCTTCTGAATAAATAAAATATTAAATGAATTATTTCGTCTTTGTAAATAAAATCTTTGATAATCTATTTCATTAATCAACTCATCAATGAACTATGCCTCCTGTGGGTACTGGGCTGGGCTGATCCCACTTTCATTGTGGGGATGTGGAAACACCACCTATGTGCACTGAACCATTAATTAATGTGTCTCACAACTGGGAGTTCTCACAAATGGGAGGACACTGGTCAGGTAGCTGTGTGGTGATTGGTGGTGGTGGGGGTTGGGGGTGTAGCTGTGGGTGGATGGGTAGCTGTGCGTCATTGGTGGGGATGGGTAGCTGAGTGGTGATTGGTGATTGTAGGTGACTGGTGGGGGGACGGGTAGCTGTGGGTGATTGGTGGGGGGACTGACTGACTGACTGAGTTTGGTTTTACGCCGCTTTTTAGCAATATTCCAGCAACATCACCGCGGGGGACACCAGAAATGGGCTTCACACATTGTGCCCATGTGGGGATTCGAACCCGGGTCTTGGGCGTGACGAGCCAACGGTTTAACCATTAGGCTACCCCACCACCCCTATTGGTGGGGGGAACGGGTAGCTGTGGGTGATTGGTGGGGGGAACGGGTAGCTATGGGTGATTGGTGGGGGTTGGTGATTGTGAGTGATTGGTGGGGGGAACGGCTAGCTGTGGTTGATTGGTGGGGGTTGGTGATTGTGGGTGACTGGTGGGGGAAACGGGTATGAATATTCCAAAACAAGTTGTTTACGAGTCGGGTTGCAAATGTGCGGTCTAAACTGAGTACCTACAGCACAAGTTATAACATTCGTAGAAAATTTGATCATCATATTGCCGTTGAAATGCTCAGTTGCCTCACCTGTCCTTCTCGAAGCCATTGACCCTCAGTACATTGTGGATTTCATTATAAAAGAACGTTGTGATGAAAACGATTGTAGTCCTGCGCGGTTTCAATAAGGAACTTAAACAGGGGAATCACCTACAACCTATAAAATCCACACCAGGAAATATCTATGTATGAAGCATTATACTGTAAACATTATAAGGGAAATAACTGTGTTTAGGATGAATACCAAAATGTATACGTCATTTCTCATAGAGGGCGCTGTAGATCTAAGGCAAAAAAATGTCAGCGTACTGTATGTTCACGTGTGGAATGTTTTGATTTGCTTATTTACAACATTAAATATATTGCAATGGCAAGAGAAACGTAATTACCTTAGATTTATTGCCATTAATTAAACACAAAATGACAAAATTTGTTTTGCCCTTGGATTGGCAGTTGTCACTGGCTGTGAACTGTTGCATAAGCCTCATTTAGTCGGCAAGGCACAGCTCTTCCGAGTCACCGTGTCAGAAACTGTGACGAGTCGGGCTCATAGCTCCTCACCTGTGCAGACACATTCGTGGTGATCGTGTGCGCCACTAATACTACGGAATATGAATTCTATAAGGATACTTGGAGGGTCACCTTTGCGGCCATCATCTCTGTGGAAGGTTTTGGTACAGTACCGGACACTAAAAACTTCCCCTATATGGCGTCAGAAGGCCCCAGGAGTTCAGAACAATTCAAAGACAGCCGTGCCAAAGATTTCTGAAGTAAAGCGAATAATTGGCTTGGCTAAACCAGAAAGATTGAAATTAGCAGGTGAGACCACTGAGAGCCCCAGACATGCCATGACTAAGCATATTTGGTGTGAGTGAGTATTATTTTATGGTGTTTTAGCAACAACGTTGCTTAGGATACAGGAAATATGTTTCACACTTTGTAGACTTTTGTCCAATCAAAACAGGCCCCCTTTGTGACAAGTGTCCATTTTAACAAATTAGCAAACAGACTGCCACCACAAATATTACTTGTAATATCTCAATGACAGGATATATGGATGTGTTTCTTAGACAGTTTAAGAGGTATTGAATCAAGAAATTGCAATGAGTGTTTGAAAAAATGGAAGAGCTAGATGTAGTGACAGTATCATGCCCAGTACTTATAGATAAAATATATAAGTAAAATTGTAAACATATAATGCCTGCCCAAATGATCAAAAATTCAACTTTTGTCATGGACTTGTTGATAGTCAGTTTTCATAAGGTATAAAAATGTAGTTAAAACCAGTTAAACAATCAGTTTCAAACTGGCAACATCCACCACAATATTTTTCCAAGCTAACTCATGTGGATGAATATTTCAATTCACTATTTTCAATGTAAAGCCTGATTTATGAACTGAGCTTTACATATTCTGGAAAATCTTATGGATGGTCTGGATTGAAAGGCAGTGCTTCCCTCCAGGTTTAGGAAAGTCTCTTTCCTTTCAGATGTTTATTCCTAAGAAGCTAGAATTTATACGGAATTAGTTGTACAGCCAGCATCTGTCATTCAGAATACCCTGTCTTGACCTTTTTCGAGGCTGCTTGATTAGAAAACACATTCTGACTGTCACTTTGCCAGTCTGGTAAGCGAAGCACACGTTGGGTGAAAGATCTCTTGTATTGCTTGGATTGAGATGCCCTGGTACAATAGGTGCAGTACAGGACCCCGTTTCACAAAACTCTTGTAAGCCTAAGATCTCGTAACTAGAGATGTGACGGTATAGAAATTTCACGAAACAATACATATTGCGATATCTTGGAACGATACGATTCGATTCGATGCAAATCGCGATATGCCATGTTTAGTTATTTTCTTTTAAAAAGTATATTTTGATAGCAAGGTACAGTGTAAGTTTTGAAATAACCGTCAATTTCTGGTGAAAATTAACAGTTTTAAGATCAACGATACATATCACGATACGAAAGAAAGAATTGATATATATATATATATCGTTAGATAAAGTATCACGATTTTAAATTCAACGATATATCATCACAGCTCTACTTGTAACTGTTCTTGTAGCAATCATACCTCATATACTGTAACATAGACTTACAGCAGTCGTAGCGATACGATAACTTTGGGAAAAGGAGCCCAGGATGATATACCCTGGATGATATATTGATATATTCTAGTGATTTAGCAGCCAGCAATATCCAAGCTATTATGACATGGGACTAATGGCTGGTCAAACCATGTGATTGATGTTGTAAGCAATGGTCCATGCTGTTGTCACAGAATCTCACCACCCTTTCCGTGTAGTCATGCAATAAGCATAGGTTGCTGGGAACCTTTTCTCACCCAAATCCCTGACAAGTATACAAGTTTAATCTGTCGCCCACAACAATATTCCAGGTATAAGGCCATGGTCTTTTGATTGAGATCTTGATTGATATGATGGCATGCAGCTAACCTTGGCCCTGAACGTGACAACCAATGAGTTTAGTCACATCTTGTGACAAGCTCGGGATGCTTGAGACCTATATTCTTGCCGAAATCCCGCATGTTAAACTGAAGATTGTCTGGGTGGAACTAGTACTTGACTGACTGACTGACTTAGTTTGGTTTTAAGCCGCTTTTAGCAATATTCCAGCAACATCACCGCGGGGGACACCAGAAATGGGCTTAACAAGTACTTCAGATGACATTGTGTACCCCATGTGGTTTGCGGAACAGAACAGATCCACAGTGACCCATGGGTGTTGTCGTGAGACCTGACTGAAAGTGAAATGCATGATTAGGTGGTCACAAAGGGGGAACAGGCTGATAGTGGAGTATACCGTATCATCATTCCTGATGGTGTGGACCATCACTGTCGTCAACTGGATTTGGGGATCATTTCTCAGAAAAATTTCTGTCAGCCATGATGTATCTGGAAAAGTGCCAACAGCTGTGTACATCATCCAGTCATAACCGTGGTCTGTGACATAGTTGTTGTAATGGCTGGCCCACTGTAACTGCCAGTATGTATTGTTCCACTACTAGGCAGATAACTGTGATATCAGCTGTTTATGACTTTGGATGAAAGGAGAGTATAATATCACTACTCACGTGGAACACAGATGGCTCAGGTGGACATTTAATTAATGTTGATACACAGATGATGAGCTGATTACAAATATCTCAACTTGATAGCTCTTCATTTCATATAATGAAATATATCCATACATATACACATATTTCCACGCCTTTCCGAGCTTCCCAGTTGTTTACAGGGTCAAATATGTAATTATATTTCCATGCCACCATATAATATTAATGTCTCTGTCCATGATCTGTGTATAATGACAACTAGAAAACTCCATGGGTTTAATTTATTGTTTTATTGAATGTGCAGTAGCAGAGTAAAATATACCCCCAGTGTTTCATAGTTTAAGAAGGCAAATATTGGAAGCTATCATATATAGAGAATACTACACACGGTCTCATTACATATGAATTATACGAAACGAGTGTCCTTCCTATGGTATCTGACCGAGGCGAAGCCGCGAGTCAGAAACCATAGGAAGGTCACGAAGCTTCAGATAATTCGTGATGTAATGAGACCGAGTGTGGTATTTTATTTATTACCCACGTCTTACATACATTGAATTGACAAAATAGCGTATTTTTGTTATTGTTGTGGTTTCAAACCGAAACCGGTTGCATAAAGAGGTTGCGGAAGAATTTGTCCTGAAGTACACTTTTGCATGACGTCACACTGTATTGACGTCACTACGCCATTCTGCTGTCCCCTTGGTAACCGACGTCATGATGCATGTCAGTTGTCATCGCCTCTCGTACAGCCTCCTACAGTAAACTACTCCGTAGCACCCCGTTTCTTGGTTTGCAACTGCTTCACTCGTCTAACATCACTGGTGGAAACATTGCGTATATGTTTTCGACGGATATAATGTCTCAGTTCGACTCACAATTAAACAGCGACACGGCAACGTTCGCAATGTTTACATTCCCACAATGCATGTAAGTTGTAGAATGAATGAATTCACGTGTTTGTTATGAATGAACAAGTAGTTCTGTCACAACGTGACCTAACTGAGAGGTCATCGGTTATCCAATCAAATCGTTAGAATCTCAGGTCAAGTCGTTACGACACAGATCAACGCGATACGACACTCGTGTGACGTACGAGATTAGTATGCAACTACCCATACGTTGACCACATGGGTAATAAATACATGTACCTCTTAAGTCTAAGGCTTTGAGTAGTCCCATCCTGATGTGAACCTGTACCCTCATCACACAGACGGAGATGTGTGGCTATGAGAATGCCTTGCTAGAACGTGTGATTCATCCATACATCAACTGACAGCAGCCACCAACGCAAAAGTTCAAACATCACCATTTTGTATATGTGACAGCTTTAAAATAGGCCATAGTGTACGACTATTGTTACTTCAGAGCTTGTGACATGCTGTGTGTGGGTTACTGGACGTCCATGTTGACTGTATTCTGTGTGTGGGTTACTGGACGTCCATGTTGACTGTATTCTGTGTGTGGGTTACTGGACGTCCATGTTGACTGTATTCTGTGTGCGGGTTACTGGACGTCCATGTTGACTGTATTCATGTGTGACTGGATCGTATTCTGTATTCTGTGTGCGGGTTACTGGACGTCCATGTTGACTGTATTCTGTGTGTGGGTTACTGGACGTCCATGTTGACTGTATTCTGTGTGCGGGTTACTGGACGTCCATGTTGACTGTATTCTGTGTGTGGGTTACTGGACGTCCATGTTGACTGTATTCTGTGTGCGGGTTACTGGACGTCCATGTTGACTGTATTCTGTGTGCGGGTTACTGGGCGTCCATGTTGACTGTATTCTGTGTGCGGGTTACTGTGTGTGGGGGTTACTGGACGTCCATGTTGACTGTATTCTGTGTGTGGGTTACTGGACGTCCATGTTGACTGTATTCTGTGTGCGGGTTACTGGACGTCCATGTTGACTGTATTCTGTGTGTGGGTTACTGGACGTCCATGTTGACTGTATTCTGTGTGTGGGTTACTGGACGTCCATGTTGACTGTATTCTGTGTGTGGGTTACTGCGTCCATGTTGACTGTATTCTGTGTGTGGGTTACTGGACGTCCATGTTGACTATTATTCTGTGTCGTGGGTTACCGGGCGTCCATGTTGACTGTATTCTGTGTGTGGGTTACTGGACGTCCATGTTGACTGTATTCTGTGTGTGGGTTACTGGGCGTCCATGTTGACTGTATTCTGTGTGTGGGTTACTGGACGATGGGACTTACTGTGGCGGGCGTCCATGTTGACTGTATTCTGTGTGTGGGTTACTGGACGTCCATGTTGACTGTATTCTGTGTGCGGGTTACTGGACGTCCATGTTGACTGTATTCTGTGTGTGGGTTACTGGACGTCCATGTTGACTGTATTCTGTGTGCGGGTTACTGGACGTCCATGTTGACTGTATTCTGTGTGCGGGTTACTGGACGTCCATGTTGACTGTATTCTGTGTGTGGGTTACTGGACGTCCATGTTGACTGTATTCTGTGTGTGGTTGACTGTATTCTGTACTGGGTTACGGGCGTCCATGTTGACTGTATTCTGTGTGTGGGTTACTGGACGTCCATGTTGACTGTATTCTGTGTGCGGGTTACTGGGCGTCCATGTTGACTGTATTCTGTGTGGGGTTACTGGACGTCCATGTTGACTGTATTCTGTGTGTGGGTTACTGGACGTCCATGTTGACTGTATTCTGTGTGTGGGTTACTGGACGTCCATGTTGACTGTATTCTGTGTGCGGGTTACTGGACGTCCATGTTGACTGTATTCTGTGTGCGGGTTACTGGACGTCCATGTTGACTGTATTCTGTGTGCGGGTTACTGGACGTCCATGTTGACTGTATTCTGTGTGTGGGTTACTGGACGACTCCATTCTGTGTGTTTACTGGGTTACTGGACGTGTTGACTTCTTATTGTGGGGTTACTGGGACGTCCATGTTGACTGTATTCTGTGTGTAGGGTTACTGGACGTCCATGTTGACTGTATTCTGTGTGCGGGTTACTGGACGCGTTGACTGTATTCTGTGTGTTGGTTACTGGACGCCCATGTTGATTGTATTGACTGTATGTCTGTGTGTGGGTTACTGGACGTCCATGTTGACTGTATTCTATATCTGCGGGTTACTGGACGTCCATGTTGACTGTATTCTGTGTGCGGGTTACTGGGCGTCCATGTTGACTGTATTCTGTGTGTGCGGGTTACTGGGCGTCCATGTTGACTGTATTCTGTGTATGGGGTTACTGGACGTCCATGTTGACTGTATTCTGTGTGCGGGTTACTGGACGTCCATGTTGACTGTATTCTATGTGCGGGTTACTGGGCGTACTGTTGACGTCCTATGTTGACTACTGGGCGTATTCTGTATGTGTGTATTCTATGTATTCTCGGGGTTACTGGACGTCCATGTTGACTGTATTCTGTGTGTGGGTTACTGGGCGTCCATGTTGACTGTATTCTGTGTGTGGGTTACTGGTTACATGGACTGTCCATGTTGACTGTATTCTATGTGACTGGTTACTGGTGCGGGTTCCATGTTGACTGTATTCTATGTGCGGGTTACTGGACGTCCATGTTGACTGTATTCTATGTGCGGGTTACTGGACGTCCATGTTGACTGTATTCTGTGTGTGGGTTACTGGACGTCCATGTTGACTGTATTCTGTGTGTGGGTTACTGGACGTCCATGTTGACTGTATTCTATGTGCAGGTTACTGGACGTCCATGATGACTGTATTCTGTGTGTGGGTTACTGGACGTCCATGTTGACTGTATTCTGTGTGTGGCATAGCAGCCATTTTGGAATCCTCATTTCTGCACGTTTCATAATGACATTGCATACAGCAAATATCTGGTGTGTGATGAGAATGGTCATTTTAGTATTTATCTGAATTCCCCCATGGGAATGAACACAAAAGATTTGTTTCAAGTTCAGGTTAAAGGTTGACATTAAATTTTATCTGTAAATGAATGAATACGATCAAGGGTTAGCCTCTGTCAGAAATCACAAAGGGTGACTCCATTGGGAGATATGACTGCTGGGAAACATGCAAGAATGTTTGTGATTCAAGCGCAATAATCACTTGTTGTCATGGGAATCAGTTGATTCTGCAATGAACAAGCCCTGAAAGATGTCTCTGACTTTTAAGTATGACTGAATAGATATGTAATGGGTCACTAATTTTGCATAATAACGCACAGCATTTCAGTCTTACTGTCACAGACTCAACTGCACCTACAGCAAGAAGTCATCATGGTTTATATTGTAGTTATGCTGAGAGTACTTCTTGATCTCCTGCCAGGGCTAGCTCAATGTGCCCAGTACTTAGAGATGAAACATTGCCATCATGTAAACATATTTATGTTTCTGTGTTGATGTTTCATGTAGTTATTCCACTGTGTGCTGGTTGTCTCCAGGTGCGTTGGGGCTGCTGGTGGTGTCCAGTAGCGTGACCATGGCCGTGCCGTTCTGTATCGGGAAGGTGATCGACATCATCTACACAGCGTCACAGGAGGGGAAGATGGAGGAGAGACTCAATTCACTCTGCAAGATATTACTGGTGGTTTTTCTCATCGGAGGAGTCGCAAACTTTGGACGGGTCTATTTGATGACGGTCGCTGGCCAAAACATTGTGAAGAGTCTTCGAGAAAAGTTGTTCAATTCAGTTATGAAGCAAGAAATTGGATTCTTTGACAAAACTAAGACTGGGGAGCTGATAAATCGTTTGTCGGCCGATACATCACTTGTTGGACAGTCTGTGACAAACAACATATCTGATGGACTGAGGTCGATAGCACAAGCTGTAGGTGGGGTTGGGATGATGGTGAGTTGGAGGGTTTGATGGTGAGTTGAAGGGGTTGATGGTGAGTTGAAGGGGTTGATGGTGAGTTGGAGGGTTTGATGGTGAGTTGAAGGGGTTGATGGTGACTTGGAGGGGGATAATGGTCAATTGGAGTGGGAGAAGATTATGAGTTGGAGAAGAATATCCTTGAGGTTTTTTGCTTCGACATTGAAGTTAAATATTTCAGTCATTTGGTTACACAGTTATATGAAACCTCTTCAAGTTATTTTCAAATATTAATTTTCAAGCCCCTAGTTATCATTGACTATGTTTTGTTGCCATTGTTTTCAGGTGTATGTCTCTGCCAAGCTAACAGCGATATCCTTAGGCATTGTGCCGCCAGTGGCCCTTGTGTCTATCATATATGGTCGGTATGTGCGGAACATCACCAAGCAAGTACAGTCCTCTCTGGCCAATGCCACTCAGGTAGAGAACTACTTTCCTGTCAGCACTACATATTCCTACATCATCCTGAATTACTAGACAATGCATTTAATGTGTCAGACATGAATTGGAGAATTGAATTGTTCCCAGACAGTGATGAGGGGAGACAACTATGAAAAGTGGAAGTGACATGTAGAAAATTCTAGTTCTAGATGCCTTGTTTTGCATTTTCATGTGCTTGATTCTTTGGAGACTATGATAGTATCTTAACAACTGCAGCTTGCTGAAGAGAAGGTGGGCAACATCCGCACCGTGCGAGCATTTGCACAAGAAGAGAAGGAATGTGAAGCCTATAACCAAAAGATCGACCATGTTCTGAAGTTGTCATACAAGGAAGCATTGGCTCGTGGAGTCTTCTGGGGATTTGTGAGTACCTGCACAGCATAATTGGTTCAATAAAGATAAGGACTGGCTGGTACAAAACACACAGCTTTACAAACCTAACTTCTGTCATCTGGGATGTCAGGTAACTGTGCATTCAGTCTAAAATATAAATAATCTGGAATATCTGTCTAGAACATGAGTTATCTCTCCATGTCTCTGTCACAGGCATCAAGTAATATTGTTATACTGTCAGTATGTTGCATGGAACAGACAGGAATGTATGGTACTGTGGTCATGCAGTCAGTATGTAGCATGAGTTATCTCCCCTGTTTCTGACAGGCTGGGATGTCTGGTAATGTGGTCATGCAGTCAGTACATAGTATGAGTTATCTCTCCTGTTTCTGACAGACTGGGATGTCTGGTAATGTGGTCATGCAGTCAGTATGTAGCATGAGTTATCTCCCCTGTTTCTGACAGACTGGGGTGTCTGGTAATGTGGTCATGCAGTCTGTATGTAGTATGAGTTATCTCCCCTGTTTCTGACAGACTGGGATGTCTGGTAATGTGGTCATGCAGTCAGTATGTAGCATGAGTTATCTCCCCTGTTTCTGACAGACTGGGATGTCTGGTAATGTGGTCATGCAGTCAGTACATAGCATGAGTTATCTCCTGTATGTAGCATGAGTTATCTCCCTGTTTCTGACAGACTGGGATGTCTGGTAATGTGGTCATGCAGTCAGTACATAGTATGAGTTATCTCCCCTGTTTCTGACAGACTGGGATGTCTGGTAATGTGGTCATGCAGTCTGTATGTAGCATGAGTTATCTCCCCTGTTTCTGACAGACTGGGATGTCTGGTAATGTGGTCATGCAGTCAGTATGAGTTATCTCTCCTGTACAGACTGGGATGTCTGGTAATGTGGTCATGCAGTCTGTATGTAGCATGGTAGTATGAGTTATCTCCCCTGTTTCTGACAGACTAGGGGATGTCTGGTAATGTGGTCATGCAGTCAGTACATAGTATGAGTTATCTCCCCTGTTTCTGACAGACTGGGGTGTCTGGTAATGTGGTCATGCAGTCAGTACATAGTATGAGTTATCTCTCCTGTTTCTGACAGACTGGGATGTCTGGTAATGTGGTCATGCAGTCAGTATGTAGCATGAGTTATCTCCCCTGTTTCTGACAGACTGGGATGTCTGGTAATGTGGTCATGCAGTCAGTACATAGTATGAGTTATCTCCCCTGTTTCTGACAGACTGGGATGTCTGGTAATGTGGTCATGCAGTCTGTATGTAGCATGAGTTATCTCCCCTGTTTCTGACAGACTGGGGTGTCTGGTAATGTGGTCATGCAGTCAGTACATAGTATGAGTTATCTCCCCTGTTTCTGACAGACTGGGATGTCTGGTAATGTGGTCATGCAGTCAGTACATAGCATGAGTTATCTCCCCTGTTTCTGACAGGCTGGGATGTCTGGTAATGTGGTCATGCAGTCAGTACATAGTATGAGTTATCTCTCCTGTTTCTGACAGACTGGGATGTCTGGTAATGTGGTCATGCAGTCTGTATGTAGCATGAGTTATCTCCCCTGTTTCTGACAGACTGGGATGTCTGGTAATGTGGTCATGCAGTCAGTACATAGTATGAGTTATCTCTCCTGTTTCTGACAGACTGGGGTGTCTGGTAACGCCATCGTGCTGTCAGTGTTCTACTACGGAGGGCTGATGATGACCGAGTCACAGATGACAGTCGGAGAGCTGTCGGCGTTCCTCCTGTATGCAGCCTACGTGGGAGTGTCTATGGGAGGTGAGCTCTCACAACTTGTACACAGCAATAAGTGGGCTGGTTTCCTGAACCTACAAACTGATGATGTTCTTCATTCCTTAGTGCATGTGTTTTCACATAGATTTTACTGTAAGCTCATCTAAAGATGGTATTGAATATGTGTATTTTAGGCTTGACGATTTTCTACATAGAAATGAAGTATGGTTTATATTGCAGGCTTGACGACTTTCTACACAGATATCAAGTATGGTATATATTGCAGGATAGATATCAAGTATGGTATATATTGCAGGTTGGACAGCTTTCTACATAGACATGAAGTATGGTATATATTGCAGGCTTGACCACTTTCTACACAGATAAGAAGTATGGTATATATTGCAGGCTTGACGACTTTCTACATAGACATGAAGTATGGTATATATTGCAGGCTTGACGGCTTTCTACACAGACATGAAGTATGGTATATATTGCAGGATAGATATCAAGTATGGTATATATTGCAGGCTTGACGACCTTCTACATAGACATGAAGTATGGTATATATTGCAGGCTTGACGACTTTTTACACAGACATGAAGTATGGTATATATTGCAGGATAGATATCAAGTTTGGTATATATTGCAGGCTTGACGACTTTCTACACAGACATGAAGTATGGTATATATTGCAGGCTTGACGACTTTCTACACAGATATCAAGTATGGTATATATTGCAGGCTTGACGACATTTTACACCGAGCTGATGCGTGGCCTGGGGGCAAGTTCCCGACTCTGGCAATTGATGGACAGACAGCCCCAGATTCCTGTGACAGGTATACACTTATTTCTTCTTCCACTTTCGTCACCCACCCAATCTGGTGTATGATGTACAATATCAAGGGTTTTTTTATTTATCATTTAATGATGTACCGGTATTCAGCAATATTAGAGCCATGTGAAAACCACCTGTAAATCTGGAGCAGTGATTGATAGCAAGGTTTGTTGTATTGGAGTATGACATCACAAGTCATTGAGCCCATATATATCAAGGTAGTCCTGTTCTAACCAAGAATCCCAAAGGCGCCAACTAGCATACACATTATATTTAATCTTCATTTCAGCCGGTCTATCACCGTCCAGTTCGCCGCAGGGCAACATTAGCTTCAACAACATCAATTTCCATTACCCATCCCGTCCCGAGACAACAATTTTCTCGGACCTGAGCTTGAATGTCCCATCTGGCTCTGTGACTGCCGTGGTTGGTCCCAGTGGGTCGGGGAAGTCCACGCTAGGTGCTTTGCTTCTCCGCATGTATGATCCCACGCAGGGTAAGTATGCTCCATAACACTCCTACGTATGTACAATCCCTCACAGGGTAAGTCTGATCCATACCACTCCTACGTATGTACGATCCCTTACGTATGTCTGATCCATAACACTCCTACGTATGTACGATCCCTCACAGGGTAAGTCTGATCCACACCACTCCTACGTATGTACAATCCCTCACAGGGTAAGTCTGATCCAAACCATTCCTACGTATGTATGATTCCATTCAGAGTAAGTCTGATCCACACCTCACTCCTATGATTCCATATGTCTGATCGATCCCTCACAGGGGTAAGTCTGATCCACACCACTCCTTCAGATGTAATGATCCCTCACAGGGTATGTCTGATCCAAACCACTCCTACTGTATGTATGTACGATCCCTCACAGGGTAAGTCTGATCCACACCACTCCTACGTATGTACGATCCCTCACAGGGTAAGTCTGATCCACACCACTCCCTCATCCCTCACAGGGTAAGTCTGATCGTATGTGCGATCCCTCACAGGGTAAGTCTGATCCACACCACTCCTGCGTGTATCCCACACAGGGTAAAGTCTGATCCACACCACTCACAGGATCCCTTCACAGTAAAGTCTGATCCACACCACTCCCTACATGTATGTAAGTCTGATCCCTCACAGGGTAAGTCTGATCCACACCACTCCTTTGTATGTACGATCCCTCACAGGGTAAGTCTGATCCACACCACTCCTACTGTATGTACAGGGTAAGTCTGATCCCTCACAGGGTAAGTCTGATCCACACCACTCCCTAATGTGATGTACGATCCCTCACAGGGTAAGTCTGATCCACACCACTCCTAGGGTAAGTCTGATGTACGACGATCCCTCACAGTATAAGTCTGATCCACACCACTCCCTCGTGATGTACGATCCCTCACAGGGTAAGTCTGATCCAAACCACTCCTACATGATGTAATGATTCCTCACAGGGTAAGTCTGATCCACACCACTCCTTCAGTGTATATGCGATCCCTCACAGGGTAAGTCTGATCCAAACCACTCCCTAATGTATGTACGCGATCCCTCACAGTATAAGTCTGATCCACAACACTCCTAATGCATGTAATGATCCCATTCAGAGTAAGTCTGATCCACACCACTCCTACGCATGTATGTCACATCCCATTCAGAGTAAGTCTGATCCACACCACTCCTACGTGTATGTACGATTCCCCCCTCACAGGGTAAGTCTGATCCACACCACCCCTACGCATGTACAGATCCCTCACAGTATAAGTCTGATCCACACCACTCCTACATCCCTGCACTATGTAAGTCTGATCCCCCTCGATCCCTCACAGTATAAGTCTGATCCACACCACTCCTAATGTATGTACGATCCCTCACAGGGTAAGTCAGGGTAAGTCTGATCCATCCACCCACTCCCCTCACAGGGTAAGTCTGATCCAAACCATTCCTACGTATGTATGATCCCTCACAGGGTAAGTCTGATCCACACCACTCCTACGTATGTACGATCCCTCACAGGGTAAGTCTGATCCACACCACTCCTACGTATGTACGATCCCTCACAGGGTAAGTCTGATCCACACCACTCCTACGTATGTACGATCCCTCACAGGGTAAGTCTGATCCACACCACTCCTACGTATGTACGATCCCTCACAGGGTAAGTCTGATCCACCACTCCACTCCTACATGTCTGATCCACATCACTCCTTTGTAGTATACGTCCCACAGGGTAGTAAGTCTGATCCCACACAGGGTAAGTCTGTTCCACACCACTCCCTGCATGTACGATCCTTCACAGGGTAAGTCTGATCCACACCACTCCTACGTATGTACGATCCCTCACAGTATAAGTCTGATCCACACCACTCCTACGTATGTACGATCCCTCACAGGGTAAGTCTGATCCAAACCACTCCTACGTATGTACGATTCCTCACAGGGTAAGTCTGATCCACACCACTCCTTAGGTATGTAATGATCCCTCACAGGGTAAGTCTGATCCAAACCACTCCTAATGTATGTGCAGATCCCTCAGAGTATAAGTCTGATCCACACCACTCCTACGTGTGTGCGATCCCTCACAGGGTAAGTCTGATCCACCACCCCTACTCCCCATTCAGTAAGTCTGATCCACACCACTCCTCGTGTGTGCGATCCCTCACAGGGTAAGTCTGATCCACACCACTCCTACATTATATGCGATCCCTCACAGTATAAGTCTGATCCACACCACTCCTACGTGTATGCGATCCCTCACAGGGTAAAGTCTGATCCACACCACTCCTTAGGTAATGATGCACGATCCCTCACAGGGTAAGTCTGATCCAAACCACTCCCTCACGTGTATGCGCGATCCCTCACAGGGTTAAGTCTGATCCACACCACTCCTACGTATGTACGATCCCTCACAGTATAAGTCTGATCCACACCACTCCTACGTATGTACGATCCCTCACAGTATAAGTCTGATCCACACCACTCCCTCACAGGGTAAAGTATGCGATCCCTCACAGGGTAAGTCTGATCCACACCACTCCTACGTATGTACGATCCCTCACAGGGTAAGTCTGATCCACACCACTCCTACGTATGTACGATCCCTCACAGTATAAGTCTGATCCACACCACTCCTACGTATGTACGATCCCTCACAGGGTAAGTCTGATCCACACCACTCCTACGTATGTACGATCCCTCACAGTATAAGTCTGATCCACACCGCTCCTACGTATGTACGATCCTTCACAGTATAAGTCTGATCCACATCACTGTATGATCCCACACAGGTTAGGTACGCTCAACGACACTCCTAAGTATGTACAATCCCACACAGGTTAAGTAGGCTCAACGATGCTCCTAAATATGTACGATCCCACACAGGTTAAGTACACTCTATGGTACTCATACATTTTTACAATTATTCCCTAGTCGAGCCCATGGCACTTCCTCGCATACCTTTTGTATGAAGTAGTGTTACATACTGTATCCATGTTTACAGTGCACATATTAGGGGTAGCTGTAGCGAAGTATACAACATTCTTAGATCCTGTACTCGACTGACAATCACAGTGCTCAGACAGTTGGAAGTCCCATGCTTTATCAAAGATTAATTGCATTGGCATTGAGATTATCGTAACAGTTTTACTTAACACAAACTGTTTTAGAATGAGCCTACTGTTGTAAGGGAGAGCACAAGATCCCTAGTTTGCTAGTTTGTTGATAACAAATGAATAAGTGAGTGAGTTTAGTTTTACGCCACACTCAGCAATATTCCAGCTATATGGCAACTATCTGTAAATAATCGAGTCTGGACCAGGCAGTCCAGTGATCAACAGCATGAGCATCTATCTACGCAATTGGGATACGATGACATGTGTCAACCAAGTCAGCGAGCCTGATCACTCGATCCTATTAGTCGCCTCTTATGACAAGCATGTGTTACTGAAGATCAGTTCTAACCCGGATCTTCACGGGTAGACAAACGCGAGTGTTACTGAAGATCAGTTCTAACCCGGATCTTCACGGGTGGAGACAAGCATGTGTTACTGAAGATCAGTTCTAACCCGGATCTTCACGGGTGGAGACAAGCATGTGTTACTGAAGATCAGTTCTAACCCGGATCTTCACGGGTGTTTTATGGATGAAGAAGCTGATCATCCATAAACACTTGTCATTCTTGACATATGACTGTTTTGTAGGAAGTGTCCAACTTGATGGCCAAGATATCCGTGAGTTGAACCCCACCTGGCTCAGGAATCAGATCGGAACTGTAAACCAGGTAAGTTGTATCATCGTCCATGCATCATCACCTGTATTATGATGTGTATTTTCCCTTGTCAGCCTTGTGTTTGCGAGCTGCCAGTGGCACCTTCCGTGGCTCATGGATATTTGTCCTGTTGTCCCTGAAGTTGTCACACTGTTGCCGACATCACAGGTACCCTCTCTGAATTGACCTAATCATCAGCAATAAATGTTTCCATTCAGGATTTCAAATATTAAGATTATGAAGTGTACAGTAAATGCCCGAATGTGCTGTGCTTCCTAGGAGCCTGTGTTGTTCTCCTGCTCCATCGGTGAGAACATCGCCTACGGTGCCTCTGACCCAACCGCTGTGACAAAGGACCACATTGTTATGGCAGCCAAACAAGCAAACGCTTACAACTTTATCCAGTCATTCCCGGAGGGCTTCCAGACTCTTGTCGGGGAGAGAGGACACATGCTGTCAGGTAAGCCCACAACGTGGTGTCTTGTCCATGTATCACCAGGATGGAAGCTGCTGTTGCACAGATGCTACTTGATACCGGAACAGGGCCTCCTTCCATCCCATGCTAGGGTCACCTTCAAGGGACCAGGAAATATTAGTCACTGCTTCACTGCTTCACTCCTGTGGGACAAGTTCATGCAATAACTCAGTGTGCTTGTGGCTGCAAGAGTTGAGATTGATAATATGATGTGCCATTGAGATTGACATCCAATGATCGAGGAAAAAAAAAAGCGCTTTGTTGCGTGGATATGTTCGCTATATAAATATCCTATAATAATAATAAATAAATAATAATCTCACTGAGAAGAGTCGTGTCTCCTAGTTGGCTATGGTTTCAGATTCATATTCTAGTCCCTGTCCGTCAGTACATGTCTGTTCATGAGGTCTTTGTTAGTCGTAATCACATAAATATATGAACCAATCACTTTTTTAAACATACTCTGTCCATCAGTAATTCTGATAATGTCTGTAACATCCTTAGTGAATAGGGATCTGGTGGGTATAAGGTCAAATCTAGGAGATCTTCAGATAGCATGGATTGTAATTGACTGACCCTTTCAGATGTTGAGTAGTATGGATTAACTGACTGAACCTTATCAAGTGTTTGGTAGTATGAATTAACTGACTGAACCCTATCAAGTATGTGGTAGTATGGATTAACTGACTGAACCCTATCAAGTGTTGGGTAGTATGGATTAACTGACTGAACCCTATCAAGTGCTGGGTAGTATGGATTAACTGACTGAACCCTATCAAGTGCTGGGTAGTATGGATTAACTGACTGAACCCTATCAAGTGTTGGGTAGTATGGATTAACTGACTGAACCCTATCAAGTGTTGGGTAGTATGGATTAACTGACTGAGCCCTATCAAGTGTTGGGTAGTATGGATTAACTGACTGACCCTATCAAGTGTTGGGTAGTATCAGAAACAGCCTTTAAATATTGATTCAGTAAGAAGCTATTGAACTGTTTGTATGTTTGCCTGCAGGTGGCCAGAGACAGAGAGTTGCTATAGCAAGGGCGATCTTGAAGGTAATATACAAATATTTAAAACAGTAACAATTGCTGCTCAAAAGAAGTATAAAGAATACCTGAATTTGTTTCATATGATTTTTTTTTCCCTCGCCATGAAGTGAGGGGGATATAGGTTTGAGCTCCGTCTGTCAGTCCGTCCATCCGTCTGTCTGAGATGATGGGGACAGATTTTCTCAGAAACCATTATAGATAGGGAAACTAAATTTGGTATGTGTTTTCAGAACATGAATGCCTTGATGAAGTTTGAAAATGTCAAACGTATTACAATTTGTTACAGAGTTATGGCCCTTGTCATGCGTTTCATGACTTAGTGCATGGTGTCCCAAAGGGGAACAGATTTTCTCAGTAACTGTTATAGAAGGAAACCATATGTGGTATGTGTTTTCAGGACATGAATATCATGGTGGAGTTAAATACAGGATCTTCCAGCATGACAGATTATTGTCATATGTAAAAATCTAGTGTGCTTATACTTCTGTTAAGTAGGACATACATAATGTCTGCATTCACAGGTCACCTTTGTTGCATCTGAGTAATCTGAATTATATATTTCTTAATATTTCTGTGTTAAAATATTTGGCCCTAACATTATGAATGGACGAAGCTGGGGCCAGGGGGGTGAGAACGCCAGGTCTATAGCCTGTCATGAAGTAGCTATTAAGTGGTCTTGGTTGATTGACGACATGGGACTTTGCTGAAGTTATCAACCACTGATGGCTGGGTGGGCTCTGCTCTAATATGGCTGTAATTCTGGGGATTATGTGCGAAGATATACGTAATATCATGTCAGTGACAATATGTACTTGCTTCCAGGATCCCAACATTCTACTTCTGGATGAAGCTACGAGGTATGCCGGCAGTTCAGAAGCAGGTTTTCTTATCAAATATGGATTAAGAAATTATCTTGTTATACTTGTGTATCGCTGGTTGTTATGCGAGTTTATTACGGAATGACATACCGGTACCGGTACATTACCAGTGTAATGTGAGTCTATTACCTGTGGCAGGTGAGTATGTTACCTGTGTAATGTGAGTGTATCACCTGTGTAATGTGAGTCTGTTACCTGTGTCAGGTGAGTATGTTACCTGTGTAGCTTGAGCATATTACTAGTAAAGCATGTGTATTACCAGTGTAAAGTGGGTTTATTACCTGTGTAAGGTGGGTGTATTACCTGTGTAGCTTGAGTGTATTACCTGTGTAAGGTGGGTGTATTACCTGTGTAACTTGAGTATATTACCTGTGTAAGGTGGGTGTATTACCTGTGTAACTTGAGTGTATTACCTGTGTAAGGTGGGTGTATTACCTGTGTAACTTGAGTATATTACCTGTGTAAGGTGGGTGTATTTCTAGTGTAGCTTTAGTGTATTACCTGTGTAAAGTGGGTGTATTACCTGTGTAAGGTGGGTGTATTTCTAGTGTAGCTTGAGTGTATTACCTGTGTAAGGTGGGTGTATTACCTGTGTAAGGTGGGTGTATTTCTAGTGTAGCTTGAGTGTATTACCTGTGTAAGGTGGGTGTATTACCTGTGTAAGGTGGGTGTATTACCTGTGTAAGGTGGGTGTATTACCAGTGTAAAGTGGGTATATTACCTGTGTAAGGTAAGTGTATTACCTGTGTAACTTGAGTATATTACCTGTGGTACGTCTGTGTGTTTCTATATGACAGTGCCCTGGATGCAGAGAGCGAGTATCTTGTACAGGAAGCCCTGGAGAGGCTGCTGGTAGACCGGACAGTTATCACAATAGCTCACAGACTCTCTACAATCAAAACAGCCAGTCAGATAGCTGTGATAAACGATGGCTGTATCGTAGAGGTTGGCAGCTACGATGAACTGATGTTGCTGACAGATGGGATGTTTCGGAGATTGGTCGAAAGACAAACTATAACACGATGAGAAGCAGCATAATTTACAGACACAAGTTCTACATCAAAATATATATTAATATATCAGTGATAGTGTTCCACTAGTACCTTAGTCACATGGGTTAGGGACTGTGTTGAGATCAAGGGGAGGTAATCTAACCCGACCATTCAGGATAAGACCGTATACCAATACAGGGCTGTCCTCATATTACCCCATTTCACCTGCACCTCTATCAAAACAAATTTATGGATGAGTGCACAAAACACAATCACCTTCATCCCTTTAAGATAATTAACTCTTCACCTTATAGTAGCTGGGATGTAAGTGATGTATCACCTTATAGTAGCTGGGATATAAGTGGTTTATCACCTTATAGTAGCTGGGATGTAAGTGGTCTATCACCTTATAGTAGCTGGGATGTAAGTGATGTATCACCTTATAGTAGCTGGGATATAAGTGGTTTATCACCTTATAGTAGCTGGGATGTAAGTGGTCTATCACCTTATTGTAGCTGGGATGTAAGTGGTCTATCACCTTATAGTAGCTGGGATGTAAGTGGTCTATCACCTTATAGTAGCTGGGATGTAAGTGGTCTATCACCTTATAGTAGCTGGGATGTAAGTGGTTTATCACCTTATAGTAGCTGGGATGTAAGTGGTTTATCACCTTATAGTAGCTGGGATGTAAGTGGTTTATCACCTTATAGTAGCTGGGATGTAAGTGATGTATCACCTTACAGTAGCTGGGATGTAAGTGGTTTATCACCTTATAGTAGCTGGGATGTAAGTGGTTTATCACCTTATAGTAGCTGGGATGTAAGTGGTCTATCACCTTATAGTAGCTGGGATGTAAGTGGTTTATCACCTTATAGTAGCTGGGATGTAAGTGGTTTATCACCTTATAGTAGCTGGGATGTAAGTGGTCTATCACCTTATAGTAGCTGGGATGTAAGTGGTCTATCACCTTATAGTAGCTGGGATGTAAGTGGTTTATCACCTGCTGGGATGTAAGTGGTTTATCACCTTATAGTAGCTTGGATGTAAGTGGTTTATCACCTTATAGTAGCTGGGATGTAAGTGGTTTATCACCTTATAGTAGCTGGGATGTAAGTGGTTTATCACCTTATAGTAGCTGGATGTAAGTGGTTTATCACCTTATAGTAGCTGGGATGTAAGTGGTTTATCACCTTATAGTAGCTGGGATGTAACCTTACAGTAGCTGGGATGTAAGTGGTTTATCACCTTATAGTAGCTGGGATGTAAGTGGTTTATCACCTTATAGTAGCTGGGATGTAAGTGGTTTATCACCTTATAGTAGCTGGGATGTAAGTGGTCTATCACTTTATAGTAGCTGGGATGTAAGTGGTTTATCACCTTATAGTAGCTGGGATGTAAGTGGTTTATCACCTTACAGTAGCTGGGATGTAAGTGGTTTATCACCTTATAGTAGCTTGGATGTAAGTGGTTTATCACCTTATAGTAGCTGGGATGTAAGTGGTTTATCACCTTATAGTAGCTGGGATGTAAGTGGTTTATCACCTTACAGTAGCTGGGATGTAAGTGGTTTATCACCTTATAGTAGCTGGAGTGTAAGTGGTTTACCACCTTATTGTGGCTGGAGTGTAAGTGGTGTAACAAGTCATAGAAGCTGGGGTGTAAGTGGTGTAACACCTTATTGTGGCTGGAGTGTAAGTGGTTTACCACTTCATAGCTTTTAAGTTGTTTGTGGATAGCTGATGAAATGTTGACAAAGCTTTTTGATATACATTTCGCATCATGTAAACATACTGGAATAAGTGAGTTTTCATTGGTGCAATGTTCATTTACGCAAAGTTTTAGTTTGAAAATGTTGCTTTGATGATTGTCATTCCATGATATTGTTAATAGTAGTGAATGACAGTTTCCAAAAAGGTTTTAATTATTTTTTACAATTTTGTATATAACTAGTCACAGAATTGTTTAAAGTTTCTTGTTTCATTTTGTTGTGTATTGTTGATGGCATATTTGTGCCACTTTGTTTTCCTATGGCTTACGGTATATTTATGTCACTTTTTTCAACAGTTTTTCTAATGAGTATATTTCATAGTGGACAGAATGTACATAATCCAGTTTGTTACAGTATAATCAGAGACTATATAATCTATTATATGGTCTCTGGTATAATATATACAAAAATACATATATTCCATAAAACTGTCATGGACGAAGTTGCTATTGTTCACTAAATCTTCTTAACCTTAACATGGTCAAAGCTTGTGTGCTTGTTTGGTGCATGTTCTAGTGGGTGGCCTAGCGGTTAATGCTCCGGTAATACACGTAGTACAGGTTTCAATAGCTACAACATACAAGGCCACGTGATTCGTCACAAGTAGGACACTAAGACGGCAAATATCGGGTCAGGAACATACTTAGAGAAGGAAGGACATATGACTGACAATTATCATTAATGCATACTATGATCAAAAACACAATTTTCTACCAAGATTTTCACCAGCATGTTGAAGCACCTTAAACGTTTTAGGGCCTTTAGGTTGCTTGGTTGGTTGTTTGATTCCGCACTCGGCCTTATTACAGCTATATGGCGACGATCTGTAAATAATAGCATCTGGACCAGACAATCCAGTGATCAACATGAGCATCGAATCTATGTTATTGGGATACGATGGCATGTGTCAAGCAAGTCAGCGAGCCTGAACCGTTAGTCATCTCTTACGACAAGCATGGGTTGCCAAAGACCAATTCTAACCTGGATCTTCTCGGGCCTTTAGGAATCACAGCCTAATTACTTGCAATAGAAGACGATAGTCTAGTGAGCACCGCTTGTCAAGCAGGAGGACTCGGCTTGATTCTCAACATGGGTACATTGTGTGGTCTTGTGTCCTCACTCACTCACTCACAGTAACATGAAATTGTCAGGAATGTCATATGAAGTAAAGTGATTTGCTGGTTGAATATAGCACCTTGTTTAAGCAAGTTTGAAGGTCTCAACCACGGAACTACTGAAACATACACATCTGGGGTCGAGGACTTGTTTTGTTCTGAGGAACCCACTTCGTATACACTGCACTACTGGGGGTGCAGAAGGTGCCGGTAACCATGGTAACTGGTCAACATTCATCAGATCATATGTCCACTGCATGTTTATGTGTTCCCATTGCCATGACATGTTCTCATTATCATGCTATGCAGTACTGGTGTCTGTGTACATACAGTTTTCCTAGAAATTATTGAGAAAATCTTTGTTTCCTAATACTGATAAAAAAATTAAAAAAGGTGTTACATTATGTAGTAAGGTACTCAGTATGGGACACAACTCTTGTAGGCTTAAGAATGAACCTTACTACATCAAGAGTTATCTCCCATGGTGTAGCAGACGGCTTCCTTTGTTGACATGGCAGATTTCACAGCAGAAGAGAAAAGAAATCTGGTTCCAGATGATTTTGAAAGGGGTGTGACTAATGCAAAAGAGTAAGCTGGTAGTCATGGCATTCCTCTGTCTACAGTTTACAGTTTTTTGAAGAATATTCAGTCAGGAGTTGGGACTGAGCAGGCAGGGAGGCCAAGGAAGTTCAGTACTACGGATCGCCGGCGACTTGTTCAGATTGTGTGTAGGTGAAAATTGAAAAGCGTTGAGAATATCAGAAATGAGATGAGTCCTCAGGTATGCAATGAAATACTTAGACAAGAATTACAAAGACTTAGCTGGGTGAACAAGCAGAATTCCCTCACCATTGATGAAAGATGCACAAAAAGAAAGATGTTTAAACTGGTGTAGGGCTCACGAAAATCAAGATTGGGATAATGTTTTCTTTCTGATGAAAGTTCTGTCTGGGTTTTTCTGAACTGTGTGAAAATTTGGATAAAAGATATCATGAAAGTTACCAACGCCCCAAAACAAAGCACAAAATTCCACGTGGGGTGTGATATCATCACGTGGAGTGACACTGTTGTGTATTTTCACTGAAAATTTGACGGAGGAACCATATGTTGACATCTTAAATGGTCGGCTGCTTCCAACAGCACGAACACTGTATGAAGATAATTGGATTTTCCAACATGATACCGATCAAAAACACACTGCGGGCTTCACAAAACTGTGGTTGTCGGATGAAAATGACTGGCCCAGCTACAGCCCAGATCTTAATCCTATTGAGATGGTGGGGACTCATGAAGGACAGAATAAACCAAAAAGGACCTAGAAATATTGAGGATATGAAGAAAGAAGTGGTCCAATATTGTGATACGCTGTCACGATTTTCTACAAACTTTGGTTGGTATAGTGTACCAAGGCGCATTCAGTCATGTATCGCAGGACAAGGAGGTTTCACCAAGTACTGAAAAGAAACTTGGACTAAGAGAATCATATCTCAACATATTCATTTAAATAAAACTTCTACAGTTTATATACATGTATTAGATATTTGCTGAAACAACTTTCTCAATAATTTCTGGGAATACTATACATAAAACATATCAAGTGTTGGCTGTGAGCTCCTTCACATGACATTACTATGCAAACTGACTATATGGCATTCAAGTACACCTGTCAGTATGAGTGTGATTCATGAAGTCATACATGTCGCTGTATTTATGAACAGCCCCATGCAAAGCATCCAGGTAAATTGTTTTTATACTCTCTACCCTACTTTTCAGAGGTATGGCATAATAAACACTACAAAACTGCTTCACGCTTTGTTTTTGGTCTTCATAGGTGTATTGTTCCTGATTCTATCAATGAGGCACATTCCACATCCTCCTCCAAGCAAGGATGGTAGTCACCTGAACGTTGCAATTCAGTGAGCAGTGTGCAGAGTTATGTCCCATGGGTATGAAAGAAATCCATGATCGTGTGGTCAAATCATGGTCCACTCCTGAACTTGCACCAACTCGCAGTTTTCACCAAAGTGTCAAGTATTTGTAACCTTTTATTTTTCACTTTCATCATTCCTGACAAATTTTCATAATTGGTTTGTCTCCACCAACACTTTGCTTGCCCTATACTAGTTCTAAACAACTGAAACTGCCTGTGGTCAGGTTGATGGAACAATTCATTGGAGACCAAAAGGTCCGTGGTAAGATGAAAGAATTTAAAGAAGGTACTTGTTTCCCTGCCTGGTTGTCTGCATGAAGGAGATAAGAACAAGGTCAATAGAAAATCGGCATATACCAGTACAAGTAGCCTCACTCACATGGACAAGAACATAGGTGTACAAGTGCAGTAATCTTCAGTCTGACCTTCTTAGCCATTTCAGCTCCTCTACCCTGTGCACAGATAACATGGCTTTTTACATTCACTACAGTATTTTCTAGAATATTTACTCTACTTGAAATCAGTTTATCAGTTAATTACCTGACTCTGTAAATAGTAGTCACCCTTGTTGCTGATATACTTTCTATAATGATCATTTATTTTGGAGATTTTTAGATGACACTAACCCTTCAGTACATTAAGAAACTGCACAAGCAGGTATATACAAAATAGTGTGTTGTGAGTTCATTTGTCACTGTGCCTTCCTCTGCAAGGTCAGGGTAGTCCAGAGGTAGCAGTGTTTGCTCCTCAAGTGAGTGAGTGAGTTGGGTTTTACGCCGCTTTTAGCAATATACCAGCAATATTATGGTGGGGGACACCAGAAATGGGCTTTACACAATCTACCCATGTGGGGAATCGAACCCAGGTCATCGGCTTGACCACTGGGCTACCCCGCCGCCCCTTGCTCGTGAAGCTCTCATCCAGATTCCAATACACACACTAGCAAACCACCCTGTTACCATGGTTGGACAGATCCATGTCTTTCTTGAAGCAAGCTGATACTGAAGTGTTTCCTCACTTTAACAAATAAAAACAAACAAGAGTTAATTAGTTTGCAATGTATATTCACTCAAAATTGATTAAAGCATGACAATTGCTTCATCGTTTCCAATTCTGATATTGAAGATAAAACAGACCTAGACGATCACCTTCATGTCATAGTTGATGACTGTGCAGAAACATGTCCGTTCAAATATCACATTTTATCTTATAAAATAAAATCACTGAACAGTGTGTAAAGGACTTTCTGCACATGTCCCAGTTGATCAGACACAGAAACAGTAAAAAGACAAAATAAAACTTACGACTGCCTGCTTTGGAGTAATCTTAAAATCACGATGCACGCTGTATTCCAGGGGACTGACTATTCACCCATGTGAAGTTCAGGCTGGGGATACCAGTCAAAGGTTTTATAAAACAGTCACCATGGCAACAACTATTCAGATCAGATGTAAATGGTAATGAGTATCAATAACAACAGCTAGGTATTTCTGACAGTCATATTCTACTCTTAAATTCAACCAAAAATACTTGAAAGGGTTAAGTTCACCTTTCAGTATGTTTGATGGCAAACTTGCACAATTGGATCGGAGCTCTGAAACAAACAACCATTATCCAGCCTCATGTAAGAATGTTGAGTTTTGATTGGTTCACGTGACTCTGATAAAATACCATGTACACCCGTCATGATCCGCGAGCAGGGAGTACAAAAGTCATATTATCCCGCCACGCCTCGGTGACCACGCGAAGTGAGAAAAGCCGCATCGCCAAGCCTTTAGTAACGTGCGCTGCATTGAGGTCAATCGATCAGCTGTTGTCAACATGGCAGCAAGGACACGTTTTGCCACAACAGCTGAGAATGAAATTAAAGCAAAACGTTAAATAAATGCGTTATCACATCGTGTCTCGGGAAATACAGGGTTTTATCAGTCCCTCCGGCTCGGGGAATACAACCTTACTCGGGACTGATAAAACCCTGTATATCCCGAGACACGATGTGATAACTTATATTGTGAATGTGGTGAAAGCAGTTGTCCTTTAACATATACTACTCAAAACAAGTAAAGAACATCTGACTCTTTCAGTTACAGACAATCTGTTAACATGACTACAGTTATCTGTCATAGTCCCGACAGATAACACTTGGTCAGTTGAAAAAAAATCAGGTGTTCTTTAACTTTTTTTCAAGTAGAATAATTAATGGTACTTCAGAATAGTTCTAATAACTTATTATCTATGTTCCTCTCAAAATAATACACATACACTTATAAATACATCACTATCCAGACCTGCATGAGATAGTTTGTGGACATTTCTCCTCTCGGACTTGCCCCACGTGATGCTGTTCACCGAGGGAGGGAGTTGGGTAGTATGCCACCATCTCTCCTCTGTGTCACTTTGCTCACGTGATGCTGTTCACCGAGGGAGGGAGTTGGATAGAATGCCACCATCTCTCCTCTGTGTCACTTTGCTCACGTGATGCTGTTCACCGAGGGAGGGAGTTGGGTAGAATGCCACCATCTCTCCTCTGTGTCACTTTGCTCACGTGATGCTGTTCACCGAGGGAGGGAGTTGGGTAGAATGCCACCATTTCTTTGTGTCAGACTTTGCTCACGTGATGCTGTTCACCGAGGGAGGGAGTTGGGTAGAATGCCACACCATTTCTCCTCTGTGTCAGACTTGCCTCGTGAAGTTTACCATGGTGGAGAAACTATATAGTCACATACCACACAATCTAGGCAAAGATGAGATTAACAGCTCCTAGACCGGCAGATGCAATCCAACACTGCACATTGAACGTCTTGGCCAGCAGCGCCCCTTCACTGTTCCTTCACAACTTTCATGGGCACCATTCTACAGCACCACGTTGCCCCAGGCAACAGTCAAGCATTGACTCAGGTTGTAATCACAGGATGGACTCAGTGTACAAACTGTTACGTGTATTACAGGTTGCCATAGGACAAGTACCAGTAATTACTTCAAGTCTTCTGACATCTCCAGATCAAGATTTATCCTGCTCAAAATAAATTCAGGTCCACCCAATTGCATTACTATAGTGAACGGCATGACAGATTAGCTTCATGTATAGTAATAGTAAGAATGGGACACTCCTTAACATTTTTGAGTAGCACGAAAGAGTTTTTGAAAGTTAAGACCCTTTCTTGACATTTCATATTTAAGGCAGATTCAGTTTGAAAGGCTCTACAAGTCCAGCTCTCTGCCCCCTTTGTAAGGGGATTCGAAATGAGTTCGCTAAGGGGTTGACCTTGTACTTGTTGAGATATCACAAAAACAAAACTTGGCCTTGGGACACCCTGGACTTTCTGAAAAATGTGCTGTCAGTGCCAGGACAACACCAAGCCAGCGCCCCCGTACTTAATATAAAATGGTTGCCAATCTGCGGTAGTTTCTAAATATACATCTGATATAATTGTATTTGAATGCAACTGAAATGCCAAAAGTGTATTTGTATGACAAATATCACATACAGCAACAAACATGGTAATATCCAAGGCTTATGGTGGGCCCATCACATATCTGTCACCCCTCATGTATCAGCATACATAATCTCCTGATCATATATCCCATTCATAAGTCACACAGCTGCTCACTTTTCAAATTTAGAAAATTCTTGGCAATAGAGCTTGACTGATTTCCATGATCTAAGATACACCTCTAAATGATCTGCACCCATGGCTGTTACAAAAGACCTGTCATCTTACGATCACCCTTCTCATTTTCTAGGGTAATTGAAGCATGTGTACCCCAGCATGGAGTTTATTGAACACAGTTTCAGCCAGGTGACCATTTCCATACTGTTAAGTTGTGATACCAAAATTACCAGATTGGTCTATAGCATTGATAACACTATCCATTTCATGACAAATCATAATATAAAAGTCAACTGAAAAGTCAGTTCTACCCATGTATACACTCTCCACCCCATATCATTGTCTACCCATGCTGGAAATCTTGGATGAATGTTCACAGTAATCTGTACCAGCTTCCTTACAACTCCACCAACAACACTGCAATAAGACTCGCATCCTGGTTGTCATAATATTCACATAAAAAATTACATGAAAATCAAGTCCAAGTTAGGAGTTCTTGCCATTCCAGAAAGATATACAACCCAAAATGAAGATTAGTTGTAAAGATATTGAAATGAGGTGTGGAAAACATCTGTATTACACTGATTCTCTCTTGCCCAAGAAGCAACAGCATCTTCAGTGGTCCACAACCACCAGGTATTACATTTGTTCTTCACAATACTTTTCTAACACTGAAAAATATTAACACATCTTGAACAAAAATAACATATACTTGTTCAATACATAATGTTTTTAAGTCTAAAAATGACCATAGCAGTGAAGCCTTTTAAACTGTACTATTGACAAAAGATCATTTAGAATATGTTGATATTTGTTAGACACCGATGGACTGTAGTCAACAACTAGGTGAGGTTGTTGAAAGGCCTTATATTTTCTTAAAGACTGTATTTAATCTGTCATGGCCATTACTTTAGTCAAATGACAACGGGCGTTCCTTTAAATCCTGAGACAATTCTTTTGGCCAAATGATGCAAATCATCCAGAAACAATAATACATGACAGAATTTGTTCTGGAGCCTCTTCACAACACAATCAAGTAAAAGAGACTGTTTATTGTTTTATCATGTTTTCATCATCGAGAGCAGGACAATTGTCCTAGATGGCAGTTGTCCTAGACCCTCAGCATCATCCTGATGGTCTCAATAAATACAAAAAGGTAGCTACTAGACTTAAACCCACATTATCTGTGTATGTTGCTGTAATGTCTCATCACCCACTCAGCAAACTGATGGTCGACACACTGAATGTGCAAAACTCCCTGAACATCAATTCTTGACAACCTGAAGTGTGAACGAGGGCTCCTCAGGAAAGAATTTTGAATGGAAACTGATAAAATATTCTGAGGCAGGTAAATTTAATTTGAATGAACGGACATTTGCACTGTGCATAGTCTCTGTGTTACACAACTTTAATTGTTGCTTAGCTGTATCTTACATCACTTTGCACCCCGTTGTCACAACAACCAGTATAAATTGTTGAAGATGTTGTGGCCCTTTCATAGGCAGTATACACATTCTATACACATTAGAAACACTTGGGGTATTAAATTATTTTATTTCTGTTTTACAGATATCCTAGGTCAAAATCTTCAGATGCAGGATGGCCCAAAAATAAATAAGCAAAATATATGGATTGAAAAGAAGATGAGACAGCAATACAAATAAGAACATATGAATTCATGATTATATTTGGGAAAGGATTTTGAATAATATCTGGGGCAAATTTAGTAACTTTTTGTCATTAGCATACTTTAGTGCAACACTTTTTTTGGTCCTTTCATTCTTCAAGATCCCTGCATCAGGAAAACAATGTCAATAATTCACAACCTAGGAAACAAATGCAATTTCACAAGAACTCATTCTGGTCAGTAGGTGAAAGCAAAAATAAGGATTTAAAAACATATCTGAGACTTTTTAATCACAATACCTGATCATGTCGTCATGAGGTCATGCATGCCTCATCAGTTTTCCAAGTTTAACCTATTATATATTGTAACTTCATTTGCAGAAAACACGTTTGCCTTCAGAAAAACATAAAAATGCTTCAGATTATCTTTTCTTTACTTCTCAACAAAATCTTTCCTTACACAACAATGTTCATAAATACTATTTTACTATGGGTTTCTACTGACACAATATCAGACAGTTTGTTGTTTGATGCCGATGCGCTCAGCAACTGTGCCCCATGAGAGAGTCGGGACGACACAAACCAGTTCCGTAATGTCCCATACTTTCAGGGTACACAGACATCAACAGTCACACCATCTGGACGATTTAGTTGCTTCTTACATCAAACAGGTTGCTGGGGACTTATTCTAACCTGAAATGGCCTCCGACTGACACAGACGAAGATGCATGAAGATCCTTAACTAAAGAAACAGCACACTGATTTGATGAGCTGTGGTAGAGAGAGAGTGGTCTGTCAGAGATCACAACAGGAACAGCTACATGATGCAGTACCATGATTAGTTGTCATGGTAACACATGCAGCTTGATGGTGGAGTACAGAGATGACAACAATGTATCACCGTACACAGCTGCTGACACAGTATATGATCAACACTCACCGACGCTCACATCTAAAACTGATCATCCAACAGTTAACCACAAGGCTTACACGTGGTAGCATTGTAATATGTACTGTATCTGCACCTCTGTATGTGATACGGATAACAACCCTTCCTATGAGAACACGCCTTCATATGACCTCAGCTGCAGGTTATACATGGTGTTATCACCTGGGACAAGGATCATTGTTTTCTACACATAAAATCAATAAAACTGTTGAGACTGTCCCTAGAAATACACAATGCAAAACTATTTACAATTATTAACAGATATCACAAAGATTCCACGTGGAACCAATGATCAATAGGTTCCTGGATGTTCGCAAGAAGGTTGTTTAGTTCCACTTCGGTTACCAGCGATAGTGGTTCCCATGGTATCATTACATGGTTTTATATATGCACACTCCATTATGCAGAATACATGGGTCCACTCAAGTCATTATATGTCCAAGCAATATTTCAATGTCTTTTCGGAAAGAAAGAGATCCAGATTTAAATGTTCTTGAAACATATTCACTTCCATAACTACAAGAATGCTGCTTGTGTTCGTTTCTGGTTTTCAGTGATGCCATGTGCCCTAGTAATTGATCATCTTTGTATAGTTGCTGACAATATTAGTACATGTATACAACAATATTCTTGGAATAACTTGACACAGAGAACTATATAAAACAAAGGTTTCACGATGGTTAGTTAGTTTACCTTCACCATATTACGAGATTTACTTGTAAGCACAGATGTCAACATAGTAAACAGTTGTGGATATATCCTCAGCTTCCTCCTCCTCATTATGTGCTTTAAACTTTTACAAAGTTAATTCTAATCATTTTACCACTGAAGGAGGTTGCCTGCATATGTCTTCAAAATGATTGCCTACCAACCACCAGGTAGTGTTACAGCCTGAAAGAGTAAGTACATCTACTGCATCTCAAGGGCCCACTTACATAATAACTATTGTAAATCAGTTAAATTAAACGAGATCCACTTAGACAAAGGGTTTTTTGGCTAAATTCATTGTAAGCTGTAATGAAAACTTACAATTGGTCCGGACAAATCTTAGCTTGCCAAGATAGTTATAGTCCGAGAATAAATTAGACCAAACGGCACGCAAGACTGGGTATTGGTAAGTAAAATACAATATTGAAAAACACGATTTTTTTATGTTTGATTTACGAGTAAGGTGTTAATGAAGGTCAAGGTCGAGTAATTCAAGCTCCTGAGAAGCATGGGAATGGATCCAGGGTTAAAGAAAGGAACTTTGCCGTACGAGCCCTTGAGATACAGAAGACGGCCTTGATGCAACAACAGTGTAGCAGCCAAGGTGACAAGATTATCTGCCCCTTGTTTCTCACATAACAAAATCCGTTTCCAACTTATTTTATTTGTGTATGATGTTTCATCATGATGAGAAAATATCTTAAGGGGGAACAATAGTTCAGAGTTATGCTGGAGCTGCTGAACTTTGACATTTATCAGAGAATGAATTAATTCCACTTGCAGGCAGAAACAGCAGCTAGTATATATGCATTGGAACCATGGTAACAGAATGTGACTTGCTTCAACACATCAGGTAGATTGATCACACGAACTTCAGCACATGGTAATGTTGAACTTTGCAGGGATAAAAAGGGAGAATTTGTGAGTTTATGTGTCATTAATTTCTTCTTACTGTTTGTGTCTGATTGTCTTGGCGTCAGTAATGGTGCCTCTTTTCGTGTTTTCTTTTCTGTTTTCAAATTCAGCAAAGGCCAGGCTTTTTAATTCCTTGTTTATGGGATGATTAGAAAAGAGAAAAAGTTCTTTGTGAGAAGCATTGGATAATATAAAGTAAACCAGAAATTGCAGCAGTTTTTCTTTTATCATTGAAAACAAACGGTATGTGAATATATGTGGTCAAGTGTGTAGTGTTAATATAATCGCCTTGCATTCCTTATTGTATGAAAAATGTTCCATGATTGGAGTTAAGCAGAATATAAAGTGTTTCCGATATTTTTGGCCAGCTTACATACTATTACAACAGAATAAGCCAACTGAAATAAGTCTTGTCTTGTGGCATTTAATTTAACATAATTCATAAACCTTGACAACTGCAGAACCCAAGCAGTAATTTTGAAACCTTCATATAGTAATATTTTAAACTTGGTGTGATACAGTTTGTTATGGGATGCACTTAGTGCTCTAGCATGACCAAAATACACAAGAATTTAACATCAGGTATTTTTCTTAACTTTTGTACTGACATAATATGATATACTTTCTGACAACAGCAAAAATTATGACCGAAGGCTTTCTGTGCATTTCATACAGAAAACTCAACCAATGGACACACAGTGATTTGTCGGAATACAAAATGTTATGATATATTTTTAAGTTTATGATTCACCAAATGGCAGACAGAAATTAAGAGGATGGGTCGCTGCTCCAGTGTATTCAAGGTCTATGAAACCATGAACCCCTAATTCCTCAATTTGTAACGCAAGGGGAGCAGGACCTTTGACCTCATACTTAATTTCAAACACAGAAAGGTATTTCAAAAACCGAAACGTTTCACGTAATATCAACCTTACGCCCAGTAAGATCAGTAACCACTATAGATCTTCTTGTACAAGTAACCATAGCAACGAATATTAGATATCACATCAAAACTACACATAAACAGCTTATTTCATGTGGTCAAATCCTCCTTGCAAACTTCTTCCATCATTTTGATACCATGAACACTGAGGTTTTCTAGTATGCCCAAGAACACATTTTAAGTCCGTGTCGGGAGTGTACATATGCTCAGTCCCCTTCATCCACATTGTACGAAGGTAACTGCAGAGTGCAATATCCTACTCCGGTCAGGCTCCTGGGCAGGGCCCCGACAGTCTCCCAGATACCAGTGTATATGTCATACTTCGACACCAGCTTCTGTCCCGTCTTGGTTTGTACATTGTAGCCACCGAGAACATATATTTGGTCATTGTACACTACACAAGAAGCCTCTTTATGTGAAATAGACAGAGGGGCTATAATAGTCCATTGGTCTATGGCAGGGTCGTAGCACTCGGACTGCATCACTGGTTGTGCTTGCTGATTCACATTTAAGTTGCATCCTCCAAACACAAATAATTTGTCGTGTGTCGCACACATGACATGCCAACCACGTGGTGTCAACATCGGCGCCATGTCTTCCCACTGGTTGGTCTGCGGATCATACCGCTGCATATCAGGTGTAAAATGGTTGCCACTGTATCCGCCCGAAATATAAATATGGCCCGCTATAGACCGCCCCTGCATGAGCATGATAAGACATCGGCATGGAGGATATCAATTCCCACGTATTCTCTGCAGGATCATAAGCTTCGGCTGTTGCAAGACTGCCATCTTTGAACTTTCCTCCCACAGAATATATTTTATTGTTCAAAGCTCCAGCAAAGAAGTATGCTCTCTTGTTCAGCATGGGGCACACCTGAAACCAACTGTCAAACCGTGGATCATATCGTAAAACTGAGTTGACGGCTGATTCACCGTGGGCACACTGCGTGGTGCAGCCCCCTAGAACGTACAGGAAGTTGTTGTACACCACCACCTGCATATGACTAAGAGCACTAGGCAGGGTGGCAATTTCTTGACGGTTTAATAAACTGTTGGAAGTAATTTTGGAATCAAAAACTAAAATCTCATCATGAAGACAAGGATTGGGGTGAATTTCTCTTCCACCTACACTGACGAGTCGCTCCACGTAGGACCGGAGCTGTACAGTTGAAGCCATGACGAGGGGCTGAGAGTGTGGCACAACGTGGTAGTTAAGAGCTCCAAGAACCATCTGCCGTAGCTCGGGGTTGGTCATCATCGTCTCAACTCTCTGTACATGTTGTACCAGATCGGCGGGATTGATGAGAGGAAATCGGATCAGCTTCATGAGAGCCGGAGAATGGTCCTCCTGTGACTGCGCTGCTGCTGCCGATGCCTGCGACTGTTTCAACCACTCCCAGGTGATGTGGAATATGTCGATCTCACGCTGACATAACTTCTCACTGTTGAGACAGTTCAGCATTTGCTCGTATGTCAGCAACTGTAGAGTTCCTTCTTTGGCTATCTGCATCAGATTTTTTGCTATAAACACATCAATCTGCTTCAGGGCATTGTTCATGCTGTACAGCTTAGCTGTGTTGATAAAATCATAAAAGTTGGTAGTGGTCATTCCACTCAGGAAGTTGCGTTCACAAAACTCGATGACCGGAGTCACCTGCAAATGGGTAGCAGCGGCAATGACGTCAAAGATGTCATCCCCCTCCAGCGTGGTAGTCGAGGTGTAGATGACTTCAAGGACTTTCTCCAGACCTTTTGCTGTGATCCCCTTAAGCTCAATCTCTTTCTGTGTGCTCTCTCGCATCCCGCTGGTGAACATGGATCGGAAATAATCCGAACACGACACCAGGATGACTCGGTGGACATCGAACTTGCGTCCTGAAACAATAGAGACCAACACTCCTAAAGACTATTCTAACCCATATACACTTGTATCTATTTAAATGAATCCATTTGATATTTAAGGTCAAACGTTACAGACTTATGCACCAGCTCTTTCGAGTTGAAAGTTCAGGAGGTTATGTAGTTTAAAATGAATAGGGATTACTTGAAATTATCAACTTTCTTTAATTGCAGTTACAGTTAAATGACCATTTCTTACATTAGAAAAGAAGTATTTGATAAAGAAGAAGAAGACTTTAGTAAAAGATAGAAAAATAAACACAGATTTCAATCTCTGCCATCTTCACTTACTACAGTTCCCATTACCTTCTGCAATGAGAGTAACGTCACATAGTATCTTATCATTCTTCAGCTTGTTCAGGCCTTGTAGTATTTTCATGCCATGTTCTGGCCGTTCCTCAACACGGAAAACCTCTCCATTCGTGGTAGTAGTCCCTTCCTGACCCTCGGCCATTGTGGCGTGCAGTCTTCTTCTCTTGACCCCCTCAGCCTCATGCATTTAACATTTCCTAGTGAAACAAAGAAACTAGTGAATTACCCCATTCACAAATCTATACCATGATCAGGATTTTCAGTAGGTACAAAACTTGACTTAAAAGGCAGGAAATAAGAATCAGTCTTATAGACCTGGTCAACAAGACAAACACAATATTCAAATAATGAACCATCTAGAACTATAGATTTGAACTATTTCTGTTTCCAAACTATCGAGGTATCTCAATTAAGAAGGGAGAGTATTGTTTGTGACTTTGGGGAGACCAAAACTACTAGATGAGTCTTTGCAGTGTTTACTTGGGTTGTTATGATTCACATGCTTATTTGCTGAATCAGATATTATTCCTTCAAGAATTCAATCTTTATTCACCATCATTAGAATATAAAATTCATGATTTTTTTATGAATAGAGTTTTGTTTAAAAGTTCACAGAATAAAGTGAATAATACATGAATTGTTATGGTATTCACACAAATTATTCAAGTTTGTTCTCCTACATTTGTGATTTGTATCACATTCGCCTCATGATGGATTGTTGCAGACCTAGTGTTTACACAGGCACATTGTAAATTGCTATCATGCAAGAACATGGGTTTGCATGGCTTTTGGCTAAAAAAATATTCCAGCAATATCATGAACAGGGGACACCAGGAATGGCCTTAACACAATGTAGTGTTGTGGGGAATTGAACCTGAGCTTTCAGCATGACAAGCAGGCACTTAAACCAACCTTATGATTATTGAACTCCAACATTAGTGAGTGAGTGAGTTTTATGACACTTTTAGCAATATTCCAGCAATATCATGGCAGGGGACACTAGAAATGGGCTTCAGACATTGTACCCATGTGGGGAATCTAACCTGGATCTTAACAACGTAACGAGCGAACGCTTTAATCACTAGGCTACCTCACCACCCCAACTCCAACATTAATCAATATTGCACATATAAGAAAATGTTTGCTATACATAACCCAAAAAAATTGAAGGGTTGAGTTTCCCATGTAATTTAAATTTTAAGTGGTGATAAAGCCTAAATATTTGTAAAACCTAGTCACTCACTAGTAAACATGACAGAGGGATCCAGATATTTTCTTAACCCCTGATTATTACTCGCATTTACACTAGATATTGGTAATTTTCTTTTGGTCTTCAGCATAGTTTCAGTCCTTTGGGTCCAGTCTACCGGGTATCATTAACCCAGTGAGTAAGCCTTAATAACATAATTCTGCTTTAAATTCTTTACCTGGTTACTTCTAGCTTCATGTGACAATGTGTTGCCCTAAATGTGTCACATATATTGCAAAAGATTATGACATCAAAACATCATGATATATGTCAAAATTATTTACGACAGACAAAGCACTTTTTTCCCATTATTCACCGTACTCGAGTTTGTGTGGACACAATGCTTGCATTCAATAAGTAAGGAGGGATTTGTAAACATGGTAAAGTGAACAAATATGCAAGCTGGAAAGGCTCCATTGGATAATTCTCCAGTGTCATTACACTGCAGCATTATGATTTTCATGCATATTAATATGCTGGGGAGTCCAGATTTTGGCATACATTTACACAAATACATATATCATCTGGAGTTCTGATTGTACTGTAAAAATGGGTTCACCATGGTCTTCTCATGCATGCAATTTTGACGGGTGAGTTTTTGACACATAAGTACTCCAATGCTGAGGACTTGGAATATTCTGTCCATTACAGATCATAATAACAAGAAAGTGTTGAATGTTGAACTGATACAAACAATCCAATGGTCTTCACCATTATTAGATGAATCAATTTCAGAAAAAAGGGAATTTCCCCAACAAATGGTCAGTGATGGGGGATTCCCCTTGTTTCACAAACATCTCTCGATAGAGTCCTCTAAACAACAAATGAAGTTATTAAGCATGCAGTACATTGCTACTGATCAAGCCAGAGAGAGAGTTGGATATTGATCTCAAAGATTAATGTCCCAAATGAAGATTAGAAGGTGTAGTGCACAAAAATCGAGAGAGTACCATTTTGTCTCATATCATTCTCAAAACTTGAAAAGTATACACAAATATACCACGTCCTATGTATTTAACTAGCAAAACATAATAATATCATATACATGCAAAGTAATAACAATTTGAATACCATATAGTGTGACATCACTTGGGTTAGTAGCCACGCAAATCTGATGAGGTCAGAGCAAGTTGGGACGGAAGCTACAGACTTGACGACAAAGCAGCAGGTGCCGCGAGATTCTTCGTCTCACCTGTCTATCACTTACCAAACCTTTATAGTGTCAGATTCGATGATCGCAATGTCAACAAAAACATTTCAACCAGGATCATGCACATTATTTTACGCTGTACATTTCCCTGGCTACAATATTACTTATGAGTTGCAGGAACGGCTTTTCCTGTAAAAACCGGAAGTGATTTACTGTTAAAATTTGCACATGCGCAAAGTTGTAACTCGAGTCTTTCCTCTCGTCGTTGATCGGCGATTTCTCATGACATAGTTGCGAAACAGAGGAAATACATGTAGCAGTAGTTTTGACTCAATATCTAGATTCACTATTAGAGAAGAGGTTGGTATACGTGTTTTTCCATAGCGTATGACTTTAGTTCTATATTTCGGATAATTTACCCAATTTATCTGTCACGCGTGGTCTGAGCACGATTTTTATGTTGTTGAATATTTTGTGGTTTCATATATATGCATGTGAAATAATATGTCAGTTTCTAGAACTTATACGTCAGTGTCGATCGTAGCCGAGTCGTGTTTGTGAAAATGTACACACGAGATTCAAAATGTATATAAATAAACTCTAATATTTTGCAGCAGCTGTAGCTCCGTGGTAGAGTGGCGGGGATTACTGTCCCCTCGTGCTACGACAAGAGTGAGTTCGAATCTTTGCTCCACGATCTCTTTGTTTTGTTTTTAAGATAAGTCTGTTTGTCGTCAGTACAGGAATGTGAATGTCATAGTTTTCCAGACATTTACGGGTTTTTTTGTAATCGTTTTAGATATATATTATAGTGACAATTAGTATTTCACTTCACTATTTTCAGTATGCAGAGATGCTTTTAAATTTTCGAGAATTAATTAATTTTTTGTGCAGTCCCAATATTTTGTTCAGTTCTAATAAAAACTTAAAATGAAAAAGCTAAAATGACACAAGCCATATTATTGTGTATTGTCACATGCCATATAAGAAAGATGGGTATAGTCATAGGCGCCCGACTCTGATATATTTATAAGCATGACCTATGTATAACACATATATGTTATATATATTAGGTCATGCTTATAAATATATCAGAGTCAGGCGCCTATGGGTATAGTGGTTACAATTTATCTGAAAGGTCACATGCAACGTAAAACACAACTTTGCAGATTCTGATACCTTTCGGTATGGATTTACCGAAACAAATCATCAAAAATGCAAATTCAACTTATAAAGTTGAAAAATAACGCGATGAAAAAACCCGCACGAAATCAGAGTTCAAGCGATTCACTGATTTTCCCCCAGTACTTAGGGGAAAAGTGGTTTCACCAGCTGGGCTGCGCTCATAGCACATGCACAGTGAAATAGGTTCTCGCAGCTTGGAAGCGGGTTGTCCAGTGAATACTCGGTGAAGGCTTTGGTGTGAGCTATTTTTCTAATGTTTTGTTGATATTTCACAGGCGCGAGCGTTTTATATGTTATGACAATAGATTACCGATTTAACTGTTTGTATAATTTCATTTGTCTATTTCACCACACATTCTTCTTACGAGTCGCTTTCTCAGTTAGATATTTAAAAGCAATGTCATTATTTAGCGTTGACAGAATTTCTAACTGTGATATAGATATGTCGTTGACACAGACAAATCTCAATGTCTGTTTTATTGACACCTATGTGTCTGCCTGCATGTCTGCCAATGACAATATTCAATACACAACTGCGATCACTGACCACATGCAATTTGAACTTAACACCTATCAGGCTATACACCATAACAAATCGCATTGATTTATGGCCCGAGTTCGGTCTCTGTCACATTTAATGTAATTACACAGACAGGCAGGTGTGATACTTGTACACATGACATGTTATGATGTCGGTTGATTGCAAAATGTTATACACAAAAAATGAGCATGTATTTACAAAACCCAACATCTCTATATATATACACACACAATGAGCTGTGAGGGCATCTTCAAATGAACCAGCCGTTACACTTGAGTGCTCACCCACCCACTCTGACTGGGTTCGGTATCCCAACTGCTTCGTTTCTTGGGAAGTAAACCCAAGTACAAAATATTGCACTTTTGATTTGCGATTGTACGCTTATAATTTTGTTTATATGTTTTTCATAATCAGCAATGTATATTATATGTCATGAATAAGTGATAATTGTGTTTTAATTTTATTGTTTGATTTTTTGGTTGCACGTGACCTTTAAGCTGTGTTCAGGCATCCCTCTTTGTTGTAAGACAAACTATTCAAAGCATAAAGTACTCCATCCTGTTTGTTTCTTGTTATGCTTTGTAAAATGTGAAACGATACCCTTGTCATTTATACACTCTCCATATACATTATCTTGACCAGGAAGTACAATTGCAAAGTGATACGAAAAGATAATTGATTGGATCTTTTTCATTATGTGACAAACAAACTTGATAAATATTAGTTAACATTTCTTATGAATAGATGATAATGATTATGATGAAAGTTATTGTTTTTCTTCATTAACTAAATTGCAAAATAGTATTGGACAAAATACAAAATGGGTATTTGTCAATAGTCATTTTTCCCCACTGTTTTTACTTGTTTCTTGTCAGTCTGCCTTGTAAACCCACTAAAAAGGTATAAAACCCTGTAGACATTCCTTCTGAATATTAAAGCTTATTTTGCGCCAAAGCTTTTATTAACAGTAATTCATAAACACATACTTGTCATAAAGTCAGAATTGTACAATGACTCTCAAACATGTCAAAATTGTTGATCTGTTTTCTAGGGAATTAAAATATAGTTCTTGAAGTTCAGTTATTAGACACGATTAATTAGATAGGCATCATCACCAAGCAAAAATTAGTCTAGAAATATGAAGCATAATTCACAAAATAAAATATTTCAAGATTACTGATATTCCATTAAATTTCTTTAGTACTTTAAATGTACTCTTATTGTTTTTTTCCAGTACTCCTATATTGAAAAAATAAGGAGTACATACTTCTGATCATGAAAAATAATCTGGAGCCCTGGTTGTATATTACATATACATTGTAAATGTACCATAGTGTAGCAACAAATCACAATCTTAAGATGTATGATTAGAAATATATAATTATTATCCCCTGCATATGCACTTAAGTATTTCATATCCAGCTATTCTGCATCTGTTGTTTTGTTTATAGATACTAATTGACTGTTATCTTTTGCCAGAATGTCGAGCAGAGCGTGCACCCAGTGTGGGTGTACTGACATCGACATTGATCAGGCCCGGGGTGATGCAGTCTGTACCAACTGTGGATCTGTCCTGGAGGACCAGATCATTGTCTCGGAGGTGCAGTTCCAGGAAAACTCAGCAGGGGGTGCCTCAGTGATAGGCCAATATGTGTCACAAGATGGTGAGTTCTGCCCTATTTTGACTTATACCATATGTTCCCGAATTATTTCAGGTGAACAATGGACTAGAGTTATGTTTATGAGGGGTGCCACCAGTGGGGCAGGATACGCTCACCTTCTCGCGAACACCTGTTATCAAACCTATGTTATAGTGATGTATAAACGCATGCTGTGTCATCGTATCACATGATGACAATCACTGATTTCTTATGGATGTGGGACAGGTTTTGCCGCTTCTATTATGTAGCAATTCATATGATTATGAAATGGATATTATGGATAATAAATAATCTAAACTGTGCATGGAAAGCTTGAATGATGAAAACCTTGATGTTTTTTAACCATTGCTTTCAATTTGTTTATAACCAGGAACCAAGTCTCAGGGTCTGGGAGGCTTTCATCATGGCTTTGCCCGGGAGTCACGGACCATGACGCTGCAGAACGGTAACTAAACTTTGGTTCTTTAAAATCATCAATCAACACTATAGGTTCCAGCAGCAATAACATTAGGAGCCTTTGAGGGTAATTAGGTTTAGTTCATTAATGACATGAATGTGACAACATGACCAACATGTTATCTCTGGGAAAGTGGGGGTTAGTATAAAAACCAATCAGAGTTATCCCCCCTTACAGGTTACATTACTAGCTGCCAAAAGGAGTTATTTCCCCTTGACCAGGTTTGTAGAAATATAATGGGATTTTTCCCCAGAAATACTTGGTGAAATACAATGAAATAATGTAGCAGAATAATCTTGGAAGAGCAGCCATTTGAATAAATAAATTTGTTTTCAGTAAATCTGGGTCTTGAGATGATTTTGTTTTTAGATATCATTCCTTATGTGAGGGGGACCTTCTCACCTGGATAATAGCAGTCTTAGAGGAGAGTGGCATTATCACCCATAACTGCATCATATACATTTACAAAGCATCACTATTTTACGTGAATATAAAAAAGATGCACATGTACAGGTCATCACTCTTCTATGTGAAGATAGTATATCCCTTTATCATGCGAGTACATTTACAACATCTCACTTCTTTGTGTGCAGGTAAAAAGAAAATCCAGCAGCTTGGTGCACAGATGAAGCTGAACCAACACTGCATAGACACTGCATTTAACTTCTTCAAGATGGCTGTCACTAAAAGACTGACGCGGGGACGCAAGACCAACAATGTCATTGCTGCATGCTTGTATTTGGTGTGCAGGACGGAAGGAACACCTCATATCCTTTGTACTTATATCTAGCTCATGGTGGTCATGTGGTCTGAAATGAGTTTTGTTCAAGACTAGTGTACTTGTACATGTAGATGTGTGTGTATGTGTCACAGGGATGAAACTGCTGACCTTGCAGTATCTAGGCACATGCTCTGATCAGTACACCAGGACGACACAGCTTATGATCTTGTTTCTTGGATGAGACCTTGTATCCTTATTGTTCTGACATTATCTTCCTTATCCACAGTACATATGTTGCTGGACTTCAGTGATTTGTTACAGGTTAGTGCAATGTTTTTATTGAAGAATCTCATAAACTTCATTAATGGCTGCAGCTATGTCTCAACAAGAGAACAGTGGAACAGACAACATTCAGCCCATTCTTGGCACCCTTGTAATGAGTTTACTGTAATATTGATAAATGCAGGATTTAGCCTAAGACCTGTATTTTGGGGTGGTTATGCTCTTGTGTATGTTCCCAGTGCCTAGGATTCTTAACAAATTTTAATCATGGCTGTCACAAGTCAAAATGTGTTTGAACCATTACTCAATACTTTGTTTGTGTAAGTGTATTTACAAGAGAAGAAAGTGTGTCTGTAGCTCACACTGAAACCATTTCCTCCAAAGACTCTGGGTTTGTGAGACAGATTTGTACATATGATACAGCTGCCAAAAGAATCTGCAGCTGGTTTAGACATCAGTCACATTGATGTTACTATGTACAGCTGTGTGGCTCTCACTCTGGCTCATTCCATCATTATCAACTGTACAGTCATGTTCAAGTTCCACTCATGACATTTATGTGGGATAGGATTACTGTGTAGAATTTTGCAAATTATGAATGATTTGAATTTGAAATTGGGACCACATATTATTTAGAATGTTCTTGTGAGGTGTGTGTAACACTTTATCCCCCGTATAAGCTTTTTACCCTAGTTCCCATGGAGTGGACAACCCATCCTGATGCAGTGTTATGTATTCTTTTATTCTTTTCCCACAGACGAATGTGTACTCCCTCGGTAGGACTTATCTTGCCATTTCAAAAGAACTGTGCATCAACATTCCAGCCATAGGTGAGTGTCCTTTCCTACATTCAGACACTTGGGCTATGATTGCTGTAATGTCGGTATTACACACAACTAGCAACAACACGTTAGTTCTCCAGAGCTCTACTGCATGGCAGTGGTGGCCCAGTTGATTAGGCGTCAGAATTTGATGTGCAGTGGGGAATGTAAGAGAACTACGAACCTGGGTTTGGATCCCGGTTCTCCACAATAATGTTTTGTGGTTTCATTCGTAACTACCGGTACTCGTCCCTTTCCGTAACCTGAAAGACGACTCTTACCCCTCTCGTAGCCATGTCCAGGAGAAATATTCCCCCAGCCACTCAGAATGCTCGTATGTAGAGAAGAAATTGGGTCAAAATAGTTAGTTGAAATAATTTTCATTTCTGCTTGCATAATTTTTCCCCAGACACTTCAAGTATATATTAATTCTTGCATAGTCCTCCTGGGTTTCCTGAATTTTTATAACCAGGATATATTAACATTATGGTGTAGGAAAGTATTTAAGTATGTTAAACGTACCCTTTGAGGTAATTTCCTTGGCGTGAATGCCATGTTTTTTTCCATGCCCTTGAAAATAGATCAGCGACTAGACTTTCTTTCTCGCTGCGCTTTTGCGAGCTCAGACAGAGTCAAGTTCAAGTAAAATGTCTATGAGAGGGGTACGAGTCTTCTTTCAGATTACGGAAAGGGACGAGAAGTTACGAATGTTGTGGTTTGTCAGCACCATAGCCTTTCTCGTGGGCTTTCCTCCAACATCAAGCTAACTCGGTGGGATATAACGTGAATACTGTTTAACTGTTGTGGGTCATAATGCCCAGTGATGTGGGACAGTTGTAGAATCACAACAGAACTGTCAATTAAGTTAACTGAAGCTACTGTTTTAAGAATTATTATAGAAAATTCATAATTGTTTACCATGGTGACTGGTTCACAAGAACAACTCTGGTATGAAATTATTAACATGATGTGAAATGGAAATTTCAAGTGCTTTCAATTTATTGTATCATAGCAACGTGTATGCACTAACGACTGTATTATGCAGTTGTATGGGTCAGCACACAGCGATACCATAATGCTGGTAAACATGGATATGAACCTCATACACACTCACTGCAATTAATATCACAACAACTACGACATTTGCATAAAATTAAGTGGATGAGTCCAGAGTTGTGTTCCTTCGTCATGTGGATCATGGGGTTGACTCTACATTGCCATATTTTCTGATTGAGCTTCAGTTTGTCAGAACCATACCTGTATTGATGTCAGTGAAAAGAATTCATTTTGAGGCTCCGTCCTAATATGCGATGAAACTGGTACACTGCACCTGGCAGCATATTACCCAACTCACTCATTCTGAGTTTGGTAGCACCCGTGTCCAGAGTGCACCTGACCCAAGTTGTCTGCCATTAACAGCAAGGTCAACTCCCCTGGTTTAATTTATCCTGTTATGAAAACACTAAAACATTTTCAATAAAAAAATCTTTATTTCCAGTTTACTAACAAATCAATATTACAGTTTATCAGGGTCTTCACTTTCAGGGATAAACTTGACTTCTTGTGATATTTTCGTTGGACGTGTGAAACAACTTCAAAATGATTGTCATTTAAAAAAATAATTCTTGGCTTTTGAAGGACTAGGTAGGTTGATTGAAATCTGAGGGCTACCATGATAAAACAGTTGTTATCAGTGATGTGGGAAGAAAAAAAACATGGTTGATGTCCTTTTCACATGGTTACCAACATGACAAATCTGAGGTAAGAAATACTAGTAATAACTACGGCATGTACACATACAGTCACTCAATTCATTGGAGCTTAGAGTTGGACCAAAACACTTGAGTCCTTTTGTCCGAACATGGCTTAGCATCATATTCAGTATTATCCTACCAAATACATTTTACTGGACTCTGACTTCAACCAGTGGCCCAAGTTGCAGACTGACCACATCAGTGTTATGCATCAGTTCAAGTAAACGATGATGTATATCATGTACCAAGAAGCTCAATATTTGAATTTCATTCATGGTGACTGTTAGGGAATAACTCATAGACATACTTACTAAGGGCGACCACTGATTGGTGGAGAGCCCTCTTTTTAGAATGCAATATTCATGATTTGTGACAATCAAAACATCTAAGTAATTATGGCACTGTTTGAAATGTGTCTTGATCATTCAGTAGCATTCATACTAAATACCCTCATATTGTCTTGGGTGGTCTAATGTCCAGCACTAGGCTACCTAATAAATGTGTCGGGTGATGAGACAAGGAAGCAGGTTCCTAATAAACTCTCTAACCATCACAAACAAGTCTGCCACAAGCCATTTCAACAGTCTAATAATAGATGAGACATCAACATGATCAAGGGGAAGGTTTGACTACACCACCAACATTGGGGCAACACTTGAGGGGCACCTGAGCAACAAACTAACATGTAGATGTTTCTAACAGGAGCATATTTAAGCCAATGAGAGGTTTGGTGACTGATCCTCACATGGCTCTATGACAGGAAAACTTCCAACTAGTAATCATTTATACCAGTCCTATGATTACTTCAACCAATGTTTGAAATAAAGCATAACAGTCAAGGGTTTTATACTCTAACAGTAAAAGTTTAGGATTTTGGAGGTACCAAGATTCAAATGCTATGCTCTCCTCCCACCAAATGAATTTCAACACTGTTTATGCAGTTTAGGATGCAAATAGTTCTTGCAGATAAGCAAGTTCCATAGAGCCAGCACTGAAGCCTGTCTGGATATTTGGTCTTCAGTTATGATAGACAGTGATCCTTCTAATGACAATCCAACGTCAGCAGTAGAATATCAGCTCTGGTATCTGTCCCCCCTGTACCCCAGTACCATTTGTGCTGTCGGAGGAACACTGGAACTGAAATGTGACCTTGCCACACTGCATTTCAGCAAGTCCCTCTTGACCAAAGTAGCTGAGCTCGGCACCGTCCAACACCGCACTGGCCGTGTAATAGATATCTGGCTCAATCTGGATTGGGTTGTCAAATATAACAGGAAATGTGTTACTGGATCCATCAGATTTAAATCGGGTTAAATTTTGCCCAAGAATTAGACCATTTTTTTTTCAGTTCTATTTTGACTTGATACTCAGAGGCCCCATTGCTGGAGCCATACAGTCCAAATCCAGCTACAAAGACTCTGCGATCAACTGCAAACTGGATGCTGTCGCAGCGCCCCCTGTACCTCCACTGATTGCTGCGATAAGCGGAAGACTGGAACCTGTGAACCCTGTACTGCTCAAGTCCTTTGCGGTGTTTTCTGTTGAAGGGTAGTTTAGGTTTCACACGAGCAGTGAAATGAAGAAACACATCATTGGTTTCCTCCAGTGTGAGTATTCGGGACTGTGCTGGTCCATTTGCAAACTCTTCAATTGTCATGAGCGGCATGCGGATCAGATTGAGACACTCCCCCAACACTGAGCGACAGTTCTCAGGAGTTACATCATGCTCTTGACGTCGACATTCAGCTTCAGCCCAGCGGGACACAGCAGAGAAGATATGGATTTCTTGAGCATTGAGGGTTTCCCGACTGAGTATTGTTTCCAAGGTCTTATAATCTATGTCTGTGAAGCCATCAGATTTTAAGGCCTCCTCTGCCTGTGCGTCTATCACCTCCCAACATCTCTGCATAAGTTCCACCTCTTCAAACAGGCGACCTTGGCTCAGAAGGACACAAGCATTGCGAGCACTGAGACTGGTCTCAAGGAAACGGACACAAGCCTTGGCAAGATGAGGAACAATGTACTTTTTTGCAGCATAGAGAGTTGACAGAACGATGTCAGCTTCAAGTTTAATTTCATCACAATACAGATACCTGCAACATGAAAAAATCATTTGTAGAAATTCATGTTCATCAATACTACTCCCTACAAATCATCGTTTGAGCAACACATTCTTGTTAGCAATGTCACGCAACTTAGTGTCGAAAGGGGAGAACATGGTGCGAGATGTGGGACAATGGTGAACAGAGACCATGACCACAGTAAACACTGTGAAGAGGGAACATATGACAGGGTGAATACTGTGCAGGAAGTACTGACGTAACCCTGGAATTTTGAGTGATCTAGAATTGTCCTTGGAATTTACTTCCCTCATCATGCTCATTCAAGAATTATTTAGCATTTCCAATGACAGAAAATCAGGCTTTGTCTGTTTAGATGTGATTTGTGAAATTCTGATAAAATTTTAAACATGCTTCATTTAACTTCAATTTTTAGGTGCCTCACTATATCATAAACACCACTGAAATGTTATATCAACATCCATTCCAGGGTAAGGGTGCACTTTCCTCAGCACTTGCTCTAACAATGAAAACATAAAATGTAGAAAACATACGTAATAAGTACTGGGAGTCTGGGAGAGATCAGTGTCAAGAGATGCAGAGATTGTTGTTCTTGAACTATCACTTTTGTGAAATTATATTTTAAAAATTGTGGATTTTGCTACATCAAATTAACAGATGGATGTCAAATACTTGCAAAGTGAAACATGTTTACATTTCAATTCAACTGGACCAAAAATGTACAACTACTCTATTCATTCAGACAATGACGTCAAATTAGAAAACTTTATTAATGTATGAAAGCTCCGATTATACTAATTAACAAAAGAGATTCAATGCAAACTCACCTCAACACCTCACAGCTTATACTATGCATACCTTCATCAGATAATTTACATATCGGTCCATTAAGTGCCATATTAAGGCCCTGGCCAGATCATAACTATACTCAATATTTATGAGCCATATTTTCAAGTTTTTGGTCATTAAGCAACGACAGTCATGACAAAGAAGAAACGTCTACTACATAGATATGAGTAACAGGATAGTGTGGTCAGGCTACGAGTAACGGGATAGCGTGGTCAGGCTACGAGTAACGGGATAGTGTGGTCAGGCTCGCTGACTTGGTTGACACATGTCATTGTATCCAAAGTGCTCATGCTGTTGATCACTGGATTGTCAGATCCAGGTTTGAATCTTTACAGACCGCCATCATATAGCTGGAATATTGCCGAGTGCGGCATAAGACTAAACTCACTCACTCACATAGATACTACAAGCTCTAATTTGCCATCATTTGCATCAGCTTTTAGTATTCATGATGAAGAATTCATTAACTAAGCGGGGATTTACATGGAGTGTTTTTGAGGGTCCCTTGGACTCACACTCTTAATTTTCAGGGATCCTGGACATGAAAATGTGGGTCCCAGACACTTAAATATAATTAATACTGTTATTGTATTGTGTATCATGATCATCACATTGTTACAGTAATAAATTGCAAATAATACCATAACCCAGTAGCAAACTCAGTGATAACTTATTGTCAGTATGTCACTTGATTGGAATTTTTACAAAAAGTATTTGGACTTTTTCTGAGTCCCTGTGTACGCGCTAATAATTTTGGTTGTGTCCATTATCAATTTTTATGAGTATAGGACGCAGGAATTCGCGTCCTGTAAATCCCTGAACTAAGGCTGCAAGAAGAGACATCCACAGCTTGGACTCTTGGTTTGAGCTGTAGACTGGATAATTCCAGGTATCACCTTACCTGAGCAGGTTCCTAAATGCTACTGGCTCCACGTCAGGGATAATTATTTCCTCAGTCTTATCAGCGAGGCCTCCATAGAACATTGCGAAAAACACTGAACTTCCTGTAGCAAGTACATACTTATGGGCAGGAATTTTCTCAACTCCTGGCTCAGTTCCCACTAAAAAATAGATGTCAGCCATGAGAGGATTATTGAACATGACTGCATTTCTTTCTCGCACTGTGGTCTGAGTGGCTTGCCAATTATGTTCCTCGCTCTGTTTGGATGTTGGGAGAGGTGGGGGTGGTGGTGGTGGGGTGCGGCGGCTATTGGACACTGGTTGCCAGGAGATTGGGGGAAGGCAGTCAGGGGACCGGGTTTCAACAGACACTGGGGGTTGGGAAACAAAGTTTGGTGGAACTTCCTGATTTATTTCTTCATCATCCTTGAGACGAGAGGCAATGCAGGACTTCATGGCCATTATGTGTAGATGTCAATCCAGCCAAGCTGAAACATTTCAAAATAAGATAAGACAAACATGATAAACAAGGCCATGATCAATATACTTCAACTGAATAAGAATAATACCACATTATGTTTCAAGGAAAACCTATGTCTTGAGCTGCTGTCTGCTTAGTTTGTGCAGACATTTAGATATCAGGCTTAGTATGGTCAAACTGAATCACTGTCAGTAGTATTTTGGTATACATACCTGCTTCATAATTACATGAACAGATCAGGACAAACACACAGGAAGTAGCTTTGGGGTTTAGGTTTTATGCACTGTATACAAAAATACATTCCTTGAATGTAAGAAAATGTAGACTTTTAGCAGGGTCCAGTTTTTGCAAATTTACGTTATATTTCACTTCATCTGACAAAGGCACTTAGCGTTGAATCCTAAGTAGATCTCTGATCTCTACTTTCTCTTTCATAAAGAAGCAAAGACCTGGATCTACCCCAGTGGAACTGGAATAGCTGTTCCTTCAAAACCTTTCCACAATGATCAGCTAGGTGTAATAACGCCCATTTAAATGTCATTAGGAGTCACTAATCTTTCTTTAAACTGAGATGTTCCCACATCGTACATCCAAAGATTCTGTTGTCTGGAAGCAGCACGGTACCTGTCAAGTTTTAGCCACTTTCAGCGTCATAGTCAGTGCTGCCTATTAAATAAGACCTATACGAGAACGAAATACTTACGTTTTAGTGAATGTAGTTTAACCTCTTTTTCTGCAGTTGTGAAAGTGTTCTACACAAGCAAGAAGATGTTATCCCCCCACAACTTTCCTGTTTACGTCTTTCACATCCCCCGACTGCGCATCCCATAATATAGTCTAAGGGAGGCAACCACGGAAACGCGTTCAATACCACTAGTGGTTTTACGTAAGGTCTCTTGGCCCGATCTTGATTTGGTGTCATGTTTTTCTTACGCGGTGACATCATGTGGTATTTGTCAAAACGTATTAAAGTTTCTTAAAATGTCGGCTATCGCGATGAAAAGTACCAACGAGCCTTTATTGAAAGAAAGAAGTGCAGACATCTGGAAAAGCAGCGAGACTCAACCATGCGGCTGTTAATAAAGTAATGTCTGTTTTATCAAGTGTAAATACGTTTTCACAAATGGCATTGTGCTATGCCTAGCTTATCATGAAACCTTTCAGTGCGTTTTGTATTGGAATCAATCACAACTCCTATTTTAGAAACCCATAGTCAATCAGAATACATAGGCATAGCGTTGTAATTATTTGAAAAGTTTGACGCATGGCGTCTAGATCTAAATGTAAATAATGTTACTAAATACTTTTTTATCCCCATACGGTCATGTATTATCACTGTGAGTAAGAAAACCCATTTCTGGAGCTGAAGACGCAGGCAAGCCGCATCAGTGATGTCACAATGACTTTGGGGACGTAACACCAAAAAGCACGTGCGATCGAAGCGTTCGTAAAATATACCCGCGGATCTCAAAGCTCTGAGCTGGATTCGCTCTGTTGTTCCAGTGTTGTGGTGGTGTTTTCATACATAATTAATCGTTATCCAACATATATTCGGTCACACAGGCGAGCACAAGTCAATGTTTTAGTACCATTCCATCAATGAATGGGCAATGACAGACCGCCGGAACACCATAATGGAGCATGGAATACATGGATGGTAGACGACGTGTGATTTTGAACTTAGGTCGAAATTCAGCATACTACCAAAAATATTTAGAGAAATAGTAGACTTGTGGCTATGTGTTTCTATAAGCCAATATTCATATCATAAATAAATGGTGTTGTGTACATGTATTCTCACGATTTCAGACTTAAACGATATCATGAACAATTATGGCGTGACTTAGACCTAAATAATAATTCGCAAACTGTTAAAGTTTTAGCCTGTTTCCTTTCTCGATTATCAGAGTTTTGTCAGTAAAATCCAGGTGCCTGTAGGTTGAAGAAATAAATAAAAAACATCCAATGTAAATAATTTGTTTTTGTTTTTTTTTCATTCACATTACAGTAGATCTGAGTCTGTGGATTCCTGAATCAAATAGTTTGAACGCATGTGTAAGGCAGATGGGTATCTGTAGTTGTGGCAAGCGTTGACTTGTCTTGAGTGTAATATCTGAAGCCCATACTTGACTGTTAATGGTGGACAACTTGTGAAAACGAACTAGTGGTTGCAGTGCGTTCGCTCGTCACGCCGAGGACCCGGTTTCGATTCCCCACATGGTTACAATGTTTGATGTTGCTGGAATATTGCTAAAACTAAACTCACTCACTCACACATCTATGTTGGAGAGAATCATGAGAGATTCGCCAGCTTACCAATATGCTGTTTCTGATTCTCAACTGAACTGTCCTACTTTATTACAGATCCTTGTCTGTACGTGAGCCGGTTTGCCCACAAGCTGGAGTTCGGTGACAAGACCCACGAGGTGTCTATGACAGCCCTAAGGCTGGTGCAGAGGATGAAGCGAGACTGGATGCACACGGGGAGACGCCCCTCCGGCCTGTGTGGCGCAGGTAAGCACAACTGGTCTTGCCATGCAGCAACTCACCCGTACGCCACTTGGCGCAAGAAAATATATATTTTTCATAGAAATAAGCAACTTAATATAAATTGATTAGGATCCCCAGTGGGATGGGAGACTTCAGAACTTCGGGGAAATCTGGACCTGCTTTTTGGGGACTTTTGCAATATTGGTATGTTATGGCTCAGTTACCCTTCTCATGGCCCCTTGCCTTCTGTAACTGGTTTGCCCCTGTCATTTCAGACAGGAGCACATGATAAAGGTTCATGTCTTGACTGGCCCAGTTATAGTTTGCTATGTATTACACAGAAGTTAATGAACATCAGATTGTTTCCACTGAATATAGTACATAAGTCATGGCATCACAATATTAACCTAAGTCATATAAATGTGTTTGTGTGTTCTTGAATTTCTTTTGAGTAATTATAAATGAAATATTCCATTAACAGCATGTATTCACACCAGTATTGACCGCAGTTAACATAAGTATACACGTAAAACTAGACCTAGTTGTGCAGAGTTGTGTCCCCTTAGACACAAGGATCTTCTGTGGGTTCAAATACATGATTCAACCCAGTTACAATTTCTGGCCTGTTGATGCCATATCAGTACTTGTCATAGCTGATTTGGAACGTCAGGATTTTATGACATTTTTTTCGTTCTGCCCATTAATTTGATTGAAGAACATTCTGGATTACCCAGTCTATCATATTTCCATCAGAAGATGGAACTTTCCACAATGTTGTTGATGGAACAGACTGTAGTCCCCTTCCCACATGGGTGGAAGGATAGCTTTGTGGTTTACAATTGTTTGTCATACCAAAACCATGGTTCCATTTCCAATATTGATGCAATGTATGAAGCCCATTTCTCATGACCCCTGCCATCATATCGCTAACAAGTTTCTAAAGCTTACACCTCTTCCCCTAAAAGTCAGACACAGCAATACAAATGTTGTATTTTTAATGTTTTTCAGCTATCCTTGTGGCAGCAAGAATGCACAATTTCAGCCGCACTGTTCGAGATTTGATCAGAGTTGTCAAAGTTTGTGAAACAACAATTAGGAAACGGTAATTATATTGTCTTAAAATGTTTTTTAACTTGTTTTTTAACTTGTTTTTTAAATGTGCCCTGTTAGAAATTTGTTAATTTCAGTTTACAAGTTGATTTTTTATTTGTGAGGCACTGACGCATTTTGATTGTAATTTCTTCAGAAAACCACCACAGTGTTCACATTATGAGGTAGCCAGGGGTAGTCACATAGCCCTCACATTATGAGGTAGCCAGGGGTAGTCACATAGCCCTCACATTATGAGGTAGTCAGGGGTAGTCACATAGCCCTCACATTATGAGGTAGTCAGGGGTAGTCACATAATCCTCACATTGTGAGGTAGCCAGGGGTAGTCACATAGCCCTCACATTATGAGGTAGCCAGGGGTAGTCACATAGCCCTCACGTTATGAGGTAGTCAGGGGTAGTCACATAGCCCTCACATTGTGAGGTAGTCAGGGGTAGTCACATAGCCCTCACATTATGAGGTAGTCAGGGGTAGTCACATAGCCCTCACATTATGAGGTAGCCAGGGGTAGTCACATAGCCCTCACATTATGAGGTAGTCAGGGGTAGTCACATAGCCCTCACATTATGAGGTAGTCAGGGGTAGTCAGACATTTTATTACACTGATGTTTGAGAACACGGAAAAGTGCCCTGTAATTAATCCAATGTAGATGTTCACAGACTGACAGAATTCTCCGACACAGCATCGAGTCAGCTGACCATTGATGAGTTTATCAAGATAGACCTGGAGGAGGAACATGACCCACCATGCTTCACGGAGAGCAAGCGGAAGGCCAAGCTGGCCCAGGTATGATAAAGATACAGGGGGGAGGGCATCAGCTCATATAGCAAGAGATCATAACTACACAACAAAATAAAGACTGTGATCACAGTTGGCACAGCTTGAAAAAGCCTAAAATTTTAGTTTAAGGCCTTAAAATTGTTGATTTAGCCTTGCAAAGGACCTAAAAAGGACTTAAATTACATGGCTGATAAATTGTACGAATTCTGCTGATGCATGTTCCTGTCTATAATGTCACTTTGTTGCCTGTGGGATGACACTGACTCATGTTTCCCTTGCAGCTGGAGGAGCACAACAAGTTCAGCGATCTCACGGCGGAGGTGAGCAGCCTCCAGACGGAAATTGAGAAGTCCCTGGAGCCGAGAAAACCAAGAGGAATATTTGCATCATACTCAAGTGAGATAAAGCTTTATTGAGATACCGCTATAAACAAATTACAGACAGTATGTGAAAGTATTTTTTGAGAAAATTGTTTGCTCCTTTATTCATGTCAGTCACACTATCAGAGGACACAGCTACGGCACGGCTGAAATAGTGCGGACTTTTGACCATCTGCCAAAGCCTCGTATACTCACAGAAAATGGGGACTGAGGCCCTTTCTGTCTCTATTTCCAAAACTAGCATAATCAATTAATACTGACACAGATTCATTTGAATTTAGAAATGGGAGACGACTGTGAAGAGAACGATGAAATAGTGGCTGCAAGTAACTACCTCGCTGAGGAGGCTGTGAAAGATGCAACAGTGGACCTACTGAGTGATGAAGAAGCTGGTGACGTGAAGGACAAGACCGTTAAGACAGAGGGATGCCGTTCAGGAGTGGAAGATGCAGTCAAGCTAGAGTCCAAAGAGAGTCTCACCCGTCGAGAAGCATTGACAGCGAAAGGGTTAACGCCGTCTGCTGCCAGTCTGGGCATCAAGGAGGTGGTGGAAGAATGTATGAAAGAGGACAGTGATTCAGGTGGGTAGGGGTCAGGAGACGGTGATTCAGGTGGGTGGGAGCCAGGAGACGGTGATTCAGGTGGGTGGTGAACACAGACATCAACATGGAGATTAGAGTTAGGAGAGCCAAATATTGATTACGAGTTACCTGACGTATAATTTGTTCATCTAAGCCTGATAAATGATCCGTTGGTACGTCAGTATAATCGATGGATGTCTTCTCCTCCATATTACTTCATACTTGACAAGTATTTTATGTGTCTTCAGAGTCTGTGGTTGTGGGCGTGGATGGGGAATTGGACTTAGAAGGCATCAATGATGAAGAACTTGACTGGGTGAGTTTTCCCCATTACTTTGTGGGGAAATGGATATCCATGTGGTTAATGCATTTAACAGAGGTGCCAACCAATACAATTTTGTTTGTATTCATAATAACTGTACACCTGAAATTATGACATTATGATCTCGATAAAATTTGTGCATGTGATTATTTGTTATTTCTAAGACCACCTTGTTGGTGATTCTGTGTTGTTATATCTTTAATAACACTTCTGCCTGTCACAATACGCAACATGTCTGAACCTCAGCTGAATATGTAAACCTTCGGTAAAGCCATCACATGACTTTAAGCAGTAACAGGTAAATAGAATGCTGGTACTGATTGGGCGATAGGTAGGAATCCCCAAGAAAACCCCCTTTTGGAAGTCAATCAGAGAAAGATTATTCTTTGTAAGCAAAATTACCATAAAGTAGGCAATGCATGAACCCATTATATTTTTGGAATATTGCGAGGAAGTGTGTAATACACTGAGTCACTCACTGACTCTCTCACTCTAATTCCATTTTACACTTTGCCAATGTTATCCAACTTACATGCTCAGGCAAGTGTTGTCCCTTTCCTGCCACATGTTTCTTTGTTAATATGGGTATATTTACTGTCTGTAAGATAATGTTGTTGTGTATGTAGATAATTCTAACAATGATGTGAAGATTGACTCCTAAAGGTTTAGATATTTTTGACCTATTAACTGTGTGTACATGAAAGCGGATATGTTGTTTTCAGATGATACTGACGGAGGAGGAGGTGCGGGTAAAGACGATGGTGTGGATGAAGGCCAATGAAGACTACCTGCAGGAGCAGAAAGGTGGGACACTGTCAGTCTGGTGATCATCTCTGTGGAGCTGAGGGACGGTGGGGTAGCCTAGTGGTTAGAGTGTTCACTCGTCACGCTGAAAACCTGGGTTTGATTCCCCACATGGGTACAATGTGTGGAGCCCATTTATGGTGTCCCCCGCCGTGATATTGCTGGAATATTGCTAAAAGCGGTGTAAAACCCAACTCACTCACTGTGGAGCTGAGGAGGCATGGCAGCAGCCACACTGGAATCAGAGTTCTCAAATCACAAGCAATAAATATCTCTTTGTGACTGTGACTTTCAGCATTTAATATATTACATGAAATGGGAGAGAGACAACATATTATTACTGACATGCTTGTTTAGGTGCAAGATTAAAATTTTGTAAACATATACATGAAATATTTCTTTTGTCTTCTGAAAGAACATGCAGAAAAGAAACATATTATCAACCTCTGCTGTTAGAAGTCATATGAGGTTATGTTGTAGGCCTAGATGTGTATATATTGTGTATGGCTGCTTGATCTATATCCATGAGTGGCTGTAATCTGTTGCAGAGAAGGCAGAGAGGAAGAAGAGGGAGGAAGAGGAGGAGGCGCTGAAACCAGAGAAGAAGGTCAGTTTTGTGACAAACGTACAGACTAAAAGAGAGTCAGTGACTGAGTGGGTGATCGGGTTGGTGGGTGGGTGGTGGTGCACAACATGACATCGGCCTGTGGCAGTCAAGTCTGGACCAGACCAACCAATGTTTGATACAACTGATGGATGTGTACAGTCAGTCCAGTAACCACACACCAAGGTTTGGTAGGTTGTTGTTACACATGAGATATGGACCACCTCCATGGTGTAGTGGTTAGAGCGGAAGGTCGCAGGTTCGAACCCCGACTGCGTCATACCAAAAGACGTTAAAATATGGTACTTGTTGGTCCCTGCCTGGCACTCGGCATTAATGGGTACAACAAGGACTGGTCGGCAGGAGTCAGTATAATGTGTCTGAGTGGGGTATTCATGCTTCACTGCAGTATAGTATCTCAGTGGGCTAGCACTTTAAAAACCAGCTTAAGTCTGGGCTAGTACAAGCAGCCACACATACACACACACACGCATGCACGTCGTCATATGAGCGAACTATTCTCAAGCACGACGTAAAACCCAATTTACCTCACCTCACCTCACATGAGATATGGACTGTATGGATCTGTGATATTGTGACACACAGGTTGTACATAGACAGGACAAGATATGTGAAAAGTGATCTGGTAGTGTTAGATAACATAACAATTTTGTATATGGAAGTATTGTACCAAATGTATTTGATCAACAAACAGTTTATCTTTGATGATATTAATGGTAGTTTACATCTTCTGTTTTTAGAAACATTTTGAGCTTAAAATCTTCTGATATTCCAGAAAAAGCGAACCTACAAGAAACGTATCCAACAAACGGGTGAAGCATCAAGTGCTAGAGAAGCCTTGGCTAAGATGTTATTAGAAAAGAAACTGTCAAACAAGATTAACTACGATGTTCTGAATGATCTTAACTGTAAGGCCATGAAGAATGAGTCGTCGACTAAGCCAGATCTGGAGATGGAGCCCCCTCCTACTACAGATGTTCTCACCCCAACAGAAGTGAAGGTCTCCAAGTCAATACTCAATAGGTGAGAGGGAAAGAAATGGGTTTCTTCATCAGTGAGCTAATATTCACGAATCTCACTCTCGCATCTTTGATATAAAAGATATCACTACTTTGCAATGAACATTTTAAACTCGTGGCTTGTAGAGGTGTTGTGAATTGTTTTTGAAAATTATTTATACTTTAATGTTAAAAGAAATGAATCTGCGATTTTGTTTATTATCCACAATATTTGAATCCATGGTGTAACAGTCATACTACTCCGCTCCATGTATGAACAGTCTTGCAGTTTGATCTTGTTTCCCTTGCTATGTTTATGGTGGTGTCTCTGTTTGTTTCAGATTTAAGAGATCAAGTGTTAACATTGATGTGAAACGAGAAGCTCAAGAGGTAGGAACATTACTTTCTGTCTCCATTAAACAGCTGAAATATTGCTGACAACATAAACTTTACATTTCAACTTTAGAGGAAGTAAAATAGTCCTAACTATAGGCATATATTTCATCTGCAGAATCCAAGTTTTCCAGTCCAGGTAGGGACATCGTCAAGACCAGAAATACGTATCACCCTCTTGTAAACCATTCTCTTCCCACAGAGGTTACTCCTGTCATATCTTCCTACATAACCTCTGTTCTAATACGGCCCTTTCATGGTGTGAGCGTTCAAGACTCGTGATTGGAGACAATCAGATTTAGTTGTGCAATCAGCGACGTTGTTTCAAAAGTGATCATTCGCAAGGCCTCGGTAATTTCCGTATGCTTCGAGAAAACTAAACTTCTTCCCCTGCGCGATGCGCAAAAGTTTCTTCTAGACAGAACTCAGTCATGTTATGGCGGATCAGTGGCGTCTCCATCGCCCTCGTTGACAACGGACAAGCTAGCCATTAAACGTCTTGTGTGTAACATCAACACAAGTCACCGGCAGATGGGGGATATTTGTGGCCCCACATTTGCTTGTGTTAGTTAAGTTGAATCTAAGTCGATGTAACAGGCTTTCTGATTGGATGGAAAGAAGGGAGATAATTCGTGTTACGCGATCTTTTGCCGCTAGGGGATTTTACGAGAACTGGGAAATATGGCCGTATTAGAACAGAGGTTACGTAGGAAGATATGACAGGAGTAACCTCTGTGGGAAGAGAATGCTTGTAAACATGAGTTAGAGACTGAACTAGAGGAATTCTTCTTCATCTGGTGTCTGAAAAAAAACCTGCCTGTCTGCTTCTGTTTTTGCATATTGATACATTGTTTTCTTCCAGTTGTATTTCTTGCTTTTGATATTTTGTTCCACTGCAGGACTCTGACTCAAAGCGGGTTAAGTTCTCAGTAGATGCAGAAGTCAAGCCGGAGGTTGTCGTAGAGAGCGGACCAATACAGTACGAGACGAAAGGTGAGATGGTAATTTTGACTGATCCTGTTGTGGATGTTGTGACTGATCCTGTTGTGACTGATCCTGTTGTGGATGTTGTGACTGATCCTGTTGTGACTGATCCTGTTGTGGATGTTGTGACTGATCCTGTTGTGGATGTTGTGACTGATCCTGTTGTGGATGTTGTGACTGATCCTGTTGTGGATGTTGTGACTGATCCTGTTGTGGATGTCGTGACTGATCCTGTTGTGGATGTTGTCATGACTGATCCTGTTGTGGATGTTGTGACTGGTCCTGTTGTGGATGTTGTGACTGATCCTGTTGTGACTGATCCTGTTGTGGATGTTGTGACTGATCCTGTTGTGGATGTCGTGACTGATCCTGTTGTGGATGTTGTGACTGATCCTGTTGTGACTGATCCTGTTGTGGATGTTGTGACTGATCCTGTTGTGGATGTCGTGACTGATCCTGTTGTGGATGTTGTCATGACTGATCCTGTTGTGGATGTTGTGACTGGTCCTGTTGTGGATGTTGTGACTGATCCTGTTGTGACTGATCCTGTTGTGGATGTTGTGACTGATCCTGTTGTGGATGTTGTGACTGATCCTGTTGTGGATGTTGTCATGACTGATCCTGTTGTGGATGTTGTGACTGGTCCTGTTGTGGATGTTGTCATGACTGATCCTGTTGTGGATGTTGTGACTGATCCTGTTGTGGATGTTGTGACTGATCCTGTTGTGGATGTTGTCATGACTGATCGTTTTGTGGATGTTGTGACTGATCCTGTTGTGGATGTTGTGACTGATCCTGTTGTGGATGTTGTGACTGATCCTGTTGTGACTGATCCTGTTGTGGATGTTGTGACTGATCCTGTTGTGACTGATCCTGTTGTGGATGTCGTGACTGATCCTGTTGTGGATGTTGTCATGACTGATCCTGTTGTGGATGTTGTGACTGATCCTGTTGTGGATGTTGTGACTGATCCTGTTGTGACTGATCCTGTTGTGGATGTTGTGACTGATCCTGTTGTGGATGTTGTGACTGATCCTGTTGTGGATGTTGTGACTGATCCTGTTGTGGATGTTGTCATGACTGATCCTGTTGTGGATGTTGTCATGACTGATCCTGTTGTGGATGTTGTGACTGATCCTGTTGTGGATGTTGTGACTGATCCTGTTGTGGTTGTTTCAGACTCTGATGGGGTGTACATTGTTGATGAAGAGGAGGAGGGTGATTATGAGGAAGACGACTATGGCGAAGAGGAAAATGTCAGTGCAGCCAAACTCCTTGGACATGATGCAGGTAACAGAAGCTACATATGTCATTATCAGGTGTCATTAAACAGGTGACACCATACATGCATACAACATTTTAAGAGTTGTGTTAACAACAGACACACTTACTGGTTATGCTGCTTCTAGAGAAATTGTTGTTACAAGTTTGCAATTTACGATGTAGTCACATCAAATATTACCATGTCCCATCATACAGCTGGATGTTCAACAGTGCCCACTAACATAGATATTATAGTGAATAATTTCAAAGAAAACTTCAAAAATTAAAACTTCTTTTATTTTTAGCCATATCAATATTTATCGTGAAGTACTTAAAAAGGAGTTAAATTGAATGATTAAGTATGATGTCTCCCTCAACAGGTGCCCTCACAGACCAGTATTGCCTTTTGTTTCAGTTGGGGGCTATGAGGAGGAACAAGATGAATACTATTTGGATGATGACTGACATCAAGGGATTAGTTCTCTTCTTATTTCTGTGATATGAACAAAGTGTTTATGGTCAGCTGTATCTGACCTGAACAAGCTGCAGGGCAAGAGAGAACCTGTTCCCAGTTCTGGCCCACATCATCGGACTTCCTTGTTCACTTCCCACTCCAGGGTGTGAAAACTGTCATTGATGTCGCCATTATGGGCATCATCTAACAAGTGTCACCAGGGATCAGTGCAGCTAACACACAATGACTCTGGACTGATGCTAGAGATGTGCAATGTGCTGGACTCAGGCTGAGTGTTGGGTTACAAAACTACCTCACTCTTCCACGCACCCAACTGATGCCAGGAAATAATCTGCAAGTGAAAACTACCACTGCCTATCCTTACCATACCACCATACCATGCCACTACTCTATCATACCTCTCAAGCACGACGTTAAACCCAATTTCACCTCACCTCTATCATACCATACCATCATACCATGTCACTACCCTATCATACCATGTCACTTCCTTGTCCGTACCACCCGTGAAGGTCTGGGTTAGAATGTTGATCTTCAGTAACCCATGCTTGTCGTAGAGGCGACTAACGGGATCGGGTGGTCAGGCTTGCTGACTTGGTTGACACATGTCATCTGTTCCCAATTGCGCAGATTGATGCTCATGCTGTTGATCACTGGATTGTCTGGTCCAGACTCGATTGTTTACAGACCGCCGCCATATAGCTGGAATATTGCTGAGTGCAGCATAAAAATAAACTCACTTACTCACTCTATACCATACCATACCACTATCCTATCATACCATACCATCATACCATGTCACTTCCTTGTCCGTACCATACCATGTCACTATGATGTCAATACCATACAACCATACCATGTCACTATACTGTCCATACCATACCGTATCACTACCCTTTGAATACCATATCACTACAACATCACTTACTTGTCACTACGATTCCACTACCACATCAGTACCATACCACCACCAGGTCACTACCCTGTCACTACCATAACACAATTAGTCCACTACCACTGCAGAATGAACAGTAGATATGAAGCAGGTTGTGGTATTGTTTCCTCCAATACCAGGACCACTCAAGACTATAGATCAGCAAGGAACCAAGATGGCGCCACCTGAGACTGCCTCCTGAAACAGCGCTTCCACGGACCAGACTGCCTGGTTATCTATGTCAGCAGGGATAGGTCAAGTCAAGGCACAAATCTGCTGCAAAATCAGTACTTGAATTAAATAATCACATTTATGACTATAATAATCATATTGGCCTGATAGGTGCCAGTTTTCAAACTCAGGGACTGAGAATGTTTTGTATATTTAGCAAGACAAAGAGGTGTTGATAAATCTCTCAGATATTGTCAGAATTTGATGGCTTGTTTGTGAAATATAATAAAGTATTTAAACTGATGTTATGAAATGGAACAACTTTTCTGTAGGGCAAGTGATTTCTCCCTGGTAATGGCCCTGTGATGAAATTTCTTTTCTTTTTTTGACTGAGAACGTAAGATAGATTTACCAGGAGACACTGTGACATGAATTCTTCTCTGGGCATCATAAAGGTGACACAGCACAAGACTGACTGACTGACTGAGTTTGGTTTTATGCCGCTTTTAGCAATATTCCAGCAATATCACGGCGGGGGACATCTGAAATGGGCTTCACTCATTGTACCCATGTGGGGATTCAAACCCGGGTCTTTGGCGTGACGAGCCAAGGCTTTAACCACTAGATTACCCCACCGCCCCCACAGCACAAGAACTGCCAAGAACCAGTCTGTTCAAAAAGGGACACATTGACACGGGAGGGATCAATAATGGGTGTTGGGTGGCGGGGGGTGGTGGGACTGTAGCAGGCACAAACATGCAAAGAGATTATTTACTGAAAACCATCACTCTGCTGTCCAGGGATTTGGGTCAACAACAAACATGGCCGACATATGCAGTATATGTGAAACATTCATGTTGATGATGAAGTAAGATGACAATCCATGTGATAATGCAAGTAATACATCAGAAGACTGGGATATTGTTACAGGCAGCAGGCAGACTTACAGCCATATCAATACACATTAGTAGTAACACAGTTACTATGGTGATGACTGGCTGTATTACTCATGAAATAATATGTAATAAGTGCAATTGTATAATTCGTATACAAAATATGTAAAGAATGTTTTTGGAGAATCATGAAATGTTTTGAAATAAGGAAATATTACAGTGTCATGAATTAACATATGATCTCAGTACAGCAGCATTATGTATTTGTTTTAGACACCACAGTGATATTGTCATGTGCACATTGTTTTCAGTTGTGAAATTGATTAAATGAATATGAATAAGACTACGTGGTTTGTTGTTTGATCCGTCTATTCGTGTAAGTGAGATTACAGACACTAACAGATGAGGCTGCTGTGTTTAGCCTATGTCTGTGTAAGGCCGGCAATCTCAGCTGTGAAGGTAGATGTACAATCAGGTACCAACACCTGTGAAGGACCAGCTGTGAAGGTAGATGTACAAATCAGGTACCAACACCTGTGAAGGACCAGATGGGAATGTAGATGTACAAACAGGTACCATCACCTGTGAAGGACCAGATGTGAATGTAGACCAGGTACCATCACCTGCGAAGGACCAGCTGTGAATGTAGATGTACAAAACAGGTACCAACACCTGTGAAGGACCAGCTGTGAATGTAGATGTACAAACAGGTACCATCACCTGCGAAGGACCAGCTGTGAATGTAGATCTACGAACAGGTACCATCACCTGTGAAGGACCAGATGGGAATGTTGATGTACAAACAGGTACCAATACCTGTGAAGGACCAGCTGTGAATGTAGATCTACGAACAGGTACCATCACCTGTGAAGGACCAGATGGGAATGTAGATGTACAAATAGGTACCATCACCTGTGAAGGACCAGATAGGAATGTAGATCTATGAACAGGTACCATGACCTGTGAGGGACCAGCTGTGAATGTAGATGTACAAAACAGGTACCATCACCTGTGAAGGACCAGATGGGAATGTAGATATACAAACAGGTACCATCACCTGTGAAAGACCAGCTGTGAATGTAGATGTACAAAACAGGTACCATCACCTGTGAAGGACCAGCTGTGAATGTAGATCCACGAACAGGTACCATCACCAGTGAAGGACCAGATGGGAATGTAGATCTACGAACAGGTACCATCACCTGTGAAGGACCAGCAATCTCAACTGTGAATACGTGTAGAAACCGCCCTGAAAGGTTAAACAAAGAAAACTGTACAAACGGACATTCCCTGGTGAAGTAGATGTACACACAGGTTGGGTAAGGCCAACATGTCATGAACGCGAATGACATATAAATGCACACGATTGTGATGACTAATTTCAAATATGAAAGTGTGATATATACTGGACAAAATAAGTTAGGGATATTGGTATTTTTATGATTGATTTTTTATCAGTGTGTCAATGAATAAATGAATCATTATTAATCATTTCAAAATTTACATATATCCCTAACCATTTTGTCCAGTATACATGGCGACATACAAACATTAAAAAATACATAGACCACATCGTTCTCGAGGGGTATTGCCCATCTGAAAAACGCTGAACAGCTAGAGATCCTGTTAAAAATCTGCGGGAACTGATGCAGGCTGTTCATGAGGAATAGGATTCGAGGCTTGGTTACCAGTGTGAGGAGGATACTGTCAAATATTATCATGCGAGGGGCGGACTACTCCAGTTGATACAATCACAACAGCCATGATTGGAGAAGTATGTGACAAGGACGTGGTCTATCATGCGAGGGGCGGACTATTCCAGTTCATACAATCACGACAACCATGATTTGAGAAGTATGTGACAAGGACATGGTCATGGTGACCATACTTTCCGGCATTGTTGAGATCAGAGACCATGTACTGGCATATGGTCTCTGTTGAGATGAACTTTTTTGTGTATTCATATTGCAAGTAAATTGTTACCAAATTTCAGGTTTGGTTTATAATCACAGTAAAATATTTTGCAGTTACCATTTTGATAAACGGAATTTGGTTTTCAAATTTGTATTCGTACTGGTGGGTGATGATTCCTTAAAGTGAATTAAATCTTGCAGCTTCTACGGGTAATTCTAACATGTCATTCATTGTCCAGGAAGTTACAGAAGCTTTGCATTTGGTCGTCTACGGGAAGCTAAAATATTTCTGCATTTTCACATAAAATTTGTAATCCATACAAGTCTGATGATATTATAAAATTGTTCTGAACGAAATACTCCATAGAAGCCTACATGAATCCTGTCAGTTTTAAGAAAACTACAACAATAGTACAGAACAAACAAACAAGTTGTCTTGAATTTATTAACCTGGTAAAATGTTTCGCTTACGCATCTGTTACGTATTTTTAATAAATTCATATGTGGAATATTCCAAATTAAAAACGAAATTTCAAAATATCGAATTTCTTCAAGGTTATTTCAGAGTGTGTTCAAGAAAAGTACATGTAGTAGTTTAGTGAATTTCCACCGAGATAATTTATAGAATCTGCGTGATATACAGAACGGTCATGTACACTACAGAGGTGCACATGGAGCTATATCCTTGAAGTGGTCCATTTCAGCAAAGACCATAAAATAATTAAGTAATAATAATATTATAGCGAAAGGTTGAATTAGTGGTTTAAGATTGTACAATATAGATGTTTATATATATGGTCTGTAAATATTCGAGTCTGGACCAGACAATCCAGTGATCAACATCATGAGCCTCGATCTACGCAATCTGTGAGCTTCACAACCCTATCTCGATAGATGCCTCTTACGACAATCATGGGTTGCAGAAGACAAATTCTAACCCGGATCTTCACGGATCCACACTTTATAAGTTTCATGAAGGTGATATCACACGACTTACAAAGTGTACCTTCCTTTTAAGTATCATTAAAACTTGAAAATTAGAAGAAAAACAACAAATTATTCCTGCTGACCTGCTACGTGCGATGTTTTCCGATCGATTGCCAAAACAAATTGTTCCTCGTACCAACTACTAAAATCTTAACTTCGGCAAATTACTAGAACATGTTTTTTCTTTATTCAAAGAGAAGGTTTCTTATTTTGTTTGAAAAAGAACGATAACAATGAAACAATGTTCGCAACTAAGGTAGTTTCGCCAAAACGCACCGGTTGTCAAACGCGCGGACTTCCGGCAACAACAAAGACACGTGTGTGGCTCCTGTGTAATGGACTCAAGTCGCCTTCATGGGCGAGGACGCCTCAATATAACAGAGGAATCAGCTCGAAACGTGGACGAAGATGAATCAAGACACACGTCGTATACAAGCGTCCTGTTACAGCTTGCAACTGGATCAGTTTGTGGCGGGTATTTTGGGTATGCAGCAGGGAAGGGTAAAGGTATGTTCAGCATTGAATACAGTGATAGATACATATACTTAGTCGTAGAATGCACAACGTCACGCTCTAGCACCACTCACCACCAGCATGTCAGCCATTGTAGTTGCTGCTGTTACCAACTACAAGGTAGCTGCTGATTCCACAACTACAAATACTACCACCACACCACCGTGCATCTCCTACCGTGCATCTACTACTACTACTACTACTACTACTACTACTACTACTACTACTACTACTATAGATTAATGCTTAGTCTCTGAATATATATAATTTTACAGACTACTACTACTACTACTAGTCGTACTTGCTCAAGGCTCAGGTATAGTTTTCCCTACTACTACTAGTAGTATTAGGGAAAACTATACCTGCGCCTTGAGCAAGCACTTGTAGCCTGGATATGTGCGCTACATAAATAACATATAATAACTACTACTACTACTGCTACTACTACTGCTACTACTACTACTACTACTACTACTACTACTACTTCTACTACTACTACTACTACTACTACTACTACTACTACTACTACTACTACTACACTTAAATACCATTCCATACACATGCATGTTATGTTCTATGAGAATAAACTGCTCATTGTGGTCACTATGAATAGTTTTCATATCCAGTATGATGTTGAAAATGCATATAAGTTATGTTTTGTTGTAGCATTTGAACCCTCTGCTGTCACAGCTCAGCTTTTCTTGGAGAGATTCCTGCTGCTGAAAATGTTGCTTGCTGCCATAGCAACAAGTGAGTCTGCATCTCTCTCAGTGATATTCCCAGAGGGGATTCTAAGGAAGGGTCCTCTCTTTCAACAGTAGTAAACTAGATCTTGAGAGAATAGATTAGCTGATTATCTGGATATGTAGAATTTGGGCCAGACTTTCTAAAAACTTACATACTAAAATTTAAAAGTGACAGGTGAAAATATTTGCATTGTTCTTGTTACTTTTTTAATCCTTTGACCTACCATCCTGAATTTTGGGCCCCAAATCTGTAAAGGTAGCAGCATGCCATGGCCTGATGATGATGTGGACTTGGGCGGCCATTGAGTTTTCTATTGTCAATGACAGTTAGATGTATAAACAGCTTTAATTACTTTGCCATGGATTGTGTGATGTCTCAAGCTGTAGCTCACCTTCCCTTCCACTGTGCCAGGTATGTTCTGCTTGTCCTTGATGGCCATGATTCCGGCAACGAGTGAACACTTCCAGCGAGCACGACAACGCTTCCAGCTGCGCTTCCTTGACAAGGGTGTTGTCACAAGCATCATCGGTGGAGGAATTCTGGGAGCAGGGATGACAGTCTCAGGAGCAGTAAGATGATATTTCAGTATCTGTTTGTGCTACTGGATTTTGGACCCATGAAGAACAGAAAACCCTTGGTTAGACCTGGCTTCCAACAACCCAAGCTTGTTGTAAGAAGCAATCATGCTGTTGTAGGACAAAACTCAGGGGATCTGGATGCCATGCTGTCTTTTTAGTTGATGTATGGCATTAGGGCTTCCACGGGTACTCGAGTACTCGAGGACGAGTCAGGTTTAGCTGGACTCGAGTCCATTTTCAAGGACTCGAGGACTCGAAAAGGGGAGATAACTCGAATTATTGACGTTGACGGACTGTCTGCCATGTGCTAAGCATGAGCGTCCGTTAACGTCTAATATTAAGAAAAAGATATAACTTTATTATCCCAGAGGAAATTCTCATACATCCAAACTGTCTCAAAATGAATATATACTTAGTTCACAAAAATATACACAATAATTACATGCTCAAAACGAATGCTATTTACAAATAAAACTGACATGATATAATTTAATTAACCACATAGGTAAAGAGGCTGAAAAATTCTAGTTCTAATCACATGATGGTGATTCAAAAATATTTGTTGCATTCACGAATACTTGATGGTATGAAAGACTGTCGAGCTCTGTTTTGAGGGAAGGTAATCGACAGCAGCATCCAGAAGGAAGTAGTTCAAATTGGTGAGATCAAATATGTCAACTATCATATCAAATTTTTGCTGCCTTTTTGAATATACTCGAAATACACTCTAGAAATTTTGCAAGCAGTATTAACAATTTTGAAAAGTCTGTTTTTGTTGCGATGAGACAGATCCCCATACCAACATAGAAAATTGTAGGTCAACACACTTTGAAAAAAGGTTTGATAAAAAACTGTCATTACGGTTTGTCAATGCCTTGACGATAATATGTTCAGAATCAGAAATTAGGCCAGTAACAGTGGCGTCATCTGCAAATTTCACAGTAAACTAGTCATATATTGACAAGTAACAGTCATTGGTATACAAAACGAAGAGTACGGATGAAGTAACACATCCATGTGGATCTCCAGTAGAGGTTGAGAGAAAAGAAGATTGATAAACATTGACACTGACATACTGAGTTCTATGTACCCTGAATTCTTTAACCCATCTGATAATGTTTTTATTAACACCTAGATTAAATAGTTTATTCCTCACACGGTGTGGCTGTATGGTATTAGTTGTTACAAGTCTGCAGATGAGAGTCAATATTAAACATCGATTGAGATTTCACTTCTTAAAATGATTAGGTAACTATCTTGACAATTGATCGTTTGCTTGAAAGGTATGAATTTCGAGTACTCGGGTCCGAGTCGAGTCTCACCCCTCGAGTACTCGAGTCCAAAAATATGGACTCATTGAAGCCCTATATGGCATCAGGGAGATTTTGGAGCCAGAACTACCTGAACCTCTGATAACAATGATTGTTGAAGCTGTAATGTTTTGACTTACTGGAGACTCTCATCAGCACATTCTGTTGTAGGCCCCAGCCATGGTGGCAGTACAGCTTGGAGCAGGGGTCAGGTCTGCAGGTGAGATCTGGGTGGGGGCTGAGGATGGGGTTGGGGCTGAGGGTGGGGTGCCCATGTAGTGCCCTGGTATGCTTGTTGTGTGGCGGTACAGCTTGGATCAGGGGTTAGGTGTGCAGGTGAGATCTGGGTGGGGGTTGGGGGCTGAGGGTGGGGTGCCCATGTAGTGCCCTGGTATGCTTGTTTTGTGGCAGTACAGCTTATAGCAAGGGGTAGGGGAAATTTGTTTGGGTGGTGGTATGTGGTCATAGACTACACACAAACAGTTCAAGCCTTGTGAGAGGCCAAGATAGTAAGCTACTGAAACTCATGCTCCATAAAGATAATGTTTTGTAGAATTATTGACAGTAATAATGTATCTATATCTGAGTGCACTGTTGTTGGATGTGTCAATCCTAAAGGGACATGGGTATCAGCAACTTAACATTACACTGATGACAGATATACAGCTTGATGCATGTTCTCTGACCTTACCTACTGTTTACAGTTTCCATTTTCTAAGATGCTGTCGGATATCAGTTGTGTCCCTGTGTACACGTGGTGTCCACTCTGTGGTGTGTTGTCAGGGTCACGCTGGCTGGGTGCTTGGTGGGAGTTGTCCTGTACGGGATGTTGGAGCCGTTTCTCACAAACATCTTGAAGCCGAGACAACTTTACATGCAATATTTGTGGGTGTTTTAACTTTCATTTTAAAGGTGCAAATATGTGTGGAATTTGTTGTGGAATGGTGTCTCAGTGGGTTAGCAGCATAAACCTGGCACAAGGAGAGAGTACAAGCATAGGTGAACGCACATCGCTGTATGGGGAGATAATCTAGAACTTCATGTAACCTAATCCCCTCGGTGCCATCGCTGTATGGGGAGATAATCTTGAACCTCATGTGATCCCCTGTGCCATCGCTGTATGGGGAGATAATCTTGAACCTCATGTGATCCCCTGGGTGCCATCGCTGTATGGGGAGATAATCTTGAACCTCATGTGATCCCCTCGGTGCCATCGCTGTATGGGGAGATAATCTTGAACCTCATGTGATCCCCTGGGTGCCATCACTGTATGGGGAGATAATCTTGAACCTCATGTGATCCCCTGGGTGCCATCACTGTATGGGGAGATAATCTTGAACCTCATGTGATCCCCTGGGTGCCATCGCTGTATGGGGAGATAATCTTGAACCTCATGTGATCCCCTGGGTGCCATCGCTGTATGGGGAGATAATCTTGAACCTCATGTGATCCCCTGGGTGCAATCGCTGTATGGGGAGATAATCTTGAACCTCATGTGATCCCCTGGGTGCCATCGCTGTATGGGGAGATAATCTTGAACCTCATGTGATCCCCTCGGTGCCATCACTGTATGGGGAGATAATCTTGAACCTCATGTGATCCCCTGGGTGCCATCACTGTATGGGGAGATAATCTTGAACCTCATGTGATCCCCTCGGTGCCATCACTGGTGCCATCCTGTATGGGAGATAATCTTGAACCTCATGTGATCCCTGGGTGCCATCGCTGTATGGGGAGATAATCTTGAACCTCATGTGATCCCTCGGTGCCATCATGCTGTATGGGGAGATAATCTTGAACCTCATGTGATCCCCTGGGTGCCATCGCTGTATGGGGAGATAATCTTGAACCTCATGTGATCCCTCCATGTGTATCTTGAACCTCATGTGATCCCCTGGGTGCCATCACTGTATGGGGAGATAATCTTGAACCTCATGTGATCCCTGGGTGCCATCGCTGTATGGGGAGATAATCTTGAACCTCATGTGATCCCCTCGGTGCCATCACTGTATGGGGAGATAATCTTGAACCTCATGTGATCCCCCATCGGGTATGGGGAGATAATCCATCACTGTATGGGGAGATAATCTTGAACCTCATGTGATCCCCTGGGTGCCATCGCTGTATGGGGAGATAATCTTGAACCTCATGTGATCCCCTGGGTGCCATCATGCTGTATGGGGAGATAATCTTGAACCTCATGTGATCCCTCATCGCTGTATGGGGAGATAATCTTGAACCTCATGTGATCCCCTCGGTGCCATCGCTGTATGGGGAGATAATCTTGAACCTCATGTGATCCCCTGGGTGCCATCGCTGTATGGGGAGATAATCTTGAACCTCATGTGATCCCCTCGGTGCCATCGCTGTATGGGGAGATAATCTTGAACCTCATGTGATCCCCTGGTGCCATCGCTGTATGGGGAGATAATCTTGAACCTCATGTGATCCCCTCGGTGCCATCACTGTATGGGGAGATAATCTTGAACCTCATGTGATCCCCTGGGTGCCATCGCTGTATGGGGAGATAATCTTGAACCTCATGTGATCCCCTGGGTGCCATCACTGTATGGGGAGATAATCTTGAACCTCATGTGATCCCCTCGGTGCCATCGCTGTATGGGGAGATAATCTTGAACCTCATGTGATCCCCTGGGTGCCATCACTGTATGGGGAGATAATCTTGAACCTCATGTGATCCCCTCGGTGCCATCACTGTATGGGGAGATAATCTTGAACCTCATGTGATCCCTCGGTGCCATCACTGTATGGGGAGATAATCTTGAACCTCATGTGATCCCCTGGGTCATCATCACTGTATGGGGAGATAATCTTGAACCTCATGTGATCCCCTGGGTGCCATCGCTGTATGGGGAGATAATCTTGAACCTCATGTGATCCCCTGGGTGCCATCGCTGTATGGGGAGATAATCTTGAACCTCATGTAACCTAATCCCCTCGGTGCCAACTCAACTGTAAAGAGGTTTCATAATAAGTCGAATCAATATCTGTTATAGTGGTGAATGGTCACATGATCAGTCATCAATAGTGATGTATTTAGGTCAGATATACATACTATATAAGACATACTTCGTCTGTATAGTGTGTGCTTTCAATATAAGTCTATGACAATAAGTCCTAATAGCATGCTCCACTTACACCTTCATTCAATGATATAAACCAGTTTAACATCACATTTCTGTAAGCTCAGTAAGGAATTGTGACTCTACAATAGTCTAGACTAGCATGTGTTGTTTTCCAGCCTCCAGGACACGCAGGGTGCACCGTACTTCACGCTGTCACTCCCTCTGGCAGCCATGGTCTCCATGGCGGCGTTTGCCCTGAGCTGCTGGACCCCTGGGATATGGAAGTGGACGTGCGTAACTTGACCACGTTGTTACCTGTTGGCACGCCTTGGCAAAGTGGACTCCAATATACAGTGCTTATTGTAAAATGGAAATGTACATAAAATCAAGCTTAAATGCTGTCTTTATTTTAATTATCTGTAAACACTAAATGATATCTAAAACTCAATTTCACACAAATGTACAAACAAAGAGACGCCTGCTTTATCAGAATTTTATTGTCTTGTTTCATGCTCAGGATTCATAATGAAGGTGTTGCTATATTGTAGTCCAAGAGTGGGTCTGTCAGAGTGGAGTTGATGTGGTCCCCCCACCTGTGTGGTGTAGTGATGGGGATGTTGCAGGTGCCCCTTGTGGTGATGCTACATGACACTCTAGGTAGGTCTGTCAGAGTGGAGTTGATGTGGTCACCCCACCTGTGTGGTGTGTACCTGTGTGGTGTAGTGATGGTGATGCAGGTGCCTGCAGGTGCCTGGTGATGGTGATGCTACATGACACTCCCTAGGTAGGTCTGCCAGAGTGGAGTTGATGTGGTCCCCCACCTGTGTGGTGTAGTGATGGGGATGCTGCAGGTGCCCCTTGTGGTGATGCTACATGACACTCTAGGTAGGTCTGCCAGAGTGGAGTTGATGTGGTCCCCCACCTGTGTGGTGATGGGGATGCTGCAGGTGCCCCCTTGGGTGATGCTGCAGGTGCTGCCAGTGGAGTTGATGTGGTCCCCCACCTGTGTGGTGTAGTGATGGGGATGGGGATGCTGCAGGTGCCCCTTGGTCTGCTCAGGTAGGTCTTAGGTAGGTCTGCCAGAGTGAGTTGATGTGGTCCCACCTGTGTGGTGATGGGGATGTGGTGCCCCCACCTGTGTGGTGTAGTGATGGGGATGCTGCAGGTGCCCCTTTGTGGTGATGTGTAGATGACCTGTGTGGTGTAGTGATGGGGATGCAGGTGCCCCCTGGCTACATGACACTCTAGGTAGGTCTGCCAGAGTGGGAGTTGATGTGGTGCTGTGTGGTGTGTGATGGGGATGCTGCAGTGATGTGGTGATGCTATGACACTCTAGGCAGGTCTGCCAGAGTGGAGTTGATGTGGTCCCCCCTGTGGTGTGTAGTGTGATGGGATGCTGCAGGTGCCCTTGTGGTGATGCTACATGACACTCTAGGTAGGTCTGTCAGAGTGGAGTTGATGTGGTCCCCCACCTGTGTGGTGTAGTGATGGGGATGCTGCAGGTGCCCCTTGTGGTGATGCTCCATGACACTCTAGGTAGGTCTGTCAGAGTGGAGTTGATGTGGTCCCCCCACCTGTGTGGTGTAGTGATGGGGATGCTGCAGGTGCCCCTTGTGGTGATGCTACATGACACTCTAGGTAGGTCTGCCAGAGTGGAGTTGATGTGGTCCCCCCACCTGTGTGGTGTAGTGATGGGGATGCTGCAGGTGCCCCTTGTGGTGATGCTCCAGGACACTCTAGGTAGGTCTGTCAGAGTGGAGTTGATGTGGTCCCCCCACCTGTGTGGTGTAATGATGGGGATGCTGCAGGTGCCCCTTGTGGTGATGCTACATGACACTCTAGGTAGGTCTGCCAGAGTGGAGTTGATGTGGTCCCCCCAGCTGTGTGGTGTAGTGATGGGGATGCTGCAGGTGCCTCTCGTGATGCTCCAGGACACTTTATGTGTCCTAAACTTTAGGAGCTGCAGAGCCTGTTAAGAAGAGACATATTGTCTTGTTATAATAGCATGTTTATTCTTGTATTGAGAGATTGGGCAATACTTAATTATTTTTGATATTTCCTTACTGAGCAGTCAATTTAGATGTCTTTGCCTTATGATTATTGATATGTGGTTCTTCACTCAAGTGTTGAGACTTTAAATAGTTCACTGGGTGTGTTTTTCACCTCCTAGGGGGATCCACTAGCTTCTGCACCGTGATGTCCCAGGTGCTGATGTCAAGGTGGATGCGGAGGAAAATGCCGTATCTTGCCAGGTTCCGATCAGGGGTATCACACTGGTGGCAGGTGAGGTGTAGGGTCAACACATGGTGACCGCTCTGGAATTAGGCTAACTGATCTGTGAGGTACATCCTTGCTGACATGACATATACTGATGGACAAAAGTTTTGCAACAATGTTTATTGTCTTCATAGATCACACACTGGTAAATTCCAGTACAAGGTCTCGGTTCTAGTCACAACATGTTTTGTTTCTAATGGTGATATATGTACTTGTAGTGAAACACCACTGGGTTGAACAACTCTTATTATTTATGGCTTGTTTTAGCCAAACATCTCAATCTAATAGTTTGAATGAGTTAATTTGGAAAGTTAAAAATAGGTCTGTAGTTGCCTGATTTCAGATCATGATCGTATGTGAGAGACTAACCACTACCACAAGCCTGGAAATAGTGACATGTTGAAATGACTACAAATTCAGAGCACAAAAGTATTTTGAGGATGTGATAAAACAATTCATCTTCCTGTTTACTCTGTCCAGGTCCTGTTTATGCTGTCTTCTGTGATTGGAGCATACATTTCAAAATCAGCCAATCAGAATGTGCCAACAGGTGTCAGTGAATTGTCTGCATTCATTGGAGGAGTTCTAATCATGTTTGGGGCAAGACTTGCCTCTGGATCCACAAGGTGAACTACATTTTGAACTAACCATGAACACAGGAGGATATTTTGAGGGTTTTAGTGGTAGCTATGTACAAGACTACCTGTTTATTACTTGAAGGTTACGGATTTACTTACCTTATTAAGTAGATGAAAGTCATTGACGCAAATCTTAGTGTACCAATCAGAAGGTTGGTTTCTGATTGAGTTTATTTCTGTTTCAGTGATCATATCATCTCTGGAATAGGACTTTTATCTCTCCACTCTCTCGTGTGTGTCCCAGCTATCGTCGTCGGTGGTGTTTCTGCTGGGCTGGTGCTGTCGTAGTACACAGTAACATGAATGGGAGGGCATGGAAACTGTGTGTTGTGGTGAAGGTTCTTGGTTGTCACAGTGATAACAGAACACGTCTGAGCAGGTGGTCCTGCGACTGCTGGTGTTGATGGATGGTGTTGATGGATGGTGTTGATGGATGGGACTGTAAGTCAACTACTGGTGTTAATGTTTGTCTACAGATGTGGACAGCAAGTCCTACAGCTGTTGGTGTCAAGGTCATGTGTGTAGGAAGTTCAAGGACATCCACAGTGGATTAAAGTGCTAGCTATCTGTTGCTACTCATGTCTGTACACAGATGCTGTGAAGGACAGCTGGGTATGCAACTGCTGGTGTCAAGGTCATCTGTGTAGGTAGTTCAAGGACATCAACAGTGGAAGATCTACCAGCTATCTGTTAGTGCTGGTGTGTGCATACAGATGCTGTGAAAGACTATAGGAAGTTTGACAGGGAGGAGACTTCAACAAGAGATACCTACACCATGATTGTGTCCTGATACCTGTATATGGGAAGACATTGGCAAGACATGAAATCTCTAGGATTGTGTGTTGATGATGGATGTACATTTGGGAGGAAAACCGAAAGAATTTTTTCCCCCATAATTGTGTACATCTTAACAGTGAAGTAGAACCTTGTGAATTTGAACTCAGATATTTGAATTTCATTAGTAACATTAAACTCAGCTGTTACAACCATGTAACATTGACCTCAGTAGTAACCTTGTAGTAACATTGAACGTAGGTGTTAAAATCTTTGTAGTAACATTGAACTTAAATGTTAAAACCTTTGTAGTAACATTGAACTTAGGTGTTAAAACCTTTGTAGTAACATTGAACGTAGGTTATAAAACATCTGTAGTAACATTGAACTTAGGTGTTAAAACCTTTGTAGTAACATTGAACTTAGGTGTTAAAACATCTGTAGTAACATTGAACTTAGGTGTTAAAACATCTGTAGTAACATTGAACTTAGGTGTTAAAACATCTGTAGTAACATTGAACTTAGGTGTTAAAACCTTTGTAGTAACATTGAACTTAGGTGTAAAAACCTTTGTAGTAACATTGAACTTAGGTGTTAAAACATCTGTAGTAACATTGAACTTAGGTGTTAAAACATCTGTAGTAACATTGAACTTAGGTGTTAAAACATCTGTAGTAACATTGAACTTAGGTGTTAAAACCTTTGTAGTAACATTGAACTTACGTGTTAAAACATCTGTAGTAACATTGAACTTAGGTGTTAAAACATTTGTAGTAACATTGAACTTAGGTGTTAAAACCTTTGTAGTAACATTGAACTTAGGTGTTAAAACATCTGTAGTAACATTGAACTTAGGTGTTAAAACATCTGTAGTAACATTGAACTTAGGTGTTAAAACATCTGTAGTAACATTGAACTTAGGTGTTAAAACTTTTGTAGTAACATTGAACTTAGGTGTTAAAACATCTGTAGTAACATTGAACTTAGGTGTTAAAACCTTTGTAGTAACATTGAACTTAGGTGTTAAAACCTTTGTAGTAACATTGAACTTAGGTATTAAAACATCTGTAGTAACATTGAACTGAGGTGTTAAAACATCTGTAGTAACATTGAACTTAGGTGTTAAAACATCTGTAGTAACATTGAACTTAGGTGTTAAAACATCTGTAGTAACATTGAACTGAGGTGTTAAAGCATCTGTAGTAACATTGAACTTACGTGTTAAAACATCTGTAGTAACATTGAACTTAGGTGTTAAAACCTTTGTAGTAACATTGAACTTAGGTGTTAAAACATCTGTAGTAACATTGAACTTAGGTGTTAAAACCTTTGTAGTAACATTGAACTTAGGTGTTAAAACCTGTGTGTCTGAGGTTTTATTATATACCCATGTAAACTTACGATAATAACACAGGGTTGCAATACGGATGATGTTGTCAAATTCCGTATTGCACCCCAGATTCCATATTGAACACCTATCGCTACGCTATGATTTGTTTTATTAAGTAACAGATTAATGCAAGATAAGAGGGTATATAATAAATATAGAACGACATACTAGTGCATTTGGATGTTTTGTATTGAACTTGAAGATGTCATGGGAGCAGAGAATCCAAATGCACTAGTATGACGCTTCTATATATCTATCAAATATAGCCTATGTGACTGTACTTGTGCAGCTGTGTGTTCAAAACTATCAATGTATATGATGTACAGTTCAGAAGAGCAGTGTTCCTTATTTTCCTGGCAAGTGTAGTCACTGTTATCCATGACAAACTGATCCCTCCAAGACTGGCCTACAAGCAAGTCATTACCATGTGATTGGTACCAACCACACCATGCTGTTTTGTTTGGGGCACCATGTTATCCAAGGATTGTTGGTGCCAGTTACTGGAGTAATGTAAGCCTTGTTTGGTTTACCTTGCAAACATAAGACAAGACAGAAAAGCTGCAGAAGCTGTTTTATTGATGTTGGGGAATGACATGATCACTAATGAACACATGCAATTGAGTAAGATACCATTAAAATGTTAAAACCAAATAAATTGCACCAATGTTTCATATCAGCAGAATAACTATGCTACAACTAACTATTCATTTCAGTATGAGTCTGCATGGTTAGTGCATTACCCTGTCCAAGGCTGGCCAAAATCTACAGCACGGTTTGCTACTGTCACCACTACAAAGCATGGGAAGATACAGAGGTTGCATGCAGTCCATAGTGTAGACACAAACTACAATACATAAGAATGAAGTTATGTAAATCACAAAAAGTAGCCAACTAGGTAATTGGCAAATTAAATGTGTTTTGGTTTACATTAATGAATGTGCTGACAGAAATTCTTGAAGTAGCCTTATGCGTCCCATGTGATATTTGAGACAAACATGTCTCTGTAGAAGTTACTTTGTTTAAGGTACATATTTCTCCCTTCACCTATTATCATATCCTACTGAACAGGTCCAGCACTTTCATTCAACAGTACACAGTAATGCGAAGGGAGAAAAACATGTTTAAAACTTGCATTTTCCGATTAAACAGTGTATAAAATAGCTGCCTTCCTTGTACACTTCTGTGAAGTTATCATGAGAACCAAGGGTGATGTGTACAACTTTAGATGCTTAAAAACCATGGGAGTAAAATACATAATAATGGGAGTATAACAACAAGACAAATTTCTCAAAGAATGATAGATTTAGACATAGTATATTTGATTATTACCTTGGCTTTCAAGAAATGGTTATACAACGTTACACACACTGTCATATAATGTTCTCTAAAACTCTTGTCTCACATACTATTGAAAACATGTAAAAGGAACTGAAAAATCAGAAATGCATGCATTGATATGTATACTGTTGTAAAACCTAATGACAAACTGTCCATGGATACAGGTGTATGCACAGGGCTGGGAGCTAGGCTATGTGCTGGTCCCACAACATCATGACATATGCTACTGATGGGGCATGAGTAACTGATGGCGCATGACATAATTTTGATGACGAACAAAGCAGAGGTGAAATCAATTTTGTACTATATGAAATATTCTCAGGTAAATGAATAGGTAACCTTTAACCAGTCGCCATTTGTATTAAGCAGATGTGTCATTTCAAGTACATACACAAATAGTCTGATTTGTTTGAGTGGGATTCAACAAAAACAAAAACAATGGAAGTGTACATCAGCAGTACTGACTGACTGACTGACTGACTGACTGAGTTTGGTTTTACGCCGCTTTTAGCAATATTCCAGCAACATCACGACTGGGGACACCAGAAATGGGCTTTACACATTGTACCCATGTGGGGATTCGAACCCTGGTCTTCGGCGTGACGAGCCACCGCTTTAACCATTAGGCTACCCCACCGCCCCACATCAGCAGGAGAGGCCCCATAACAAGTTGTAGTAAACAGTAGACAGACAGAGAGGATTGTTCCCTCGTCCACTTTCCTCTCTACAGAGGGAGAACTATTCAGTCCAATAATTACATAAACTTGTGGGCAAACTGACAGAAAATAAATGTTTACAGAAATGTTTGAAGGGTAATGTGGATACATCTGGTGAGAACTTCATACATGAAGATGTCAGTGCAGCAAGTGCAGTGCAGCAGTGCAGTGCAGATGTCAACCTTGCATTTTCACTGTATTCAGCTGTCTACCATCATGCCCATAGGACCAGAAGCTCACTTTAACTGCATGTACGCACATTACCAACACAAACTAAGAAACAAAAAGCACATGTCGATGTCTCACTTAACTGAAACACTGACAAAGTTCACTAAACATGACTGGTCACAGACTGCTGATATGTAAACCATAAAGAATCAATGCTATTCATTGATGGCAATATTTCTTGAAAAGCATGTTTTGGAGGTAAGAAGTTGCATGCTTATTTTGAGGCCAAGTCAGCCAATCATATGCCAGATAGATGACAAAAACATACATAGCACATCTTTAGGTATGAAAATACTTAGTACAGTGAGCATGCAGAAGACAAACCATGACATTCAACTAATTCCAACAGCTTCTTTCTGCCAACTGCAATAATACTGATGTTTTCAATGTTTTTTTGCCGAAGAGGTTATTGCTCAATGCCAATGGATGAATGGACAGACAGCTGGCAGAAGAAGACCTCTGACCAACAACAACGACCTTGTCAAGTGAACCCCAAATTGTCCCACCAAAGTAGTGATCACATTTAACCTCCACAGACTTAAGCAGCAAGTGTAGACGTGTTTGACTCAGTCATTTTTCATCATCAGATCCCACTTGTTGTTTAAGTTTCGTAATCTGCATGTTGTATACATGGACATGATATAGTACAAGGATACACATGACAGTTATGTTGTTATTCTGTGTGCAACTATGGTTCCTGGTGGGGGTCGGCAGTGATGGATGTTGGTGATGATGATGCTAGTTCTTGTAATGGAGTAACCAATACGGGTTTATGATACACATGAATAAACATGATGGAGGAAAGTCAATGCCCAGGGTCGCAATGCCAGGCATGTATAGTGTATATGTGGGGCATGTATAGTGTATACGTCAGGCATGCATGGTGTATATGTCAAGCATGTATGGTGTATATGTCAGGCATGTTTGGTGTATATGTCAGGCATGTTTGGTGTTATGTCAGGCATGTATCGTGTATACGTCAGACGTGTATGGTGTACATGTCAGGCATGTATGGTGTACATATCAAGCATGTATGGTGTACATGTCAGGCATGTATGGTGTATATGTCAGGCATGTATGGTGAATGTATAGGAACACAAATATATGAAAGTCACATGATGCATTTATATCTGTCACAATAACTGCCCTATCTGGGGAGATCCTGGAGCACTTTGACATCACTATTACCACATTTGTATTAAGTTTCCTATTTTTAACATGAGTTTCATGACAAGCACCCATAAACTTTCCTGGCTGATTTCAAACACTGGTGATAGTTAAGCAGTTATGAACTGATGTTGAGATCAAGTCTAGCTTCAAATGATTTATGTTGATTGATTTTACAAAACTGTGTCCTTGTGTGCAGGTACAGATTGCCGACACATAGTCATCCTGTGGTTGTACACAGCTTAAGTCACAACTGGTTCAGACATCTGCCAATTACAGACTGAAGATCAACAGTTAGAAACTGTTACTATTTCTATTACAGAGTTTGTACAATGCTGCCCAAAAATGAACAAGAAACAGTTTTTTACTTGGAATTGTGGGTTGTTATGGCACTGAAGCAGAAATGTAAAAAAGGTGCCAAAATGGTGCAAACCTTCACCAAAAGGACCCTGTTAACAAGACTAAATCTGAAATTACTCTTTTAAAAACATCAATTATGATAAAACCAGTCAGCTTTCCCTGTTGCTTCCCCACGTCTTTGTAATATCGGGACTCATGTTAAAACCTCATACCTTGCTGCACTCAGCAACTGACATACATGTAATATTGTAATCCTGTATTTTCAAAGCAAACGATCCTTGCACTTGATGTTCACGAAGGCCCAGGATAGAACTGGTCTTCAGCAAGCAATGTTTGAAGAAGAGAATAACAGGATCAGTCTTGCTGACATGGTTGATGCTTGTCATTGTAGACCCAACTGCGTAGATGGATGCTCAAAATGTCAATCAATGGATTGTCCTGGTCAGAGTTGATTCTTTACATTTTGCAGCCATATACCGTATATGTCCGACTATAAGTCGGAAATTTGATACCAGAAAAAGGAGCTCAAAAATCAGACCCGACTTATAATTGAGTTCATTAATCTACCCCAAAAGTTCCAGAGATCAGGTGAGTGAATCTTCCAGCCAAGCGAACTCAACTGGCAATGTTTACACCGGAAGCATATACGTACTGACGTTTCTAAAGGTAAATGCCATCGTGGGACAAATAAAACATAAAATATAAAATTTAGTTGTTTGTCTTTTGTAAAATATATTTCATAATATAAACGTTAAATTAAATTTAATCAGATATTTTGATCACAACTATTTACTTACTTTGTTATCGATTGATAAATTTGGGCCAAATGACACGACTTGAAAGAAAGTTCACGTAAAGTAAACTTCTTTGTATTCTGTGGCAGTTTTGTGTGATGGTTTTGAAAAATACTGTTAATAATTTAATAAATACTACAGATGATATTAATCAAGAAATTACATCGAAGTCAATTATCTGTGTCACTCGATTAGTCTCGGTTGTACAGTAGCGTTCGCTCAATGCATCTCACAAAATGCATGTTCCCAACTGAACAGTTTTTTATACAAAAATATCATTTTGAAGCACATTTACAGAAATATTTACACATCATAACATCCGCATCAAACACATTTGAATCTAGTTACATTTGTATGATGTGTTTTCAATGATAGTTGGTCTTTACACATACGCTCACTTTTTAAACAAAGTCAAAAAACATTTCACAAAAACACAACCTTTCTTGGTTATGTAAGGCTTCTGTTGATTGGCCTTTTATTTTATCATTAGCCAATCAGAAATCTGTTCTCAAAATAAACAAGTTTCAGGTACTGAACATGCTTGAACATGCTTTTACAAAAGATAACAAACACGTGTTTACCTTCGTCATGTTACAGTGTTGAACAGTCACGACGTTGATCTACCCAATACCGATACATACCAGGAAAGGGGTCGACTACCGGGAAAGGGGAAGAATTTAGAGGGTTGAGAGAGGGGCCCGATTTATAGTCAGATCCGACTTATAGTCGGTCATATACGGTAGCTGAAATATTGTGGAGTGCAGTATTAAACAACAAACAATGTTGACAATACTACCTAAAGTTCTACAGCCCACATAGTAGATCCTGGTGACATTACCCTGCCCATTAAATCCACATCTCTTTACCTTACGGATGATTCCCTAACATTCTCAAAATATATATTCCTCAGTATCTTAGCAAATAATTACTTTATCTTAAAATATAGATCTACACATTTTTGGAGTGAAGTTAAAGTGATGTTGCTTCATGAGTCTACATAGTCAGGTGAATAAAGATGAGTTTGAGCTGTAACTTCACGTATCCGAGAGCCCATTGGATTCATATCCCAGTCCCTTCCTCCCAGGGTGAAGGTAGGCCTGAATGGGATCTTGGATGCCATCTTGGTTTGGTCCAAGACCTGAGCCAGGGTTCCAACCCATACTCTGAAGCATCAAGTTGCCAATGTTGTGGTCAGGAATTGGCTCTGCGTTTTCACCAACATACCCTGAATAAAATAGAGGAACTGTTAGTGGTGCCACTAGCATTCCCTGTCTCTGGGCTCTGTGGTGAGCTATGGATGAATGACTAGAGTGTACTTTGTCATCACTTTAGCAATATCACAGAGGACAGAAGAAATGGCTCTCACACACTGTCCTTTAGGCAGGACAGTTTCTGATACACAAACAATTTAACCACTCACTCAATTAGACTCCCCCTCACTCTAATGACTAGATGGGGGTGTTTTACGTGTCAATAGTCTCACTCCCCTGCACCCTAATGACTAGATGGGGGTGTTTTACGTGTCAATAGTCTCACTCCCCCTCACCCTAATGACTAGATGGGGGTGTTTTACGTGTCAATAGTCTCACTCCCCCTCACCCTAATGACTAGATGGGGGTGTTTTACGTGTCAATAGTCTCACTCCCCCTCACCCTAATGACTAGATGGGGGTGTTTTACGTGTCAATAGTCTCACTCCCCCTCACCCTAATGACTAGATGGGGGTGTTTTACGTGTCAGTAGTCTCACTCCCTCTCACCCTAATGACAGAGGGGGTGTTTATGGGGTGTTTTAATGACACACTGTCACCCTAATGACTAGATCATAGTAGTCTCTCACCTAATGACCCTAGTCTCACCCCCCTCACCCTAATGACTAGATGGGGGTGTTTTACGTGTCAATAGTCTCACTCCCCCTCACCCTAATGACTAGATGGGGGTGTTTTACGTGTCAATAGTCTCACTCACCCTCATGACTAGATGGGGGTGTTTTACGTCATGTGTCAATAGTCTCACTCAATACTAGATGGGGGGTGTCACTAGTCTCACCCCCTCATCCTGGGGACTAGATGGGGGTGTTTTACGTGTCAATAGTCTCACTCACCCTCATCCTGGGGACTAGATGGGGGTGTTTTACGTGTCAATAGTCTCACTCACCCTCATCCTGATGGGGGTGTAGATGGGGTGTTTTCACGTGTCAATAGTCTCACTCACTCACTCACCTCTCATAGATGGTGGTGTTTAACATGGGGACTAGATGGGGGTGTTTTACGTGTCAATAGTCTCACTCACCCTCATCCTGGGGACTAGATGGGGGTGTTTTTACCTCATCCTGGGGACTATAAGTGTCAATAGTCTCACTCACCCTCATCCTGGGGACTAGATGGGGGTGTTTTACGTGTCAATAGTCTCACTCATCCTCATCCTGGGGACTAGATGGGGGTGTTTTACGTGTCAATAGTCTCACTCACCCTCATCCTGGGGATTAGATGGGGCTGTTTTACGTGTCAATAGTCTCACTCACCCTCATCCTGGGGACTAGATGGGGGTGTTTTACGTGTCAATAGTCTCACTCACCCTCATCCTGGGGACTAGATGGGGGTGTTTTACGCTGCCTCTTGAAGTCTCCTGAGTGTGTGGAGGCTGAGCCCGATGGGCGGGGAGGGAAATAACGACCCTGCATCTGGTTCCACTTTTGTCGATCTTGCAGGAACCTGGTCATTGTGTAGCTTGGCATCTAACAAGACAAATGTCAACAAAATCAGCATCCGTTCAAATAGCCAACATACTGTAGATAAAACACTGCAGTAATCTGCAAAAACAGCTGTACATGAGTAGACATACAAACAATTTCTTTTAATTCACTGTTCTCAGATATCCAGAACACCTTTTAGAAAGAAATATCAGATGAAGGGATGATAATCTGTGACAAAACTTAGGATGAATATGACTCTCTTTAAAGCACTTATAAGGAAGTAGAAGAGCACAAATCATATCTAATACCTTCCCTTTCAGCTTTCTTCTTCCAAGACGTATTTCTCTCCCACTCTGCAAAGCAAAATATATAATGAAGGTGTGAATCAATATCTGGGGCTGTGGCAAGTAGATGTGTACTGTTCACTGGTTTTAAAATCAGGCAAAATTAAGCAAGGTTTGTTGTATAGAGTGGGTGGATGGATGAAGAGTTTGACACATGAGAAGTCAGTCTCCTTAGGGTGAGACTTTGTCTGAAATATTCCTCTGTTCGCCAGGCCGTGATGGAATGTCTATGTGCCTGCAAACCCCCCAGCCCTTCACACAGCAGCCTGGTGTACATTCTCTCTATAGAATGAAATTTAAGTGTAAACTGATTTAAAAAGTGGGAATGAAAAGCTGCATGTGTGGATTCTTACACATTAGACATGGACTACAGTACTTATTCGTATTATTATTATCATGGTAATTGTTCACCCTAGACCAGGCCCTGTGCCAACATCCAGTCTGCTACACTGACATGTCTTAATTAGATTAATAAGACTACTTTGAAAGGTGGATTCAGTATCCTTGGTATGATAAAAACAACATGTCCGTAACAATATACTCAGCACATACTGTACTAAATGTCTACAAGTCAAGCAATGACAAGGAGACTGTTCACATGTCTATCCCAATATTTTCAGACAACAAGACATGCATGCCACCTTCACAGTCATCATGGTCAAGTTACCAATCCTGCCACAGGCAATCAGATGATTCACTCTTGCATACTCCAACCGAAGCACTCCACTGACACTCCTCTCAAAACAAGCAGCATGCTTACCGATGCCATCAGCCTGCTAACGCGGGTTTTGAAACTCTGTCTGGAGGATTCTGGCATATGTTCAAAGGATCCTGTGAGGATGCTTCCCAACTGTTTGTCCATGAGCACTTCGCTGTCTGTGACACGCTCGTTTTCCCACCAGGGGATGATGCCAGCAATGCCACATGATGGACCAGGCTCCAGAAAAAAGTCGCTCTGCTCATCATCAGCTGGAGAATTAAAGTTATTTGAAACATTAGTCTTAATGTAAGTGGTACAAAAAAACAAGGTTTATGCCAAATCACACCATCACCAATAGTCTAACTATGAGTGAGTGAGTGAGTATGGTTTTACATTACTTCTAACAATACTCCGGCAATATCACGGTGGAGGATCCCAGAAATGTTCTTCATACATTGTACTTATGTGGGGAACTGAACCAGGGTCTTTGGTGTGACAAGCGAATGCTTTAAGGAAAAGGCTTCCCCAGCACCCCTCTTAGTGTAAGGGTTATATCAGATCATGATGCTGGTAACACATTTATAACATGCCCATTGTCTAAATTAAACTACGACCACTCTTATATAAAATATGAAACAATTTCTCACCTTCTCTCCCTTCATCATTAGTAATCAGCCCCTCACTTTCACTGCTACTTAGAGAACTGCTCTCTCTGCAAGACAAAAGAACATGAGAGTTTAGTCTCATGACAAGATAAGGTCATTTTAGTCCTACATATGTACACCTTGTAGAACACACAACAGCCATAGCCAATACAGTGATGTTTAATATCAGGACAGGGTTGTTTAGCACTATCTTGACCATGAACATGGTTTAGTCTGTTTGTTGTTTAACGTCATACTCAGCAATACTCTAGGTATATGACTGCAGTCTATAAATACTTGAATCTGGGCCAGACAATCCAGGGTCTGACATTGTGAGCACTGACCTACATCAGCCAAGAGTCCAACCACAAGATCCTGCTGGTCACATCTAACAGTAATCAAAGTTTTAGAATACCACTTCTGATCCAAATCTTCTCTAGAGGTTCATGCAAGTTGCAGCATGGTTTGTTTATACCAGTATTTTACAACATGACCAGGAGAACATACACCCTAAAGTAGCTGTCGCCTACTACTGTTGGTGGCTACTCACTGTGAGTATGAAGTGATGTCCATGCCATCAGTGTCCCCTTCTTGACTAGCCCCTCCTCCTCCGGGGGACTTGACATAATCACTCCGACTCTTTGTGCTCCTTTTTCTCTTCCCCGGGACACTTCCGTCCGGAATTGTACTTGATCCTGGCACTTCTCCAACTGCTTCATCCTGAACCACCATATTTGTACTTGTGTCTTGGAGAGCTTTGTGTTTGATTGTTTTATGACGTTCAAAAATGGGCTCCACAAAATTCAGATCATCTGCACTAGGAGAATCAAGGGCCATAGTCTTGAACTTCCTTCTTCTTCTCTGAGGCCGAATAGGGGGAGACATTCTCAGTGACGGAATCCGACTCAACAGGAGGTGTTGGATCTGTTAGTGGGACTGTCAGCCGATGAATTCTTCGTGGGGAAATGTCATCTGAGTCACTGAGTAAAGCTACTGTGTCTATGTAATCTTTCAGTGCTTCATCGATACTGCTTTCAGAGGCTTCACTGATTGTTCCACATTTCCACAGAGGGCTTGGATCTGATCTGCGGCGTTTTCCACGTCGTTTTTTGTGCATTCTGCGAGCAAATATTCCTGGTGCGAGGTTTTCCGTTTGAGACTTGTGACCTTTGGAACTTTCTTCCAGTGCGTTGGTGAGGTCCTGGACAAGCTCATCCATCCTGATGATATTACGGTTGGAAAACACACGCAAATTCTGGAAATCTTTCACTATGCTGTGATCCATCTGATTAACTTATGTGTCAAATCCTGAAACAAACCCTGAAACATTTTACAAAAGCATATAAAGATAGTTTGAGTCCATAAATCATGCAAACATGGTAAAAATCACCTTTGAAATGTAACATACTGATATATATCACAAAGAAACACTTTGAGCAGTGTTCAGAAACTTATGAAAAATATAAAAATCTGCTGAACCTTTCACCATGCCTACAATTTACATCTTTCCAAATTGGCTGTTGCAAGATCAGTACAACGTATTGGCTAAAAATGCAAAAACGTAAACGTTTATTATAGATTAATTTAACTGTAGCTTAATTTGCAAGAAACTGGATATCACGGTCATTTGTTTGCCTGAAATGTTTTGTTCTTGTTACCATTCTATTTTTATTCTGCAGTTTTGTTACTGGAATTATCACGGGCATTATGAAACATTTTAAAGTTATCAAGTGAGTAGAAACATCATCTGACCATTTACAATGTCTGCGTGATGCACCTGGCCTCGTTATAGCTTGAGTGCACTGCTGTCTGAAAACATTTGACGTCCGAAAACTTATGTTCCAATGATAATCAGTTCGGCCATATATAAAACTATTCTTGTTTCTCCTTACAGCCCGACCCAAAAATTCCACTGGACTCTAAGGTTTTTAATAATTTTTAACATTAGAGAAAATGCAACTTGACTCTCAAAACGTGCATGGATTTTTCACACTTCTAAGTTTTGATTTTCTATCAGAGAAAAGGTGTAAATTTCCACAGATATCAGTTTTTTTACATAATATAAAATGTAAATATTAAATCTGCCTGCCAGACCCATATTTTTTTGAAAAGTGATGAGAAACAAGAATATTATTTTATGTGGCTTACACTCATGCATTGGTTCATTTCATTAGCATGTTTAAATGTACATACTCTTGAAATATTTGTTTTCTCAAATAGTTTCAGTGAGGATAGGAAAAGCCAAAACAAAACATGTCAGGCAGCTTTCCAGTAAAATACATCCTTAAAATAATTATTAGGGTTCTGAAAAAATTCCAAACATTATGACTGAGAAGATATGCTTAGCAGTTGGAGGGTCATGTACCCCCTTCGCTACTCAGAAACATAATCATGATAATGCCACGGCCAAGTGTGAAGGTGCTGTTTTTGTACCAACTATTTAGTGCAACTACTTATTGTACCCTATCATAGTTCAAAACGCTACTGTCTACATTTCTTAATGTCTTTATCATCCTCGGCTAACACAAAGATAAGACCAGATGTTATCAGAGCGATCTGTTGTCAGTGTTTATCCAGCTCATATTCTGACACTGACTGACAGGTCAAGTTCTTCAACTGGTGGCAGACTGACAGGGTTTTCACAACCTCACACCTTCTGATTCGTAGTTTATCAAATATTACTTTATACTTACGGTATGCATAATTAAGAAAAACAGAAGATCTGTGTCCGATTGCATTACTTGCGTGAACAATCACTGTCCAAAGAGAGTGACAATGAACGCAGGCAACACACGCACGCCATGATTGTTTTGGTATAACATCCCGTGAGATCTCGTTTTCGCATGTGACGCAGATTACCACGTGACCTCGTTTGTTGTTATATGCTGTGCACTGAGAGACTCGGTTCACAGTGCGCTACGACCATGTCGAAGACTATCGATACCAACTTCGCCAAGAACTGTTACACCCACAGCCGGGTGCGGTAAGTGATTTTGTTACATATCATTTGATTATCCTATTGCCAATACACAACGAATCAACCTATATATAATTCATGTCAAAGTAGAGAAAACATAAGACCCGTTGCTAATGACAACCAGGATGCCTTAACTCGCGTGTCTTATGTTTGTTAGAGATAATGTGTTTTGGGGTCTGTTTAGTCTGATTCGGTAACCCAGCTGTTTATGTTGAGATTATATTTGCAGTCAAATACATCCACGTGAAAATAATGTTCAAGTAGGGGAATACCGATATTCCCAGATAGTTTGACGATGGTATGAATGCGCCTATAAATGCAATGGGATAGCAAATATGGACTGACGTACTATCTACATTTAATGCCCCAGTCCTATGCCGATTCGATAATCATGAGAGGAGTGGTACATTAATTTGCAATACTTGTTATGTTTGTGAAACGAATCTTATCAATCACGACCATGAAAGGGCTGATCGAGGCTATTTCATAATAATTGGTAAAAAAACATTTTCTGTAAAAGTTTGTAACCTACTTTGAAACACTATATTATTTTGCATGGTAACGATGACGTTATCGTTGCCATGGTAGTAGAAATAGGTGACACTTTGACACCCATGGGTCACTGCTTACCCCACTGGTGTACCTATGTATACAGTTGGCTGTCATATTCACGTATATTATTGCTTCCGACGTGCCTTTTGATATACTCTGGTATTGCTCAGGTGGGGATCTACATGATTTTCTATTAGGCCTATACTGAGTGCAATAGGTGACTGTGATATGACTGTAACTCTGCAAGTTGCAGGCAAATCTGATATATACTGTTACGTTGCTCTTAGGGGCATTTGTAATATATTGTAATGTTGCCTATAGTAGGTTGCTGCAATAAATGACTATCATGTTGCATACTGCAGGTTCATGTTTGGACTCTATGATAAACCAAGTACAGTTCAGGTTGTCTGGGTTACAGTGGCTATGGTTACTCATGGATGCTTACTCGTTTCATATCAGTGAGATATTGAAACATCTGCTATAGCATGAGGTACGAGCTGGAAGTCTCAGTTAGTTGTCCACATTCTATAAGTAAGGCCACATAAAAAGAAATATTCTTGTTTCTCGTGACTTTTTCAAAGAAATATGGGTCGAGCGGCCATTTATATTTTTACAATTTATTTTACTTTATGTCCCAAACCCCTTGATTTCTGTGGAAATTTACACCTTTTCTCCGATAGAAAATCAAAATTTAGAAGTGTTAAAAATCATGCACATATTGAGAGTCAAAGTTGTATTTTCTCTAGTGTAAAAAATATATATAATATTAGGGTCGGGCGGTAATGAGAAACAAAAATATTTTTACTTATGGCCTAAGGAGCGACTCGGAAACTGACAGGAAGTTGTTTATTGCAGGGTACCGGACTACTCCCGTGCCCATCCCATGGTGCCCCGCCTGTATACCCAGGAATGGAAGACCGACATGAAGAACCGGGAGCTCATCCTCAAGGTATGACGCCATTGACAGTTACATACCTCACTTCATGTATCCAGGGTATCCAGAAGAATGTACCCAGTAAAGAACGTCCTTGCTCGGAATCCCGCATGCCTTCAGTACAGTCGACTCTAATGGTGGTCCGTTATGTAGCTACAATATTGTTGTATGGTAAACGAGTTTAACAACACTACACTCACAATGCTTGTCACACACAACACACACAACATATGCCGCATCTGTCAGTTTTGTGCACAAACAGGTGGACTGTTGTTTTGTCCTTGGGCAATTCCCTGCCCATACCAACACACGTGCATGCTTGTCGATTGTGCACACCATAGTGTCCTATTCACCTTCACATTCTATCGCTGAACCCTAGTCAGTGTGATCAGTGTTTTATAAGTATTATTTAAAGATGATGAATTACATTTTACGCCACTTTCGGCAACAGCAGGGACACCAATAACTGCTTTCACATGTTGTATGTAGCAATACAGGGAATCGAATAAAAAAACCATGGATGGTTGTCATGGTACCCCGCGATATATCAGCTACTGGATAATCTGGTTCGGAGTCGACGTCCAAATCCAGGAATAGCTCTGAATGATTGGTTAAACAACAATCAGACAATACTTCGGTTCCTGCATTGATTACCATAACTGCAGGTACTTGCATGTGCTGGTATCACTCTTTATCATGTTTCTTTAAATGATGTTTCAGAATTCTGACTTGGGAGGCATCCCCCACTTCGAGCACGACGAGAACCTGTTCCTGGAAAAACGAGAACAGATGGCCTACAACGTGGAGGTGAGAAACCGCGTGGAGAGCAAGTGCCCGCTGCCAGACAGAGCACAGCTACTCCGTCCTCACTTCCACCACGAGACCTCCAAGTACCAGAGCTCGCTCATGTATAGAAGCGATAATAAAGACTACGCCTGATTGTAGCATAGCGTCGAGAAAATGTGAAACTGCTTTAGATATATATTCTGCTGAATTACGTCATGAAATCCATGCTCCTGGTGTACATGTTTAGGGCTCAATTGGGGCGTGTTGGACGAACATGTGAACGTCTTTTGGAGTAAATGCATTTGAAATTTGGAGATCATTCGTTTATGAAATATATCTTTTGTGTATATAAACACTTTATGTTTGTCACGTGTGGCATTGTTTATTAATGTTTTGTTTGTTTATGGGTGTTTTGTTTTGTTTTGTTTATTGTTCACGACTTAGTCCCGGTTGTCAAGCGTTTGTCCACGTCAGTATTATGATTGCACTGCAGTATTATGTGTTCTGTGTTTTAGGAGAGATTGTCCGTCTGTAGTAAACTAATGTCTATAACACAATCATGTTTATTATATCAAAATACGTTATGCGTTATGTTTTATGTTACTTGGAAATAAACACATTTCCAGACTTGTCATTTGTTTGTTTTTAATCATTTAAGGACACAAACTAAAAAATATGAAACATAACATCGTATGATGACGGGGTGTATAAAAACGAGTCTAGACCAGGTTGTCCACTGACTGATTGCACGCCGTCAGAATCCGATCATTTGGTCCACTAAAACTACGAGCGTCTTCAATCCATTTCGTGGACTCTGTGAATGTCAGGTTGGCATTGTTCATCAGTAGCCCATACTTTCTTTGAGAATCAGCTTACGAGTTAGTGTGGTCGAACTTCATGACCAACCTTAGTATATGAATATATATAACTTAGATTGAAACAAATAATTCCATTTAAACCGACAAGGAAGTGCAGTGTGATTAGAGATCCAGATCGGGCTCAGTAACTAGGTTGATTCATGTATATACATATATATTCAGTGAGGGCCAGTAGTGTGCTATATTTAGACAGAGTTCTAGGAGTTCTGGTTTCACACCTAGTTCCTTTACAGACTGATGTCCAGTTCAGTTTTTGTTTCAGCTGGGGAATCAACGCGTGAGAGTGAGTGAGTGAGTTTAGTTTTACGCCGCTTTTAGCAATATTCCAGCAATATCACGGCGGGGGACGCCAGAAATGGGCTTCACACATTGTGCCCATGTGGGGAATCGAACCCGGGTCCTAGTCGTGACGAGCGAACGCCTTAACAACTAGGCTGCCCCACCGCCCCTATATTATAACGCGTAAGTACACTATTGGCACTACTATGAAGAAGTAAAAGGACCGCCCCATTCTTTCATATTACTCCATTTAACCACCAATGCCATGGCAGAATAACGAGTAATATGAAAAAATCAGGTGGTCCTTGATTTCTTTTGAGTATAGTATATAATACACTATATAATAAGGTAGGATAATATTATTTCGTATAAACATTCTAGTTAAACTGTTTATTTTTGAACATGTCATTTTTTAAAACACACACACACACATTTGTTTATGAAGTATAATGACATTTTGCTTTCCGAAAACTCGCACAGGTATATCCAAAGCTGTGACACTTGGAACAGCCAGGCTGGACGAAAGCCAGAGGGCCACGGCAACAAGGTCAAGTAAGGACGTGTGTGCCGCCTTATGATATGGTATTGTTATAGACACATACACACATACTTCATTTCATAAATATATATGTGTAAATCTAAACATAAAACACTCCAAAACTGTCAAGCTACGTACAATGAATCCAGACAAATAGGACTTTACAATTAGCACAAGCGAATTTGTTGGCATGGCGACAAATTCACGCGTTTGTCATGGTGATGCTATATATCTTCTAGCCACGGCGCGCAGATTAAAAATCTGAGGATAAAGACAATTAACATGCCTTGAAGCAGTGCTAACATAATCGTGCTGCTTTGAAATAAAGTAAATATCACTGTGTGTATACGAACCATCTTGTACTTGTCAGCTGATACAGACAGAGATGTAATACTGTCTCCTCCACCTTTTACCGGCAGCTCCAGACAAGATGGGTGAAATCAGCGGTCTTGTACACAACCTAGTTCGTCAAGGTCCATGACTCAAGTCTTTAAACATAGGTCATTGCTTTTCAACCTGTTGCCAGGAAACACTATACATACGCATTCGAAAGAAATGTTTGACGTCACTTGCTATACACATAGTGTCATGCTCAAACTGACCAACCGAAACCGGTTACAAATTGACGTTTGTTTGACTGCTCGGTGGTAACGCAACTAACCTAACCCAAAAACATATCAATTTATGTAATATAAAAAAAATCAATTCCAAAATTCAGTAATTATAAAAAGGCATTAAAAGAGATATTTCCTGTCGAAAAATTTATTTCAAAGAAAAACAATGAAATCGAAAAATTCAATCTTAAATGGAATTCACTCATCCCAATATTCAGCAACTAATTATTATTACATCTCTACAGCAATGTATCTCCACCTTTTCTGTGCTTGTTGCTACCATATACCCTTGTTATTGACTTTGTAACCATGGGAACAAATAAAATTAAAAAAACAAAACAAAAAAAACTACCCCATTGTTTTATCTGTTTCGTGATGTTTGTTTGTTTGTTTGTTGTTTAACGCCGCAATCAGCAAATTACCAGCTATGTGGTGGCGGCGTGTCAGTAATCAAGTCTAGACCAGACAATCCAGTGATCAACAGCATGAGCATCGATCTTCGCAATTGGGATACGATGACACATCTGCTTCTTGACATCAGATGGGATGACCACGTGTCAAATCTAGACATTACCATTACACCTCGTTTAGTGGGCATGACGTGCAGCAGGAACGAGAACGTCGGCACCTGCATCAAACCCCGGCGGGCACTGTACAGTTATTTATTTGATAACGCCATGAGAAGAGACAGGCACTTTGGTCACCTTATGTTATCAGAAATAAATAATAATCAAACAATGGGAATTAATACCCTGAAAATACCCTTCTCTGGGAAATATAAGTTATAGCACCAATTTTCGAACTATTGATCAGTATTTCCTTGAAAAGTTCGCAAAGTTTCATATTCGTTTAATAAAAGCTAGTTTCTAAGAAGACAAGCGATTTGAGCCACTATGCGTAGTGTAATAATGACATTAATCAAGGGCAGTAACTGTGTATGCCTCGAAGTCCAACAAGAAAAGCAAGGGAACTATGAACAAATATTTTATGGCACTAGCTATCGCACTGAGTATTTAACAGTAGTTCTCGGAGAAGTTCATTTTATATTTTCCGAGAAAAGGCGTCCCAATGAGTTGAAACGCATGATGCAAGGACCATAACTCTGTGAAAGTACATTTGAAGACACCAATTTTCGAGCTCATATTTTCTCAAATTTAAGTATTATGTAGTGTTTTTATAAACAGTTCACCATTTCACGCACTATGTACTACGTTGAAACTCGTGGCCAAAACTAAGGGTTTAGATCATATACTAAGCAGCAAAAGAAACGTCAGTTTGGAATTTTCCTTCGCAGAAACGGATAACTCATTTAATGTTCTGATTGTATATATTTGACAACATCTCCAACTTTACCTGAGCAAAGACATGCCTTCCAAAACTGAGAATGGAACCCAGGAAATGGCCTCAAAAACGCAACCTGATCTCGGTGATGGTATACGGTGTTCTCCTTGTTTTTCATGCAACTCATGCTGCACGTGCTGTTCACAAGGACCAGCCCTATAAAATGCACCCCCAAACCTGGTGGAAACATTCACATTACAACGTCAACAGGATGCCGCGACTCATGACAGCTGAGAGGAACCAGGCGCTAGGAACACTTGAAGCTGGCCACAATGCACAAGCCGTTGCCAATCACCTCCAGGTCAACTTTCGGACCATCTACAGGCTGCAGCAACGCTTTCGGGCCACCAACACAAATGTTCGCCCCCACACTGGCAGACCAAGGGTGACAAGACCGCCATGTTTACAGAATTCCTTCATGCAGGCATCCGAAACAGCACGCCAGACAGTGGGTACACACGGAAGACCAATCAGTACTGATACAGTACGCCGACGTCTTAACAGCGGGAACCTCCATTGCCGTAGACCTTACCGTGGACCTATCCTCACCCCTTGTCATCGGCGTGAACGTCTACAGTTTGCATTACAACACCAAAACTGGCGATACAGGCAATGGAGAACTGTTTTGTTCACAGATGAGAGTCGGTACTTCGTATCAACTGCAGATGGCATAACAAGAATATGGCGACGACGTGGCCAGCGTTACTCAGACCAATGTGTTATGGAAAGAGACTCATGGGGAGGTGCAAGCATCATGGTATGGGGTCGAATAGGCCTGAACCAGAGAGTGCGTCTAGATACTTTAGATACTGAAGTCAAGAGTCTGAATGGACTGCGAACGTTCACGTAATGTCTTGAAATTGTGCTGAGTTATTCATTGATGTGTCAAGATATTGTACACAAAACATGTTATTGATCCGCTTATTATGTCCATTTCTGTAATGATTTGATTACAGTGACTATCTAATTTTGAATTCATACTGACGGTTTTTTTCCTGCTGAGTATACATGTATATGATAAATGACATTCGTGCGTGTATTTTAGCTCGGGAAATACATTCGTTTAAAAAAAAATCAACATCGGACACGCCCACATGTTAATCTGAATTTTGGTGCAAATCGATTAGCAGGTACATTGCTTGAAAACTGTAGAGCAGAATTTCCGGGCTGGGGCGACCACGCCCTTGAACGACATTCAGTCCGACCAGGGAGAATGGAAGACGTATCCATGGTCCGACGAACAGCGATTGTTGGCAGACAGATGCCGAAATGATCACACCGGGTTTTTATGGCCATAACTTATTCCCAGGTTTTCTCTGTTCAAGTTTGCTAACAATTCGGAGACTATATTATATATATTATCTATTTAGTTAACAAGTCTTACATTCAGCTGAACTCAGTGGGCACCACCACCAACCCTCATCATACAATGTTCGTAAAGTTCAGAGCGTGGAACTGCTTTACAAAACGAGTTAAGATTCACCGCAACTGTACGCCTCGCTTACTCCAGTCAGCCGAAATGTAGACTGTCCCTGGCCTGTGACGTCAAACTGGGGATGAATTGCTGTGTCAGTTATTAATATGTATGTCCAGACCAGCCTGCCTCTTGTATTATAAACCACATATAACAAATTCATGGCAGGGGTTCACACGAGGGACTTTACGTCTACATGCATGAGTGAGGAAACCCACGAGTACACCGCAGCCTCTGGCGTTGGGACACATCAACTATTCTTTTGCGCAGGCGCATTTTATCCTGGCGGGCGGAACAAATCGTCAAGGGACGCAACCTGACCGTGCACCTGTTTGTGACCAAACTTTTAAACATGGATGAGGGGAACGTTCTGAAAGTTTTCCTGCTTTTCTGCATGTGCAGCCTTGTTTACGGCAAGACAGCAGACAAGCCGATAGAACTTACCGAGGACAACTGGAAGGATATATTGGAAGGAGAATGGATGGTGGAATTGTAAGTTGTCTCATGCGGAAGTTAACTCTCTGGAACGTGTGACTCCTATTTTCGTTATAGATAGCTCGTCTGTAAATTACTTTATGTTGCTCACATGATGGGTTGTGTAATTGCAGTGATACTGTTTTTAATTTGTGATATTGTATTACTTGTGCATGGCATAAAATATATGTAGATCAAACCTAATGGTGAGATATCTATATAGACTAAGTAACGTAGGTGTGACCATGACACGTTTTACCTGATAGTTAGTGCTCCATGAGTGCTCAGTGTGGATGGTGGTATCACTGCACAGAATCAGGTTGAAAATGGTTTAACGAAACAGATAAAAAATTGTCCCCACACAATTCGTTTTGCAGCTTTCGGTCATAATGGGCAAATGGTGCCCGGTGTTATTTACTGCTATTCCGCTAACACCCTGAATAGGTTTTTTGAGTCAAAATCGCCAGTTGTCACAGGAGACGTTCTCTGTACAATGAGGAAACGAAATCCATGAATGAGGAACTGTACGGGAGAATGACATGTTGCATGGATGTGGAGTTCATGCTATATGTCATGTCAGTGTGTCAGGTCTAATGACCCACATCCACTGAATCGTGAGCAAACTTTCCACACCTCCTGTTGTCACCAACTTACGTCTTGATTATGACTGTTAGTTTGTCACCAATATACACAAGCTCATAGGCTTCAGTTGAGTGATATAAACATGTAAAACCAGCATCACATCAGGCTGATGGACCAGGATATACTGTCAATCAGGAAAGGTTAAAAATTCAAGACATGAAATTTTTGCAAAAAGCTCATTGGTGACCTGGCCCATGACAAAACATGAAGTCACGATTCTTTAAACAAATCATTTTGTTAGACACCAAAGAGCATTCAATTAACATATTGTTGGTTACTCCTTTGAAGAAAAGAGGCAGTGGGCTAGCCTAATGGTTAATAACTTTAAGCGTCCACTCGTCATGCTGAAGACTGGTTCGATTCCCCACATGGGTACAATGTGTCAAGCCCATTTTTGTTGTCTCCTGCTGTGATATTGCTGAAATATTGCTGAAAGCGGAATTAAAGCATGCTTACTCACTTTGAAGAAATGTTGTTTTTACATGGACAGGATATGGCTGTATTCAGTCTGTGTTAGGAAACCTACATAAACGCTAACGCTTGAATAATCCAGTGTGCAAGATTACAGTGAATAATCAATCCATGTATTATAGGTTAATGATACCTAGTTAATAACCTAGCTGTCAGCGTTAGACTGCTGGGCTGAACCATGGATCAGTGCCCTTTAAGGTTATCAAGGATCGAAGCCACTTTTGCATATGATTTTTTTATAAGTAGTGAGCATTGTGATAGAATGGTAACTTGGTGTCAGTCAGCAAAACTTTACCTGCAGACAGACAGATTATGTATTTGAGTTTCACCTCATATATATTTGTGAAAGAACATAAAAATAATATATCAGCTATCCTGTAACAGTATGTACTCCACATAAAATACATGAGTACATGTAAAAAACAACAATATGGGATACTTCACGAATTTGAGCTTCATGTATTGTTGTTGACAAGGAAGGTTGGAGTAGTGTGTTTATCTAAGACTACAGACTGACTGTTATATCTGTAGACAGCTCCGAGTTGTGTAACTTGACGGGACTTGAGTAGTCTGTGACCTATCCTGATCATCGTGGGTAGACTGTGGACTCTCACTGAGTCTCAGTGACAATGTGTAATTGTGGGAAGGAGATGAGAGGGGTTATTTGTATAGTGATACACTAGCTGGTATAAATCTTGCCATGTGTGCAACTTGAAGTGAATACTAGATATATGCCTCAACACCTTTTTCTTGGTCTGCAAGAAAACAATGTCTTGAAACTACCTCAAGTTGTGTCACTTGCAGGTCTTACAGAACATTCCTACTCACAACAGATTTACACTAAATTTACGTCAACTAAAACACTGTTCAGGACACGAGACACTCACCAGATTCTGTAATGACATTTATCAAAGGGCTGAGGTGAATTTAATGAACTTCCCTGCACTGTTTAATAAAGTGAAGACTGCTGCATCAGTAGGCATCTTCACAGCAGACTGAGAGTGTAGTGCTATAGAATTACTTGGAGTTACTGAAAATATCACTCATGTTTTGACTTTGATATCCCCCACATTTATGAAAATATCTCTGAAGTGGAAGCCCCTATATTTATGTGGTATTAGTAAGGATAAACCCTTCTTGTTGGATAGGTTGTCAAATATTCAGTATTGTATGTAGAGAGTAGATACATGTCTGTCACTCAAACACTGAAATAGCACTGTGGAATCTCAGTCTATGACTGTTACCTGTTTCAGCATGGCGCCGTGGTGTCCTGCATGCAGGTCCTTTAAGGACACATGGGAGAGTTTTGCCAAATGGGGCAAGGATCTTGACGTACATGTTGGCATAATCGACGTCACTGAGAACCCAGGTATGAAAATATTGTGTTCACATTACAAGTCAATAAAACACTGGTGACTGGTGTATGAATTAAACCTGCTGAATTAAATACCTGGCTGGACACGTTTTGTATACAGCTTAAATGAACTAAAGGAAATCAAATTTTCTATGTAGTGAGTGAGTGAGTTTAGTTTAACGCACACTCAGCAATATTCCAGCTATATGGCGGCGGTCTGCAAATAATCGAGTCTGGACCAGACAATCCAGTAATTAACAGCATGAGCATCGATCTGTGCAATTGGGAACCGATGACATGTGTCAACCAAGTCAGCGAGCCTGACCACCCGATCCCATTAGTCGCCTCTTACGACAAGCATGGGTTACTGAAGATCAATATTCTAACCCGGACCTTCACTGGTAAAATTGTCTATGTAACTATAGGTAATCTGTTGTTTGTCAAACTAGCCAATCAGTGTGAAGTAAACAGTGATGTTCGTTGAGAATTATTTATAAAGGTTTAACCTATCTCCTCGTCCATGTGGTTGATGTCTCCAGTATGTCCTCTGTTAGCCCAGTCTAAGTAAACTAAGGATTAGTATTATTCGTTATACTGCTATACAAATTATTCTGAGCCTAAGTTTACTCAGACTGTCTGTCAGCCTAGGGTGCTCCACCAGAACTTCATCACTTGTTGTTAAATGTGTAAATGTGCTTCATTGCAGGTCTGAGTGGTCGTTTTTTTGTGACAGCACTACCTACTCTCTATCAGTGAGTGTGTCCTTGGCTTATCTTATTGTCGAGATGATTCTTAGTCCCATACATTAGCATCGACAAACAACAGTTGTAACCTTGCATTCACTTAGCGGAACTGGGCCCAGATTATCAGTCTAATCTTTGTTGGCTCTGATATCAGTCTAATCTTTGTTGGCTCTGATATCAGTCTAATCTTTGTTGGCTCTGATATCAGTCTAATCTTTGTTGGCTCTGATATCAGTCTAATCTTTGTTGGCTCTGATATCAGTCTAATCTTTGTTGGCTCTGATATCAGTCTAATCTTTGTTGGCTCTGATATCAGTGGAAACAAGAACAAGCATGCTCCCAAACCATGTAGGAAATAAAATCTTTTTTTTTTGTTTTCTACAATCAAAATGTATAAAACTGAATGCCAACTATCAGGATGTTTAAAGTTAGTTTTCATTGGAATTAGATATGAATTTTGACTTATCAATGCTAAAATAAAGGACGAGTGACTGGTTGAGTAGTGAGACAGTTTGTGTGCAAGGTTCTAATACTTCTATCCCCGACATGGATACAGTATATAATGTAGACACTAGGGCAGCAACGATTCACCCAGACCTCGATTCGATTCGATTTTGGATATTGGACCCTCGATTCGATCATTTTAGATTCAATTCTTCATACAAGTAAAAACATCAGATTTCATTTAACTCTGAGTTCAAGTGAGTCGGCTTTTTTATTCTACTAATGACAGTGCTCACTGGATAATTAGCCCGGTGTCAACCAATCACGTTTCGCCTTACTTCAGCGCTTGAAACTGCTCAAGTTGGATTTAGTGGTGGTCCGATTAATTGAAATAATCAAAGATTGGTTGCAGTGACTAAACGACCAAGCAATCGATCATGTTTTCTCATAATCGAACACAAACAATTCTGGAACACTTGTTTTCATTAACAGTATTTTTTGCGAGGTTGGTTTTGTCTGTTACATTTCATAAGCACTACAAGCTCGTTCCAAGTCATGATTGAATTTATCTTAAAGACATTTAAGAAATTTATGTTCGTCCATACTAGTCGTCCTTTAAAGATGTGAAATTTTGCCCCAAAACCCCAAAGAACTACATGTTTATTTCCTTATTTTTGTGTGCATTAACACATTTCATAAATGATGCTAACCAATGATTTTCGATGATTGATCGGTTGTAATGAACCAATCATCAATTATGAGATTTTAACCAATTCCAAACACTAGTTGATTAAAAATTATGACTCGCTGTGTGGAAACAATTGTAATAGATGTTCAAATATCAAATCGAAATAGTGATAATGGTTATCAAAAATCGAAACTAAGATGTCAGATTTGATTTTCAATGAATCGAATCGAATCGTTGCAGCCCTAGTAGACACACTACCAGATTCTTCTTCTGTCCCCAGTGTCCGAGATGGAGTGTTCCGCCAGTATCACGGTTCAAGGAAAGAGTCCGACCTCATCAGCTTTATTGATGACAGCAAGTGGCAGGACATCGATCCAGTCTCGGGGTGGTTTGCTCCCAACTCTATACAGTAAGCTGCTATGTTCAACGGGTGGCCAACAGTAACAGCAGTTTCCACATTCCCCTCTCCCCCCCCCCTAGTGTTCTGTCAGTACTGATTGAAATCTTTGAATGTCATTTAGAGGTGATACATACCATTCTAATACCAGACCCTGTCAAGCCCCTAAAAAGGATTGATTTCAAGATTCTCTGCCTCACCTATCAGTCTTTCTACAACTCAGGACCTTCCTACCTTCAAGACCTTCTGACACATTACTCTCCAGAAAGAACTCTGCGCTCATCACAACAACTGTTACTTGCTGTCCCGAGCTACAATCTCAAATCATTTGGCTCAAGAACTTTTTCATATGCAGCAGCTTCTCTGTGGAACTCTCTCCCTATCAAGTTAAAATCATCTCCTTCCCTAAGTACATTCAAAACACGACTAAAGACTAATCTATTTCTCCACTACAAGTGACTTCCAATCATCCGTACCTGCCAACTGTATATAGTTTTAACTTGAGCTCAGGAAGCGCTTTGAGCATATCCCTGTGACGTGAAAATGCGCTATATAAATGGCCTATTATTATTATTATTATTAAATATACATACCATTCTAATACCAGACCCTGTCAAACTCCTGAATATACATACCATTCTAATACCAGACCCTGTCAAGCCCCTAAATATACATACCATTCTAATACCAGACCCTGTCAAGCCCCTAAATATACATACCATTCTAATACCAGACCCTGTCAAGCCCTTAAATATACATACCATTCTAATTAGGGGTGACTATTGAGGGGGAAACAACTATTGCAATAGTCTATTGCAACACACTATTGTGATAGCGATCGTCTATTGCAACATACTATTGTGATAGCGATCGTCTATTGCAACATACTATTGTGATAGCGATCGTCTATTGCGATCAACTATTGCAATACTATTGCAATAGTGTGTTTTTTCTCCTTGAATTGTCTTATTTGAAGTCATTTCCCAAATGAATGTATAGTTTATATGAAATAAAAACAAGTTGAAGTAGTTTCAGTTTCCTTTAATAACGGACAAGAAACTTGAAACCCAGATTAAGTTTGTTTAAGATGTAACAGGGGCGGATAACTCTAAATCAAAGTGAACGAATCTGGTACTTCCTGTATTTTGCGCTGCGTGTTTATCAACGGAAGTCAATTAATATACTATTGATAGTCACACATACTATCGATGCATCAATAGTTTTTCGTTACTACCATCGATTAATTGCTATCGGAGACTCAACAATTGCAATCCATCGATAGTTCAATGCATCGTTACCGCCCTAATTCTAATACCATACTCTGTCAACAAGTTCAAGGTCATCAGCCTTGCGTACTTGTAGCATGAAGCAAACGTTGACTTTGTTGGACTTTAAACGTGATGACAATGATGACTTTAATGTTTATAAAACAATTCTGGTTCACTGACTTAAGGAATGTAGTAACTAGTGACACTTACTTTTTGTACACTGCCGCCTTGATGTTGCTGGAATATTGCTAAAAGCGGCGTAAAACCAAAACTCAGTCAGTCAGTACACCAGATAGCATGCATGTCAGATCAGTGTCTGTTGTTGACAAGGGCTATGAACATCATTACTGGTAAATGAATTGGCATTTTATGTGTCTTAACTTTGATAATATAAGTGTCGAGTAATTGTCATGTCGCCTCCAACTATGAGAGTTTTTGTATACATGTACAGTCTCAGCCCATCTTGACGGCATGGATCAGTGCTCACACTATCGACCACTAGATTGTCTTTCAGTGGCTTCATATAGCCATCATATTGCTCAGTCTCACGAAGACAAGAGACTCATACACTCACTTGTATCACTCCGAAAATAAATCATTTCCAATTGTTATTTTTCAGAATGTCAACTGTAGGCTTATTCTTCAAGGCAGCCATGGTTATTCGTGTAAGTTGTGCGAGTTTCATTCATTCACTCACTCATTCATTCACTCACTCGACCCGTGAAGATCCGGGGTAGAATAGGCCTTCAGCAACTCATGCTTACCACAAAAGGCAACTATGCTTGTCGTAAGAGGCGACTAATGGGCTCGGGAGGTCAGGCTCGCTGACTTGGTTGACACATGTCATCGGTTCCCAATTGCGCAGATCGATGCTCATGCTGTTGATCACTGGATTGTCTGGTCTATACTCGATTATTTACAGACCGCCGCCATATAGATTGAATATTGAGTGTGGCGTAAAACTAAACCTCACTCACTCACTCACTCACTCACTCAAAACCTTTGGAAGTAACAAGAGAGTTGGGTGGTCAAACGGCCTGACTTGGTTTATGCATGTGCAAAGTTTCAATTGGAGTCAGGGCAGTGGGGTAGTCTAGTGGTTAAAGCGTTGGCTCGTCACGCCGAAGACCCGGGTTAGAATCCCCACATGGGTACAAAGTGTGAAGCCCATTTCTGGTGTCTGCCGCCGTGATGTTGCTGGAATATTGCTAAAAGCGGCGTAAAGCCAAACTCAGTCAATTGGAGTCAAAGTTGTACATAATGTAAACATTGTGAACATTTTTGTCTTATACAATGCTGACTACAGATAAACAGTTTACTAGTCGTGGACTTGTTGTTAAGATCCAGAATTTTTAAGGCTGCTTGATACGTGTTCTTATATCCAACATAAAATGTTATAGAAGGTTGGATAATGAAGTTATCCTATATTGCTATTAGTGTAATGTCTGGTGTTCTCCCCTCAGTCCTTCTACACCACCATGACCTCCGAGTACGGCATCCCCGAGTGGGGCTGCTACCTCATCTTTGCTGTACTCACCATCATCACAGGCCTCCTCCTCGGGCTGGTGAGTAGGGAGCACACACTGGGCAGCAAACAAGACGGTCAAATCTGATTGGTTGAAAAATGATTTTCGATGGGATTCAAATCCTGAACACTTCTGGAATTGTTGACTGAGTTGAATATGTTTGAGTGTTGACCTAAATATTGTTTATGACAGAGATTGTATTAACAATGTAGATAAACACATCAAAAACTATTTGCATCAATCAAATGCTCAATAAAGCTGCTCATTTTCTAGATGTCATTATGAAAATGGTTAAATACAAAAGTGTATGCCTCCTTTAATGCTTATGGTTTTTATCTTGACAGTGACACACGATTATTTGCTGTTACAGCTGATTGTATGCTGTTGTGATATACTGTTCCCGCCCAAATACCAGTCTGTGAGAGTTGTTCAGCAGCACCCTCCCGAGATGGAAGATACTCCCGACAGGGAGGACAAGGTAGGTCGACATGACACAGGTATACTGCTGACAGGTATACTGCTGACAGGGTAGGACATGGTGGAGTTGGGACATGACACAGGTATACTGCTGACAGGGAGGAGATGGTGGGGAGTGGTGGGTCACATGACACAGGTATACTGCTGACAGGGAGGACAAGGTACAAGGTGGAGTGGTGGGTCGACATGACACAGGTATACTCCTGACAGGGAGGACAAGGTGGTCGACATGACACAGGTATACTCCTGACAGGAAGGACATGGTGGCTCGACATGACACAGGTATACTCCTGACAGGGAGGACAATGTGGGTCGACATGACACAGGTATACTCCAGACAGGGAGGACAATGTGGGTCGACATGACACAGGTATACTGCTGACAGGGAGGACAAGGTGGGTCGACATGACACAGGTATACTCCTGACAGGGAGGACAAGATGGGTCGACATGACACAGGTAAATTGCTGAGACGGAGGACATGGTGGGTCGACGTGACACAAGTATACTGCTGACTAGTGTTGGGAATTGGTTAAGATCTCATAATTGAAGATTGGTTCATTACAACCGATCTATCATCGAAAGTATTTTGTTAGCATCATTTATCAAATTTTCCTGGTTATCTTTGTTAATGCACAACAAATTCTTTATTTTTTTTTTCAAATTGCACAAAATGCATTTGCAAATTTCATATCTTTGAATGATGACTAGTATGCAAGCAACAGATTTCCTGGATAAATTAAATTGTGACTTGGAACGAGCTTGTAGTGCTCATGAAATTGAAATGTAACTGACAAAAGCAACCTTGTGAAAAATATTGTTGATGCAAACAAGTGCTCCAAAATTGTTTTAGTTCGATTATGAGAAAACATGATCGATTGCTTGGTCGTTTAGTCATTGCAACCAAACTTCGGTTATTCCTATTAACTGGATCACCACTACTGCTGACAGGGAGGACAAGGTAGGTCGACATGACCCAGGTATACTGCTGACAGGGAGGACAAGGTAGTTCGACATGACACCGGTATACTGCTGACAGGGAGGACAAGGTAGTTCGACATGACACAGGTATACTGCTGACAGGGAGGACAAGGTAGTTCGACATGACACCGGTATACTGCTGACAGGGAGGACAAGGTAGTTCGACATGACACCGGTATACTGCTGACAGGGAGGACAAGGTAGTTCGACATGACACCGGTATACTGCTGACAGGGAGGACAAGGTAGGTCGACATGACCCAGGTATACTGCTGACAGGGAGGACAAGGTAGTTCGACATGACACCGGTATACTGCTGACAGGGAGGACAAGGTAGTTCGACATGACACCGGTATACTGCTGACAGGGAGGACAAGGTAGTTCGACATGACACCGGTATACTGCTGACAGGGAGGACAAGGTAGTTCGACATGACACCGGTATACTGCTGACAGGGTGGACAAGGTAGTTCGACATGACACCGGTATACTGCTGACAGGGAGGACAAGGTAGTTCGACATGACACCGGTATACTGCTGACAGGGAGGACAAGGTAGTTCGACATGACACCGGTATACTGCTGACAGGGAGGACAAGGTAGTTCGACATGACACCGGTATACTGCTGACAGGGAGGACAAGGTAGTTCGACATGACACCGGTATCCACAGGTTTTACACACACAGCAATTTTGGTTGTCACGACATACTCCTAACAGAGAGGTCATGGTAGGTTGTCATGACCCAGGAGGACATGACATGGACATGGAGGACAAGGTTGTTGCAACTGCCCACCACTGATTGACTTGGCCTGGAGTATTTATAGGCTGTTCTGGGACACTGCATCATGAAATATCAAGTTATGGAACTGAATAGTGAAAGCTGTATTGTGACTCACATTATTGTACTTGCAGGATGATGACATCCTTGATGACACAAAGCAAACACATGATGATGATGATGATGATGATGATAAAGATGATGAAACTACCACACGGCGGAGACGGGTACAGAAGGCGGAATGAGAGGCGGCCATGTTATGTATGTCTGTGTCATGTGTGTGTGGTTTCGGTGACTGATTATGGAACGAGTGATGTAAGCAAGATTGACAACATGCAGTGTTTTATGAATCATGAATGCATGTGTTCTTTTTTCAGGGCTCTGTTGATTACAGTTTTGGTTACAGAGTATGAACATTTATGACCAGACCAGAGTCTGTCACAGAAACAATCTCAGATCTACAGTTGTCTCCGAAGTCTGTGTTTGACAGTGACAGGATACTGCTAGTGCTGAGATTATTGTATGTGACACTGACTGGTTGGTTGGTTGTGTATGAAAAGATGGACCCTGTTAGTGTAGAAACACTGGCTTCCCAACAACTACTGTCAGGAGCCACAAATACGAAGGGACATAACTCTGGTCCTTGTTATTCTGAAAGTTTGATCACTGTTCTTTCACTAGGAGTGGTATCTAGACTAACAGGGTTTACTGTAGGTTATGATGGTGTGTGAATCTTAGACATTATATTTCAATAAGGAAAAGCGAAAAAGATGTTTTCTATTATTAACGTTTGACATTCACTGATCAAAGTCCGAGTAATCATCACACAATCAAAAGTTGCAGTCCATGACAGGCTATAGCCAGGGCCAAACATTCTTGAGACTACTTGTCGACAGTATGTCAACGGTTGATCAAGGATATATTATATCATCAAAACTATAAAATATACTTTTATATAAAGTATGCTTGGGAATCCCTGTATGCTGTCTAAACGAGTGGTTAAGAGAGTAGGTTTTGAATGAATACATAATTGCATGTTTATCGTGAAATATTATTGTTTTATCTATCATTGAGATTTTACTGTGTTTCAAAAACTCTTGCCAACATCAGAGGTACCATATTTTCAGTGTCCAGCATTAACTATGAGCACCGGGTACTCTATACTTGTGTTTTAAGTAAATTTGTCTTTGTCCCGGCAAACATTCAATACAGCCAAAACAGCACAGTAGCTTTAAATGTGGCAAATGTAACAGTGCAGCTGGTTGGATAGATGGTATGTCTATGTAGTTGGCATGGTTACAGGATACCTGTAGTCCAACAGCACACAAGTAGGAATCATCTGGTTCACTCATACTAGTGATTTCCATGTAGTGTATTTTTATTATAAAATAACTTCTTGTGCTCCTTGGGCCACCATCTTCAATGATCATCATTTAATTCCTTATAGTCAGAGACTGCTTGGCTGCAAGTGACAAGTTAATCAGTGAGAGCAACTCTTGATCAGATATTTCACTTATTACGTCCTGGTTGGGTGCTTGTTAATCATGTGATGTTTTCCAAGATGAAAGCGTTAAAGCAAGCGTGAATCATAATCCAGATGACCTTGAACAGTTTTTAAAAAAATGCCTCATGGCCAAAAATATTGGATGAAAATTTAATAAATAACTTTGTGTTGCCTAAACATGATGTGATGAGTGAGTGAGTGTGTATTGCATGAGCTGCTGTGTATGAGGTGTTGTGTGATGTGAGCATATCAAGCGTGAGTGAGCCGGGCGTACACTGCTTCAAACAGTTGGAGTGACACCTCTGTTTGTACACAGCGTTCCTCTGTGGCAGGCCCCTGTATTTGCCTGTACTTCTGCTGGTGATTTTGGTGTGGTATTCAACTTGCCTTGGTCACCATGCTGTTATCAACACCAAATCACAGATATTCTCTTCATAAACAATATTGTCCTTAAGAACACTTTTATATTATGTTGGGATAATCAATACTTAATCCATGGATGGACAATGCCTACCCAGGTAACTGTACCAGTATTGCTTCAAATGGTGTCAAACCCTAACTCACTCACTCACTTACTCTTACAAGACATCTGACAAGTGTATTTATGTTAACAACATGACAATGTGATGCTTATGTACCCTTCCCAGTGGAGGCAGTCCATGAATCAAGATGCCAAATTTTGTCATGCAGAGTTACTTTCCTTGGCTACACCAGGATAGTATGGTCAGAATGTCAAATTGAGGCTGATATGGATTGTTTATTTCAACCAAGTGGTAAACATGTTTGATTAGATGAACAGTCCTCCCTCTTCGACCTGGGACACTATGCCATGACTGAAACCCTGGTCATGGTCACATTCAACTGCAACATATTGCCAGATGCAGTTCATGTAAATATGTCAAACGTTTTGGTTATGACTGAAGTTGATGCTGACCTGTAAGAAAAACCTAATTTATGCAGTTCCTTTGATTTTGTAATTGCCTGTTCAAGTTGTGAGTTAAATCTGATGCACTGAAATATTATTTATTGATCATTAATAATGTTTACATAGCTAAAATGGATGGAATTATCATGAAACCGCCCTCCAGTTATCAGAAATCAGCGGGCTGCTGCAAATGGTAATGACCCCTGATTCCTTAACGACAGGCCATTATCAGTGCTGTTGTCAAATGACATCACAGCGGGTGACGTCACAGAAGGCCAAGGCCATGGCGTGTGCCAAGGTCGAATGTCACCACGCTCCATAATGACGTCATAAATTTTGTTCCATGACCTAACAGAGTTGTTTTAAGATAACTTCATTTATGATACTGTTTTGTCTTTTTATAACACAAATTCCATCCATTTTACCTATAATAGGGGTAACGCTGTTTTTTAGGGTGATATCATTTACAGAAGCCTATGGTCTTTTCAACTGCACTCCTTCGTTGTGCAGTTAATAGAAGACCTTGGGCTTCTGTAAATGATTATGCCATGAAAAACAGCGTTACCCCTATAATAAGTATATGTGTTTATTGCAGACCATGATATCTGATACTGGAGTCACCACATTACTTACCACACCTTCCTTTCAGAGTTCCTGTTCGGGGTTTTGTGATTTTCCTTGTAATTGTTTAACTGTCATATGTAGATAAAACATGCACAACATTTTACATTTCACCACTTTAATTATGATTTGTCTTTTACAAGAAATGACTGACAATAAATGTTTTAATCGCCTTAAAACTTACATTAACTTATGAGCAATTGTTTAGTGTTAACCTTTTATTTACCAAACACTGCCAAAGTACAGTAGAAAAAAAGGTAAAATAAGACTAAGCCAGGAACTAAATGTATGTATACATAGTATGGAACACAAGCCAGGGAGCTAAATGTTTGTATAAATATTGTGGAACCCAAACCAGGGAGCTAAATATACACAAAGAAACAAGTTAAGCACCCCAGATATTTTCACAATGCCAAATGGCAAAAAACATGTCAGGTCCGCAATGGCGCTAAATGCTGGGACATTGAAATGTCATCTGATAGAATAACTATCTGGCAAGACAGAAACACAACATCGGTTAGCTGTTGTTAGAATTTAAGTCAATGAAAGGGTGTTGACATTGATATTGTCACATGAAAATGTTCCTTGAAGACACTAGTGTACGTGTTCAGTGAGACTAATCAGTAGGGGATGGATCCGCCACGTACCTGGATGACACATTCCACCCTACGTCTCATGCCTCATGACGTCGGATCTGGTCTCGGGTCAATAACAACAACTCAGCATGCAGAGCTGCCTCCAACTGATTGTAAATTCTGTACTGGAGGGTTCGGTGCCTGGATTCGCTGCCCTATAATGTCCCACACATGCTCTAGAATTGTCACTGCATTGGTCCTCATGTAATCCACTATGGCACGTGATTGATGAGACCTGGCGTTGTCGTCCATGTACTGAGGTCCTGTAGCAAGTGGATGGTTATCGAAATGGGGGACAATGACTGGCTGTAGGATGTCCCGGATGTATTGCGCTCCCGTTTAGTTGCCCCTGATGGTGACCAAATCCAGCCTGCAATCGTGAGAGAGGCATTCCCACACCATGACAGATCCTCCTCCATAGGCAACAGTTGGCAGAATGTTCCTGGGGGTCTAAGCTGTGTTCTAATGGCCCCAAACACGTGTACGTCCATCAGTAACATGAAGTAAGAAGCGGCTTTCGTCTGACCAATGGATTTTCCTCCAGGTCCTCAGATTCCACTGTGTACCATGCCCCATGCCATTCGTACATGTTTGTGGTGGTCTCTCAAGGGACGTTTAATGACTCTTTTGGCCTTCAATCCTGTCGCTTTGAGACGATTTCTGACTGTTCTGGTGCTGATGGGTCGATTGGGTAACCACACAGTCTCTTCCCATAGTTATACCTTGTATCACTATTTCAAATTATGGGGGGAAAAATTCATAAAAATATGAGGGAGTGCTTAACGTTTTTCTTGTGTATACATTTATACATATTGTGGAACCCAAGCCAGGGAGCCAAATGTATGTATACATATTGTGGAACCCAAGCCAGGGAGCCAAATGTATGTATACATATTGTGGAACCCAAGCCAGGGAGCCAAATGTACGTATACATATTGTGGAACCCAAGCCAGGGAGCCAAATGTATGTATACGTATTGTTGAACCCAAGGTAGGGAGCTAAATGTATGTATATATATATTGTGTGGAAGCCAGGTTGGAGTTACCAAAGACGTGCGCAGAAATGGTCAGCTGTTACATGTGTGCATGCGTTTATGAACATGTTTTTATATGAAACGTGCAGCTAGTTTTAGATTGACAGCTTCAACCATTCCTGTTACATCTTGATGTCACTCGTCTTCTGTTGATGATGCCGACCAGCAAGTATGCTAATCTGACATCTTGCATGGATAAGCAATACCTCTGAAAGACGGGATTCAGCCGCTGGGTTATGTGAACTGCATCAAGTTCATGGTTATCAGTGCTTTTATTGCTATATTTGTAAATAAAGATATTTTCTATTTTCTATGTGTTACTACATTGCCACCTGTTGTCAACTTGTGGTGAAGCAGGACCGAATGTGTCCTGAGAGGGGATTGGGTGGGTACGATGGCGGTCGTGAAGGGCCAGGTGGAAGGAGTGTCAATTCAGAGATGACAAGACTTTATGGATGATCAAATTCTTTATTTTGACAGTTGATCATCCATAAAGTCTTGTCATCTCTATACCACCAACTTCTAGAATGCCACTCAAACAAATCAAGAGGGTCAATTCCACAAGGCAAGATAAGGCTCAGAGGCTGACCAATACCAGTCAGAAGGAAGGAATACTAGTTCTATTACGACCAATAAAGGGTTAGTGGTCCTCTTGTCAGCTTTTCCCATATAAGGAAGTCACAGATTATCAGCAGCAACTGGGATATTGTATCATGGTTGTCACATTTTTGTTACATTTCTGATGCCACAGGAAGTCCTGGAGTAAACCTTTTTACCTGGCTGCGATAGGATGCACCAACTGTTCAGTTTAACTTGATAATAAATTCATTGGCAACACCTATAACAGGAGACAGAATATCACACTTTGAAAAAGAAGGGAGGTCTGACACTGTCAATATCGTGTGTGGCCACCTTTTTTCCATATGGACATGGCTGCAGCGGTTGGAAAGAGTCTGGGGGATGTTCCGAATGTCAACCAATGACTGGCCGAACTAACCAGCGTCCGTTGCTTGTTCTGGTTGTAGAGCAGGTATATCAATCTTATCCAAGTTGTATTCTTGGAGGGAGACGTTTGGAGAAAGAACGTGTGTGTGTGTGTGTGTGTGTGTGTGCGCGCGCAATGTTGTGCTGCCTAAAAGGTGTTCAACTGATGCTGCAAAGTTACATTCATGCTTTAACACATGGGTACAATATGACCTCAAATGATGTCTCGCTAGCTTATGCGATTGAAACGGAAATTAATGATGATGAGTTGTGTCCTACCATGAGTTGCGATGCCACCCCATACCATTACACTCCCAAACTGATGAGTCTGAGTAACTTAAGCTGTCCAGAAAACAACTAATCGTCTGTTTCCTGCCCCAGACGTGTCTTCTGAAGCTTGGATGCTGTCGTACACAAAGCTGGGCGTGCCAAACGGTGACATGGAAGCAAAATTGAGTTTCGCTGGACATCGGCACTGGGTGGGTTGAGTTCTATTTGAACCTACTCTCACAGAGTAACACCCAATAGAACACATGTTTCATAGATTGTCTTACGATGAACATTAAAATTACTCTCAAAGTCAGCTGCAGCATATCCATGATGATTTTATGCAGGTTGTAGCCATTGCTTAAGTGTCTGCCTATAAATGCATGTTTCTTTGGCTGACGGCTGAAAGTCCTTTCTTCAAAATGCAAACAATAATACATTTCAACGTTCATTTGCCTATATTTAAATTCACATATTTTTTCATACCTTATTGCATAACATCAGCTTAAAATAAACTTGATGGACAAGGAGGAAAGGTGTCAGTATAGGCCGATGTCTGTTTCATCTTCCTTCAGCTTATTTTTTGTGGATGTCATACACACATACACTATCCTTTCCCGCAACACACAGCAAACCCTTGTCAGCACTAACAAGGCATATGGGGTTCTTTAAGCCATCAGATGTGGTTCTGTGCTGTAGGACACTCTCACCACCTTCAGTAAATGCACACAGACCTCCCCAAAGGTAGTCTGCTACAAACATATATCCACCCTCTACCACACAGTTGCCGTTCGGTTTCCAGCCAGGACTAGACACTCGCCATTTTAATGTTCCCTTGGCAGATAGAATGGTGATACTTCCTCTGCCCCATTCGCTGAGGATGATATCCCCTGAAGAACTGAGTGACACAGCTGCAAGGGGTAAATGTAACTCAAATTTGAGAAATGTTTGCAGATTTCCATCAAAATCGTAGAGATAAAGGCCTTTTACTCCAGGAATATTTCCAACAACATAGCCAATTCTTTGAGCAGCAGCAAGGCAATATGTGAAGCTCTGGTTTTCATTTGGTTTCTTTCTATCAATTTGGATCTTCTTCTTGAGACACCCAGATGCTGTTATCAACCAGAGACAATTACCACTGATAGCCCCGATCTCTTTACCAGCAGCAGCAACAGCAAACGGATTAAAATCCTCGAATGTGATTTCTCGTCGTAAGTCGCCCTGAGTGTTGAGGACTTTTAGCTTCTTGTTGGCTTTGTCTGAGATTATCAGTCCGATACTAGAACTGTAAGTCATACCTTTGATATCAGGTTTACTCTTGTCGTGTTTGGACTTCCCACTGAAGACATTCTTCAGTGCCAGAGTGATGTCCATGCTCTTTGGGGAAGCCTCGCGTAGAGTTAATAGGAAATCTGATGGCTTACTGCTTTGTGAGGAACTAACTTGAGACGCAACTTGACAGTTCTCTTTTCGTTCAGTTTGGTTCGGTCTAATTCCGGGCAGCAAACTCCGTACATTTTGCAGCCTCTCCATGATCACTGTCTCCAGCATCACAAGCTCGTAGTCCTTGCCCTTCTCTAGGATGCGTTCACAAAAGTCAACACAACTGCTTGTCACAGTCTTCTTACGCACGACCTCCTCTAACTTACTGTCGTGTTCCTTTCCTGCAACTTTCCTGTCATCACTAACTTTTTTCAACAACTCACTTTTTCTGGCATTTATTGCAGCGATTTCTTGCTGAGCAGTTTCTTCAATTATACGTTTCTTTGCTTTGTCTTTCGCTTTGCCTTCATTTATCAGGGACAATATATCCTTTTCTTGAGCCTTTATTGTTGTCAATTCTTCTCTTACGGCTTCTACCAAACACTTTATCTCTGATTTGTGTTGCGTTACAGCTTCGGCTACTGACTGAATGGTGTGACCCTTGTGATCAGTCACCACACAGGATATACATGCTGGCTGGCAGCAGGATTCACACAGGTATTCCACATCTTTGTCCTGGTGGTGCTGGCAGAGAACCCTCTGGGTCTGCCTCAGTTTTGCATCATATTTTCCTTGCCGGATTTCTCCAAGAGGTACTACCTGATGGTGAAGTGTTAGAGAGGAGGCCGTGTGCCCCATGGAGCAGGCGGAACACAGGTAATCGCCACAGTCAAGACATCTCCTTTCTGCCCGGGACACACGGTTATTCAGACCACAAGGTGTGCATTCGTCCTTCTTCACTGCCTTAAATTCAACCAGATGTGTGAGTCCACTGATAAAAACGTTCTCGTTGAGACAACTTATCTTGTCTGGAAAGGGCTCCCGACACTGTAGGCATTGTACGGGTCTGTTCTCGGACCGACACGATTCCACATGAGAGCATATGCACTTGAAACAGAACGTGTGAAGGCAAGGCAGGATTCTGGGATCTTTAAACACTTGGAGGCAGATGCCACAGGTCAGGATGTCCTCAGGATGTGTACTGACGACCGACTGCACCACTAATGTCCCTGCCATGGTTCCTAAAACAGTAAAAACCGAAACATGAGTCTTATTAACCAATTCAGACAATACAAATTAATTTTGATTTTAAAGTTTAGATAAATCGTATTTCCATATTTTTAATGTCGAGGTTTAGGCAGCATGTTGTTAACTAAGACGTCACAGACTGCCCCTGTTTGAAGAGGTCGTACAATAATTCACAATTCATCTTGCTCACTAGTTACACCTGTTATGTGTTCTTTGCTCTTATTCAGTGTATTTTGTAACGAACTATGTGACTGATATGATATCAAGTCCGTACCAGACCAACGAGCCTCGTTTTGAGATTTCCAAGATTTCCAGATTTCCGTTTGTCAAAGCTCTCTGTACGACAGAGCACGGTGCACGACGTGTTTGGAAGGAGCGTGGTGTTGCAATATGCAAGTGATTAGAGGTATCAAATAATGTTGATTAATATTTATATACCCAGCTGAATGAGTTGGGCTCAAAATTCTGTACTGGTTATTGTACTAACTTGCGCAATAGGAGGTAACCCAGTCAGCAAGAAACGAGACTGTTGTGTAATCAATGTTTTGACTTGTAAATAGATCTCAGTGACTGTAGTGTGGCCTGTACTGAGACAAATATCTACACCATTGCTGTCATTTTTACTTTAATATTGCAAAATGTCCGAAAATAGCAGCCCGTGTTTGTTGTTTAAAAGCGGAGAAGTAAAGAACACAGTAAATGTCTATATGCAAAATCTCGTCTCTGCGTACCTCACAGCATTCAGTTTTCCCTCGGTCACAAACAATGGCGTGCTTGCTTCAGCTGTAATCCCACCCCAAAACATAACTCCAAAACGATCACATCACATGGCCTGATATAACGCTCACCTGTGCGTCTGTTGGCACGTGTTTTTTCGTCAGCTCTGCTCTATATAACTTACAGCTCCGGAAGTCTTAAAGGCACAATGTCACACATGTTCGACAATTGTTTGGCCTATATTATATATATTGGGGCATATACACTCACGTTAGCTTCGTATTGATGTAGTAAAAGGCATATTATCCCCTACGACTTGTCTGCAGTGGATAATTGAAACTTGGAGGCGAACAGCTTTCAAACAGAGAACACTTGCCATATATGGAACATAAACATTTGCGCCGCACATCGAAGACTGTGGCACGCCTGTTGTCGGCGTTTGCCGAACTGGTTTCAATCACAAGTTGTGCGTAGGATATTCGTAAAGAGCGCCCCAAAGGGACATAACTCTATGGTGATCGCTTGAAATAATGTTCGGGAGGTAGAGGGGGCGAGAGTCGATTTAATGCAACTTTGCATTAATTCATTCGAACTTTTTAACTCAATATTGTAATCTAAATGCGTAATGGTTTTTTTTAATAAACTGTATGGTAGCTTCCCCGAGGGCTGATAGTTAGTATTATTGAGAGAAATGCATTACTTATTTTTAGAGCAGTGTGGTGTGATATATAGAGGATACAGAACGACCTTCCGTGTAATACCATGTTTATTAAACGAGTTTATGATTTGCTATCCAAAGAGCAAAGCGAAACTAAATCTTCCATGAGTTTCATAAAATGGTATTTCACGGAAGCAAGTTTAGTATTTTGTATATTACTCTCCTACATAAATTGATAGAAACTGCCTATTGTAAACCAAAAGTCACTGTGTTCTGTAATCTGATTGGTTGAAAAAACATGATCAAATGGTATTCGAGTCCCAGAAATTGCAAAACTGTTCGCTGCGTATTAATACGTACAAATATCGCACACAAGTGTATTATTGCGTCGTCAGCAATGGTGACGTTATTCAAATCATATTGTGACGTAAAGTCGGAAAGACGCCACCAATGAGCAGTTGCAGATGCTACCATGGAAACATTTTCACTGATGTACCCGTACCCAATGTCAATGAGTGCAGACAGTAAAATGTGTGTTGACCTTTTGGTTTACTTTTGTGGTTACAATTAGGGCTTCAACGAGTCCATTTTTTTGGACTCGAGTACTCGAGGGGTGAGACTCGACTCGGACCGAGTACTCGAAATTCATACCTTTCAAGGAAACGATAGCGTAAATTGCATGACGTGTTCCGATCACACAAGTGAACACTTACTTCTTTCCGACTTCATATCGTCATGTGACTAACATTTAATATTGGTCAGAATCAGTATTTGGATGTTTACTTGACAAATGTTTTTTTTCTTCGTACTTCTTGTACTGCCTGCAAAACGCAGTGATATACCGCACAGGCGGCATTTGGTTATTTTGCTCTTTTCACTATCCAGATCAAGATACGCCCATACATTTGATATTTTACCTTTATCTATGTCTATCAATTATCAAGATAGTTACCTAATCATTTTAAGAAGTGAAATCTAACACGATTTAAATATTTAATCTCATCTACAGACTTGTAACAACTAATACCATACAGCCACACCGTGTGAGGAGTAAACTATTTAATCTAGGTGTTAATGAAAACATTATCAGATGGCTTAAAGAATTCAGGGCACATAGAACTCATTATGTCAGTGTCAATGGCTATCAATCTTCTTTTCTCTCAACCTCTACTGGAGCTCCACATGGCTGTGTTCCTTCATCCGTACTCTTCATTTTGTATACCAATGACTGTTACTTGTCAATATATGACTTGTTTACTGTGAAATTTGCAGATGACGCCACTGTTACTGGCCTAATTTCTGATTCTGAACATTATTATCATCAAGGCATTGACAAAACCGGAATGACAGTTTTTATCAAACCTTTATTCAAAGTGTGCTGACCTACAATTTTCTATGTTGGTATGAGGATGTCTCATCGCAACAAAAACAAACTTTTCAAAATGTTTAATACTGCTTGCAAAATTTCTGGAGTGTCTTTCGAGTACATTCCCTTTGTCTATGAGCGCCAGATCGTCAAAAAGGCAGCTAAAATGAGATTTGATAGTTGATATATTTGATCTCACCATTTTGAACTACTTCCTTCTGGACGCTGCTGTCGATTACCTTCCCTCAAAACAAACAGAGCTCGATAGTCTTTCATACCATCAAGTATTCGTGAATGCAAAAAATATTTTGAATCACCATCATGTGATTAGAACTAGAATTATTCAGCCTCTTTACCTATGTGGTTAATTGAATTATATCATGTCAGTTTTATTTGTAAATAGCATTCGTTTTGAGCATGTAATTATTGTGCATATTTTTGTGAACTATGTACATTATTCATTTTGAGACAGTTTGGATGTATAAGAATTTCCTCCGGGATAATAAAGTTACATCTTATCTTAATATTAGACGTTAACGGCCGCTCGTGCTTAGCACATGACAGACAGTCTGTCAACGTCAAATAATTCGGGTTATCTCCCCTTTTCGAGTCCTCGAGTCCTTGAAAATGGACTCGAGTCCAGCTGAACCCGACTCGTCCTCGCGTCCTCGAGTACCCGTGGAAGCCCTAGTTACAATGTCGATAAACATCATGTGTGTTGGCCAATTTCCGGGTGTTATTGAGTATTTGAAGCATGGGAATTCATTTGGAACCAACGGGTTAGCCGGAGGTTTCAAATTAAATATTCCCGCGCTTCAGATATTCAATAACAACCGGAAATTGGCAAGACATGATGTTTATCTTCTAAGTATCTTCCAAGGGCGAGTAATAGTGCCTTTAAATCTGTAATGGTTCATTTTAATCTCCAGAGAAAAAAAGTTATATGGTATGTGTGACCCGATTACTTCCTCATCGACCCACGACACACAACACCTTCATTGTACATGCACAGGGGACTCCCAGATATGGCTTCTCAAGTTATCGTCTAATGTCGCAAGCTCTGTATTGTAATCACAATGTCGAGGAATATTGTGTAGGGGTTTAATAAGGAACGCCACCTGACGGGATACACTTGGAGGGCCAGAAATATAAACCTCAGTAGCCTTAACAAAGGAAATCTTTTATCCATGTTTTTATCGTCAGGATATAGCCTTTTCTTCGTCCATACTGTCACATGGGACCCACTGTGTGTAACGTGAAGGTCAGCCAGTGTAGCCTGAGATTGTGGAATTAAGTACAGTATGTGTTTGTGTTCGTTACAACCGTAGGTTGCTGTTTGTGAAACGCTCACAGGTTGAAACTAAATAGTTAACCGGGAATCAGTCCATAAGAGAATTATGAGTGAAACCTAAAAGCAACAAAGAAACAATCTTAGTTTAGCTGTAATTAACAATTGTATTCTATAATCAAGTAAGCTGACGAAATGTACCAATCAATACAAATATATGACTATGGCAGTACAAACCCAGAGGTAATATAATTGATGAACAGTGATTAAAGTAATAATTAAACCCGTGTATTATTGCGTCGTCAGCAAATAATTAAAGCTAATTACATTAAAGTAATAACGAGCATAGTGACTTGTAATGTAATGTGAGGTAACTCTGCTGCACAAGGTATAACACTGTCTCATAACAAATATGAAACGTGAAATTCTGTCCACGATGTAGAGTATGTGCAGCGTGAAGATTGTGAAAGGTGAAATAATGCCTGTGCCGTGTACAATCTGTGCAACGTGAAGATTGTGAAAGGTGAAATAATGCCTGTGCCCCGTAAAGTCTGTGTAGCAAACCAATGTGTAACCCACGTAGCATATGCTTTGTCCACGTAACGCCAGATGAAGTGCAAGGGGCACGAAGTGGAATCTTTAGATATATCATCACGGTTTGTTAGCGATTCATACACACATGCTTGTGATAAAGTGACAATCGTACAATGGATTATACTTCTGGCAGATATTTCTTATGATTACGGACATATTTTAGTCTGTTTTATCTAATTGTATTGTGCATTGTTTACAGACAGTAGGAAGTATCAGAGGTTAGACTAAAAACAAACTTTCCTTTCATGTCGAACAACAGTTCCAGCCTTGGTGTTTACATTTCACAACTTTTGAGGTATCATATGTTTCCGAGTTGTTTCAGGGGAACAGTTGACTAGACTTTGCATGTGTAAATGTCGGTTGCCACTGGTGGGGAAGGATATACGCTCACCATTTCGCGAACACCTGGTATCATGACTATTTGATGGTGATTCATAAAAAACATGCTTCGTCATCGTATCTCATCAATCATTGGATTGTCTGGTCCAAATATTAGTAGTTGAAGTAATCGAACATGAAAGTATATTTTTTATGGATTAAACTTCTTTTTTAATTTCTCTCACAACGTTTCGAGACCATTCCAGGTCCCTTCATCAGGCGAACTGGCAGTTAGGACGACGTCATAGTGACGACGTCATAGTCCTAACTGCCAGTTCACCTGATGAAGGGACCTGGAATGGTCTCGAAACGTTGTGAGAGAAATTAAAAAAGAAGTTTAATCCATAAAAAAATATCTTGGACATCAATGTACAACTTCTAAATGCCACTGAAAGACATGAAAGTATAGAACATCCAGAGATCGCTGAAGTTAAATAACATTATGGCGATGAAACCTCTACAGGGGATATCTAATCGCAACAATTGAATTGTCATAATGCTATCACATCATCAGTTAATGACCTCACGATTCTTTGACATCGCTAAGAATTCAGCTGACAATGCTATGACGTCAGAAAAGTTGATGACATCACAATGCTATGATGTCATAAAGCTGATGACGTCACAATGCTATGACCTCACTGAGAAGCCTAATGGTAGTTTTGTGTTCAGATAAATTAGTTCTTCTACTGATGAAGAATCATGGCAAGCCTCGTACATTCATAACTAAAATCAACACGTGTTGATATATTTGAAATCAAAAGTCACTCGGGTGAGATTCTCTCTCTCTCTCTCTCTCATTCTCTCTCTCTCTCAAAATATATCACAACCAGTTGATTAAAGTTATAAATATCTCATACAAGCAATATCTCCTGTGGAACAGTTTTGGATGATAATATATACACACTCACTCACCAAAAAATAGTGAAATCTTCCTAAAATAGATTAGAATAACTTGCAGCATCAGATGTTTCGATGTAAAGGTAGGTTTGAAAGATCCCATTCCGTTTTTGGAGAGTATGTATTTGACAATTACAGTTCTAGATATATTTTTACCACGTAACCACTTGGTAGGCATACCAGAGATACAAGCATAGCTACAGGTTCATGTTTGATAAACATACACATCTCCCTTCTGATCCCCCACAAACAATAGACCGTTTTCATTAGCAGCAACATAAGATGGTTTCAGTAATCCATCACCTGCAGTGCTGTAATCTACAGTGTTGTTTCCATCAGTGCTAAAGACACACACCCCGCCCCAGTCATAATCAGCAACAAAAATAGTTCCATGAGTAGAGACACAGTTCCCATTGGGTTTCCACCTGGAATCATATTTCTCGCTCCGCCATTTGTCTTTACCTTCTTTCGATAGTAACCTCAGACTACCACTTCCCCATTCACTGATGAGTATGTCCCCTTTTGGAGTGACTGAGAGTGAAGCGAGAGGGGTCCGTGTCCGGCAGTTGACATACCTAGTGAGGGTACCATCAAGTCCATACAGGCGGAGTCTTCTGTCTCCAGGACTATTGCCAACAACAAAACCCACATGTTCCGCTGCAGCCAGACTGTACGTGAAGGGAAGGCTTTCATATGTTATGTATTTGTTCAACATTGTTCTGGTCTTCAGTGTGCCTACTGATGTGAAGATTATTAGGAAATTCTCACTGATTGAACCAATGATGTTACCTGCAGCAGCAACATCAAAAGGTTTAAATATGTCAGTTTTTATTTCTCGATCTAATTCCCCATTGGTTTTGAAGACCTTTATCTTCTTATTGGCTAGGTCTGATACAACAAGTCCAATGTTTAAACCATATGCTATTCCTTTGATGTCAGGAACCTTCAAATCAGATTTAATTCTTGCACTAAATTTGCTCTGAAATTTGAACTGGATCTTTGCGGTGATTTCTGATTCAAGTTGGCCACGAGTACAAGTCAGAGAATTACTGTCATCTTGTGTTGTTTCTGGCTCCAGGACACTGGTCACTGATTTATCCGTGTGAACCTCTTCATTTTCGATTATCCTTTCATCCTGTTGGTGAATTTGTCTTAAAAGTTGTTGCAGTCTTTCTGTGATGATAGGTTCCATCATCAGAACCTCGTCATCCTTGGCCTTCCCCAGCATGTGGTCACAGAAGTCCACACAGCTGCCCATCACAACCTTCTGTTGTAACACCTTCTGTCGTCTGCTCGCCTGTTCCTTCTCGGCAACTTCCATTTCATCTGTCAACCTTTTCAAGGAAGCATATTTTCTGGCATTTACTTTGTCAATCTCACGTTTTGCATGTTCTTCAATAAGTAGTTTCTTTGCCTTTTCTTTCAATTCGAGATCATTTTTCAAAGATAACAGTTCATTTTCCTGTTTTGATATCTTGTTTAGATTTTCACGAACAGCTGTAAGCTCTGCCTTCATCTCGGATCTAATGCGCCGTACTGCCTCTGAGATCGGCTGCATGCTGTGGTCCCTGTGGTTGTTGAGAACACAGGATATACAAACAGGATGAGAGCATAACTCACAGAAGTATTCCACGTGCTTGTCAGGATGCTGCTGGCAAACGATTCTCTGCAACTCTCTGATCCTTGAATCGTATTTTCCTTCTTGTAGGTCGCTGAGAGTCACGACCCGGTGTTCCAGAGTTTGGGAGGAAGCGTTATGACCCCGAGAGCAAGCCCGACACAAACAATCGCCACAGTCCAGGCATTTCCCCTCTGCTGTGGAGACTCTGTCCCGCAAACTGCAAGGAGTGCACTTACATTCAGTAGAAGTTTTACATTTCAGTAATTCCGTGAGGCCATTAATAAAAACGTTGATGTTCTCAAATGTGGTTTCAGTAAAGGGTTCACGGCACCGTGGACAGAGCAGGGATCTCTGTGAAGACTTTGATGATTCGGTGTGAGTGCATAGGCACTGTAGACAGAAGGTATGGAGGCAAGGTAGGATTCTGGGGTATGTGAACATACCGTGGCAGATACCACAGGAAAGGAAGTCATCTTGACCTAAATCAGTCACTGACTGACAGGGTAACGCCGCCATGTTATCTGAAAAATGGAAAACGTCCTGAAAAGCATGTCGATAGAAAAACATAACCTAAGTTTCCATAAGACATCTCTGCTAAATGCAGAGTCGATGGTACGATTCCAATAATCTGGTGACTTTGTGTTTATGAATTACTATGAAACAGTGTTTGGTGTATACGAAATGACTTGGAAACACGACTGGAAATGGAATGTGTTAAAACTTGTTGTAATACGGTATAATTATATGAAAGTACGTACTGTCATGCACCCAAGGTCACAGCTAGAGACATACTATTGTGTGCCTCTCGGGGCTCCATACATATAGTTACATCACTACCGTCATGTGTCCGGCAATTTGTCAATACTGAGAAAACTATAAGTGAATTTTTTATTTTGGACTTCCTCAGAGTTAGCGTTTATTCGAATTTTTTTAATATGGCAATCTCTCAAGAATAAGCCATCCCAGTGAACACCCAATGTACACCCCCTTCCCTACAGATCTGTTTCTTAATGCATGCACGGGTTTAAGTTAAGTACTCTACGCTTCAAAGACAGCCGTACTACCCTTGTCGAATGATGTTAGATCAGGGTTACAATATTCAAATTCATGCCTGGTGCAGTTATATACATTTTGTTCTATCTGTCCTCGTGTTTTTAGCCTTTGCAAGTGTTTGGAGCAGCACACTCTCTTTCGCGAAGACCTGGTATCAGCACTATGACGTAACGATTAATTTATATGATTTAGTTGGAACTATTGAAATAATCTTGTTATTAGCAGAGATATCAGATATATGTGTGCTGTGGTTATTGTGACCCTGAGGACGTATAACATGGCGCTATGTCACTAAAAGAAATCCTGTCTGTTACGTCATTAAACATCTTCAATGGTCGTGCAATGTCCACAATGTTGGACTGAGTGAGATTATTTCTCCCAAAATCTGAAAACAATCAAGTTTTCAAGTTATATGTTGAACACAAACGTCTTGGGTGGGGGTATATAACAAACACGGGTGGGGGTATATAACAAGCATGGGTGGGGTATATAACAAGCACGGGTGGGGTATATATACAAGCACGGGTGGGGGTATATAACAAACACGGGTGGGGGTATATAACAAGCACGGGTGGGGGTATATAACAAGCACGGGTGGGGGTATATAACAAACACGGGTGGGGGTATATAACAAACACAAACACGGGGGGTATATAACAAAACACGGGGTGGGGGTATATAACAAACACGGGTGGGGGTATATAACAAACAAGCACGGGTGGGGGTATATAACAAGGGGTATATAACAAGCACGGGTGGGGTATATAACAAGCATGGGGGTGTGGGGTATATAACAAGCACAGGGTGGGGGTATATAACAAGCACGGGTGGGGGTATATAACAAGCACGGGTGGGGGGTATATAACAAGCACAGCACGGGTGGGGGTATATAACAAGCACGGGTGGGGGGGGTATATAACAAGCACGGGTGGGGGTGGGGGTATATAACAAGCACGGGGGGTATAGAATGGGGTATATAACAAGCACGCACGGGTGGGGGTATATAACAAACGGGTGGGGTATATAACACACGGGTGGGAGGTATATAACAAGCACGGGTGGGGGGTATATAACAAGCACGGGTGGGGGTATATAATATGGGGGTATATAACAAACACGGGTGGGGGTATATAACAAACACGGGTGGGGGTATATAACAAGCACGGGTGGGGGTATATAACATAGCAAGCACAGGGTGGGGGTATATAACAAGCACGGGTGGGGGTGGGGGTATATAACAAACACGGGTGGGGTATATAACAAGCACGGGTGGGGTATATAACAAGCACGGGTGGGGGTATATAACAAGCACGGGTGGGGGTGGGGGTATATAACAAACATGGGTGGGGTTATATAACAAGCACGGGTGGGGGTATATAACAAGCACGGGTGGGGTATATAACAAGCACGGGTGGGGGTATATAACAACAGATTGGGTGAGGGTATATATACAAGCACGGGTGGGGGTATATAACAAGCACGGGTGGGGGTATATAACAAGCACGGGTGGGGGTATATAACAAAGCACAGATTGGGGGGTATATAACAAGGGGTGGGGTATATGAATAACAAAGCACGGGTGGGGGTATATAACAAGCACAGGTGGGGGTATATAACAAGCACGGGTGGGGGTATATAACAAGCACACGGGTGGGGGTATATAACAAGCACAAGGGTGGGGTATATAACAAGCACGGGGGTGGGGGTATATAAACAAACACAGAGGCACGGGTGGGGGTATATAACAAGCACAGGTGGGGGTATATAACAAGCACGGGTGGGGGTATATAACAAGCACGGGTGGGGGTATATAACAAGCACGGGTGGGGTATATAACAAGCAGCATATATGCCTGCGGGGTGGGGTATATAACAACACGGGTGGGGGTATATAACAAGCACGGGTATATAACAAACACGAGGTTGGGGGTATATAACACACAGGTGGGGGTATATAACAAGCACGGGTGAGGGGTATATAATATAACAAGCACGGGTGGGGGTATATAACAAACACGGGTGGGGTATATAACAAGCACGGGTGGGGGTATATAACAAGCACGGGTGGGGGTATATAACAAGCACGGGTGGGGGTATATAACAAGCACGGGTGGGGTATATAACAAGCACGGGTGGGGGTATATAAACAAGCACGGGTGGGGGTATATAACAAGCACAAAGCACAGTGGGGGTATATAACAAGCACGGGTGGGGGTATATAACAAGCACGGGTGGGGTATATAACAAGCACGGGTGGGGTATATAACAAGCCACATTTAATGCTATATGACAAACACCGGTCAACAATCAATTACGGTCTTGAATATAACAAGCGCGCATAAACATATAACAAGCTTCATAACAGCAGTACTGTGGTTTCAGAGTGGACTATACAGAACATCAGACGCATTAATACGCTCTCACTCACTCGCTCACTCACTAACTCACTCACCTACCCGCGGAGATCTGGGTTAGAACAAGTCGTCAGCAATCCATGCTTGTAAGAGGCGACTAACGGGATCGGCTGGACAGGCTTGCTGATCGACTTGGTAGAAGTATGTCATCGTATCCCATGTGTCAGTGGGATGATGTCTATCATTGTCTTCTCGGATCCACATGTTATTATTTACAGATCGCCGACATGACTGAGCTGTGTTAAACACTCACTTACACTGAAACGGCGCTCACTCTCTGGATTCAACTGTGCAATATGTCCAGCTTTTGTCGACGAGTGAAGGCGAATTGAATTCTCTTCCAAACGTCACGGAAGGATTTGATGCCTCTAAGCCCGATTGCGCAACCGGTCTACCCGGCGCGTATATCGATTGCACATGTCCTACGGACGGGAATACATGCATACAGGCTGCAGGCGTGACGGTCACATGCATGCTTCTTGTATACAATGCAGTACCTACCAGTCAAAGTCCACGGTAACCCGATAGACGTCAGCTCATGATCATTGTCTTCACCTAACGGACAAGCACATACTCAGCTGAGGTTGTAGACTACCGCCGCCATAGAGCTGGAATATTGCTGTGTGGGACGTTAACAACAAACATTTGCAGAATGATTCTCTTCCGCCCAGCGTTAATAAAGAAGCAATGAAAGGGAGATCACTCTTATACCCGGAAGTGCTTTAGTGTTAGATAGGTTACACAAAGACTTTTCCCATAGACCTCTATTGTAACGTTATATTTTTTTAAAAATCACCCAGGCTCTCAACAGCCATCCCATGTACTCAGGGGTACATTAAACAAGCCTTTAAACTACTGTAAAAACACAAATTCCGGCTAACTTAGCCTGCCAATTTTCCGAGCACAGGAAGCTGAACACATCAACCCCAGTTCCTCACCAAATGTCACCTACTTGAAAATATCTGTACACACATACGCATAAGTCATTGTGATATAAATGACTGCTTAAATACTTAAAATTGTGGTCAGTTTTAATTACTGGATGGGTGTGATTTTAAAAAAACATAAAGAATCTTACACTATTTCATCCAATCACAGCTGTCGCATGTTCTGCAGAAGGTTGGGTGTCTCGAATTATGTCGTGTAAAAGGTTGGATATCTCGAATAAATGTCATGTAGAAGGTTGGGTATCTCGAGTAAATGCCATGTATTGGGTATCTCGAATAAATGCCATGTAAAAGATTGGGTATATCAAGTAAATGTTCTGCAGAAGGTTGTGTATCTCGAATTAATGTCGTGTAGAAGGTTGGATATCTCGAATAAATGTCATGTAAAAGGTTGGGTATATCAAGTAAATGTTCTGCAGAAGGTTGTGTATCTCGAATTAATGTCGTGTAGAAGATTGGATATCTCGAATAAATGTCATGTAGAAGGTTGTGTATCTCGAGTAAATATAATGTAAAACTCATTTAAAAGCCGTTGTGTCATCAATATTAGTGTTATGGGGTCGGGCATAGTGCAGTAGTTTTAATAGGCTGCGATGCACGTGTAACTGTCTGACGGAATCTGGAGCCACATTACCTTCAGTAGGGAGACACTAGGGGAACAAATCACTTTGCAGAGTTGCGTCCCTTGGCACGTCAGAACCCTATGGATCGTGGGTTTGAATCCAGTTTCGATCCGATTGTTTCAAACCGTACCGTGCTCGTAGGTTTGACCAGTGTGGTAAACTTACTTTGGGCCTTCTGCCCATATTAATCTAACTACCTGTGATATAACTGGAAAACTGTTAATAGCGGCGTTAAACCCAACTCACTCACTCACACACTCACTCGGCTGCAACAGTCTGTGGCAAAAGCTTTGGCTCTTTGACATTTTATGTCGATTTTAATTTCCGTATATGGAGACTGCTGCAATAACTAGCACAGATACATCGAAACAGGCGCTTTATATATGTCCATTATTTTTATTAGTAGTTCAGTTTTAATCACGGAAGGTGACTTTTAGAATATCCTTTACAATATATCAAAAGTTTTGTTTTCGTCCGTATTCTCCTTTAACTTGACTCGATTGTGGAAAGTGGTGGCAAAGGTTCCTACTGGCCAAGGGTACCGTTATACTGCCGTCGTAAAGTGTCAGCGTTATTCAGTCTTACTGGCCACACAGTATGTCCATCTCACTGGCTTCATCAGCTTACTGCCTAGCCAATTATGTTAATTATGTTGTTTTCTTTGTTACATTCAGTGTAGATATATATCCCCCTCTTCATGTATCATTCCTCACAACGGTACAAGAATCTGTATCACTCACGATTTAAAGAAGTTGTTATGCTTAAGTTTGTTCAATTTCCTACCCGACATGCCATGTCACTGTGGTGAAGCTCTGCTGTACTTGTCATATACATAGACTGAAAATATTAACTGACTTTCTTGTCCTGATCGAAAATGATACACGTTGGCATAAATATATGAAACATTTGAAATCAGTATACTGCCACGAAGGTCCGTGTAATGAAATGTGAAACAACGTGAACACTTTGTTGAGGATATACTCCGGAAAGAGAATAATTCCTTTCCATTTGCGACAAACTAAACACACAAAACTGTTTTCCACCGATATGTCTCTTTCCATGAATTGTTTCCCATCCACTGTCAAGGAACTCCTAGAAAATGAGTGTCTATTCACCACTCTCTCCTAAAGAAAACAGGAACCGTCTCGAGGCTTCTCAGTGTTTGTTCCGTAGTGTGTACTTGTTAATACTGCCTTTAGCATCAGTGACATAGAGTGAACCCAGCTCGTCCAGTGCTACATGACTTGGACAGTACAGTCCATCAGGTCTAGTTCTGTACTCTAGACATTTCTCACCACTTGAGCTATAAACGTACACTCCCCCCCAGTCGTAGTCCGCGACGACAACAGTTCCATCAGCTGACACACACGTCCCATTTGGTTTCCACCAATAATCATGTTCCCGACTGGTCCACCTTGCCTTCCCTTCAGTCGACACGACTCTCAGACACCCGCTCCCCCATTCACTAATGACAATGTCCCCTGTCGGACTGACTGACAGAGACGCCAGGGGGAAGCTCACGTGGAAGTCCAAATATCTGTTCACAGTACCGTCAAAGTTGTAGACGCGAAGTCTTTTGACGCCATGGATATTGCCCACCACAATCCCAACGTCTTCAGAAGCGGCTAAACTGCATGTGAAGGGTAGACTTTCATCTGGTTTAGTTTGGTTAAGTTTGACCTTGGTTGTTAGATTACCCTTTGATGTGAAAATACATAAAAAATTCTCACTGATGACAGCAATGATTTCGCCCGCAGCAGCAACAGCGCGGGGATGGAATCCATCCATTGTGATTACTTCTTTCAGATCACCCTTGGTGTTGATCATCTTGACCTTTCCGTTGGCCAGATCGGATATCAACAGCCCAGCGCTGACACTGTATGCCGTTCCTTTGATGTTAGGTTTAATGGCATCACCTTTAAATTTTGTAGGAAATGTTCCTTGAAATTTGATGGTATATCTCGGTGGAGCAGTTTTGTTCAGTGGTACACTGGAGGCAGTCTCTGATTTCTGATAGCTGTCTTGTGTTTTGTCCTTGTGTACGTCATCCTTTGCAGGAGTAAGTGCAACTTTCTGGAGAACAGCCACAGCAGGAGTCAGTGCATCTTTCTGGAGAACAGCCACAGCAGGAGTCAGTGCATCTTTCTGGAGAACAGCCACAGCAGGAGTCAGTGCATCTTTCTGGAGAACAGCCACAGCAGGAGTCAGTGCATCTTTCTGGAGAACAGCCACAGCAGGAGTCAGTGCATCTTTCTGGAGAACAGCCACAGCAGGAGTCAGTGCATCTTTCTGGAGAACAGCCACAGCAGGAGTCAGTGCATCTTTCTGGAGAAAGTGCAACTTTCTGGAGAACAGCCACGGCAGGAGTCAGTGCATCTTTCTGGAGAACAGCCACAGCAGGAGTCAGTGCATCTTTCTGGAGAACAGCCACATCAGGAGTCAGTGCATCTTTCTGGAGAACAGCCACAGCAGGAGTCAGTGCATCTTTCTGGAGAACAGCCACAGCAGGAGTCAGTGCATCTTTCTGGAGAACAGCCACAGCAGGAGTCAGTGCATCTTTCTGGAGAACAGCCACAGCAGGAGTCAGTGCATCTTTCTGGAGAACAGCCACGGCACATCCTCTGATCTGTTGGAGTCTGTCCATAATCATTGTTTTCATCATTAGTAACTCTTCATCTTTGCCGGCGTCGAGGATGCTGTCACAGAAGGCGACACAACTACTGATCTTGCGTTTCTGTTGCGAGAGCTCTTCTAGCCGGGCATTATGCTCCTTCTCTCTTTCTTTTGTTTCAGTGGAAAGTTTATTAATTGCATCAAGTTTTCTGTTGTGTATTTTTGCAATTTCTCGCTTTGCATTATCTTCAATACCAGATGTCTCTAACTCTGCTTTCAATTTCAAAGATTTGGTCAAAGATAAGATACTCTTTTCCTCTTGGGAAATTAAATTGAATTCTTCGCGGACGACCCGCACTTTAGAGTTCATTATTGATTTAATTTGGATTGCAGCTTCTTCGATAGGTTGTGTGTTGTGGCCCTTGTGGAGAAGAACAATGCAGCTTATGCACACAGGTAAACGACAAGATTGACAGAAGTAGTCTACATGTTTGTCCTGGTGGTGTGGACACCCAATTCTCTGTAACCGCCTGAATTGGTCATCATGTAGCCCTTCCCAGAAATCTTCTAAAGAAACAATCTGATGGCCGAATGTTTGGGTGGAAGCGTTGTGTCCATCAGCACACTTTGAACAGAGGTCATCTCCGCAGTTAAGACATTTCTTCTCTGCAAGGGAGGAACGCCCTGTCAGTCTACATGGCGTGCATTGATTCGACTTGGCAGACTTAGACCTAGCAAGTTCAGTAAGTCCCTTGATGAAGACGTTATTCTTGAAGGAATCTACCTCAGCTGAAATGGGCTCTCGACATTGTGGACACTGTCCTAGTGCACGTAAACAATTAAAACAGACGGAATGGAGGCAAGGCAGGATTCTTGGATCCGTGACCGTCTCCTGACAGATGCCACACGTCAAGAAGGCATTTGGGATGGAATCAGCAACTGACTGGTCAGGCAACGTTCCGGCCATCGTGGCTGAAAATGGAGACGGACACATTTCGATAGAAAAATGTCTGTCTGATATCTGATTAGTGGCTCAGAGAAGCTGATTTGTTTGTGGACCTTGCTGGATTAGTTTAGTATATAAAATAAGTAGTGTAAATGTGATGCTTTAGAAAATAACAAAATGTGGTCGCTTGTCTTATCAACTCTTCATCATAACACATTCATTGACTAAACCCATACCTGGGAACAAAAGAAGGAGCGATAACACATTCATTGACTTACTTAACCCATACCTGGGAACACGGGAGACGCAGCGATAACACATTCATTGACTTAACCCAGCGATAACACATTCATTGACTTAACCCATACCTGGGGAACAGGAGACGCAGCGATAACACATCCATTGACTTAACCCAGCGATAACACATTCATTGACTTAACCCATACCTGGGAACGGGAGACGCAGCGATAACACATTCATTGACTTAACCCAGCGATAACACATTCATTGACTTAACGCATACCTGGGAACGGGAGACCCAGCGACAACATTGATTCATTGACTAAACTCATACCTGGCAACAGGAGACGCAGCGATAACACATTCATTGACTTAACCCAGCGATAACACATTCATTGACTTAACCCATACCTGGGAACAGGAGACGCAGCGATAACACATTCATTGACTTAACCCAGCGATAACACATTCATTGACTTAACCCATACCTGGGAACGGGAGACCCAGCGATAACACATTCATTGACTAAACTCATACCTCGGAACAGAAGACGCAGCGATAACACATTCATTGACTAAACTCATACCTGGGAACGGGAGACGCAGCGATAACACATTCATTGACTTAACCCATACCTGGCAACAGGAGACGCAGCGATAACACATTCATTGACTTAACCCAGCGATAACACATTCATTGACTTAACCCATGCCTGGGAACGGGAGACCCAGCGATAACACATTCATTGACTAAACTCATACCTCGGAACAGAAGACGCAGCGATAACACATTCATTGACTTAACCCAGCGATAACACATTCATTGACTTAACCCATACCTGGGAACGGGAGACCCAGCGATAACACATTCATTGACTAAACTCATACCTGGGAACAGAAGACGCAGCGATAGCACATTCATTGACTAAACTCATACCTGGGAACGGGAGACGCAGCGATAACACATTCATTGACTTAACCCATACCTGGGAAGGGGAGACGCAGCGATAACACATTCATTGACTTAACGCATACCTGGGAACAGAAGACGCAGCGATAACACATTCATTGACTTAACCCATGCCTGGGAACGGGAGGCGCAGCGATAACACATTCATTGACTAAACCAGACAGACAGACACAGGCAGCCACTTTATTCGGTAATATACGGCCTTATGGCCCATTTTACAGTTAATATATAATGTATTTTTTTTAATGTCACGTGAGCACAAATTGAAATAGTTATCTAGCAATAAATATATGTTTTAACAATGTTGCAACTGCATGTATAACAAGAGGATTGTGATAGTTTAATAAATATACGATTAACATATTGTTTTTATGGACATGTTTAATGTGTGGAAGATATTTCTCTCTCAAATCTTTATATTTATCACAAACTAATAATACATGGAATTCATCTTCAATAAAACCCAATTTACAGTTTGCACATTTAATTAGGTATGACTAAACCCATACCTGGGAACAGAAGACGCAGCGATAACACATTCATTGACTAAACTCATACCTGGGAACGGGAGACCCAGCGATAACACATTCATTCTATCATGGGACTAAAGCGATAACTCATTGACTAAACTCATACCTGGGAACGGGAGACCCAGCGATAACACATTCATTGACTAAACTCATACCTGGGAACGGGAGACCCAGCGATAACACATTCATTGACTAAACCCATAGTGGGGTGATGGGGTGTAGCTGCACACGCCTTGCTCATAAGCCTCTCACGTCGGTGTAGGAAGTCCCACTACACTTGATCGAGGACAACCTAGGGCCCCTTCGCTAACAATGGCAAGCACCAGTGGTCAGCACTCATACATGCTAAAACGGGTCAACTGTCAGGTCGGTGTTCAACTTATCCTTGTTTGCCAGTAGTTTGGGTCAAGTTCGGGTGCCTTTCAAGTAATGATATGTTGTCACCAGGTTTAAGTATTTTCACGACCGCCGCGAATAGCTGGAAAATCGTGGATGCGGCGTAAAGCAGTATTCATTCTTCCATGCGCGATACGTGTTAACCTGTACACGTCACTCTACTGAACCGAGCCCGAAAGAATTATATCAATCTCAAAATACTTGCCTGTACACGCCAGGATAGACACGGTGTCACCCTTGATAACGTTGTATGGCTGTTTCCGCGTTGGAAGACTCTCGCCAGGTCACACTATCCAGAATAGCTGTATCGAACAGCTCCCTTGAATAAACTGAGGTGTCCGGGAGGGTGTATACTGTATTTTATTACCCACGAGGTCAACGTATGGGTAGTTGCATACTTATCTCGTACGTCACACGAGTGTCGTATCGCGTTGACCTGTGTCGTAACGACATGACCTGAGATTATAACGATTTGATTGGATAACCGATGACCTCTCAATTAGGTCACATTCTGACATAACTATTATTTCATTCATACCAAACACGTGAATTCATTTATTCTACAACTTAAATGCATTGTGGGAATGTAAACATTGCAGACGTTGCCGTGTCGTTGTTTAATTGTGAGTCAAAATGAGACATTATATCCGTCGAAAAACAATGTTTCCACCAGTAATGTTAGCCGAATGAAGCAACTGGAAACCAAGAAACGAGGTGCTACGGAGTAGTTTACTGTAGGAGGCTGTACGAGGCGATGACAACTGACATGCATCGTGACGTCGGTTACCAAGGCAGTGACGTCATTACAGTGTGACGTCATGCAAATATTGTACTACAGTACATAACTCTTCCGCAACCTCTTTATGAAACCGGTTTCGGTTTGAAACCAAAAACAACAAAAATACGCCTTTTGTCAATTTAATGCATGTAAGACGGGGGTAATAAATAAAATACCACACTCGGTCCCATTACATACAAATTATACGAAACTCGTGACCTTCCTATGATATCTAACCTCGCTTTCGCTCGGTCAGATACCATAGGAAGGACACTCGTTTCGTATAATTCGTATGTAATGAGACCGAGTGTGGTATTCTGTATATATCGACCCACACACGTGTCGCGTTACAGACCCCGTTAAACGGACAGCTGTCGTATGTACACGTCATACTGATGTAAACCCGATTACATAAAGAATACTACCCCAGTATACAGCGTCACTGCAGTCGCATAATATCGCCTACAGCTTTCATTAGCGTCTTAAAACGTTAAAATCGGTTCCTTCAATGTCACTCCGAAGGCAGCAAAAGCACAAATTGACTGTCACGTGACTGTCGTTGCATAATGGCTACATTGCAATCAATCATGGTTTCTCGTATGCACGTATCTCAGCCGGGTGAGAGTGCTATGTTGATCCAATGTTCTGTTTCATATGTCATCACCTCCGTATCGGCTCGATAGTTGACGAGATAAACTTTCCTTTAAAACCACCCCAAATCCCAACATTTATATGTAATTATCGAGATAAAACTGATGCTTTACAATGGGTAGCACATGGAAGAGGTTACGGTTACTGGTCAGGAATTAGTATATTATTAGTTTGAGTCGCCAGCTTGTGTTGGAAACTTGTGCACCATATGACACTATATGACACTGTTGAGTGGCTAGTGAGTAAGGCTAATATTTTAGAGACACTTACCTGTGAATTACGGGTACAAAATTATATGGCCTCTGGTACAGCCAACTCGAAAAAACAAATGACAATTTCTGCCACGTAAATAAGACACCAGGAGTTACTGCCCTTTTAGAACCACCACGTGGTCGGTCACACAGACTCAGTGTTAATGGTAGTAAAGTTCCTGGACATTCAGTACTGGGTAGTACAGTCCCAGGGTATTACGTACTGGGTAGTAAGGCCCCAGGACATTAAGTACTGGGTAGTAAGGTCCCAGAACATTCAGTGCTGGGTAGTAAGGCCCCAGGACATTCAGTACTGGGTAGTAAGGTCCCAGAACATTCAGTACTGGGTAGTAAGGCCCCAGGACATTAAGTACTGGGTAGTAAGGTCCCAGAACATTCAGTGCTGGGTAGTAAGGTCCCAGAACATTCAGTGCTGGGTAGTAAGGTCCCAGGACATTCAGTACTGGGTAGTAAGGTCCCAGAACATTCAGTACTGGGTAGTAAGGTCCCAGAACATTCAGTACCGGGTAGTAAGGCCCCAGGACATTCAGTACTGGGTAGTAAGGTCCCAGAACATTCAGTACCGGGTAGTAAGGCCCCAGGACATTCAGTACTGGGTAGTAAGGCCCCAGGACATTCAGTACTGGGTAGTAAGGCCCCAGGACATTCAGTACCGGGTAGTAAGGCCCCAGGACATTCAGTACTGGGTAGTAAGGCCCCAGGACATTCAGTACCGGGTAGTAAGGCCCCAGGACATTCAGTACTGGGTAGTAAGGTCCCAGGACATTCAGTACTGGGTAGTAAGGCCCCAGGACATTCAGTACTGGGTAGTAAGGTCCCGGGACATTCAGTACCGGGTAGTAAGGTCCCAGGACATTCAGTGCTGGGTGGTAAGATCCATGGACATCCAGTACTGGGTAGTAAGGTCCCAGGATAATCTGTGCTGAATAATTCGGTTCCAGGGCATTAAGTACTGGGTATTAGGTCTCAGTACTGTGAAATTCACAAAGCCAAAGTGTAAAATCTGAACAGGTAGAAATACCATGAAGGTGAATGGTGAATTACGTGATATTTAGCATGCCATTAAACAGGAGAAAACTGTCAAACGACGATTGGGAAAAAAGGCTTGAGTAAATCCAGGATTGAAATTGATCGTCAAATTTGGGTCACCTAGGAAAAACAAGTTAACATGCAGATTATAAATGAGAAAGTACGTCAGTTCAACGCACGAATCTCTGAAACAAAATCCAACTCCAAGAAACTTTTTAAAATTCTGAAAATCTTCCGGAAATGTTCTCCCTGATCTTGGTTAGGACTTTGAAACATCAGTAGTCTTTTGCAAATACTTCCGTGATAAAACTGATGCTAGCGATGAGACAACAGAAGACCAAACTATGAAGCAAACATCGGTGTAATGTGTGACTCGGAATCGAGCGACAAAGACTCTTTTACTTATCTGTCACTGTAATGGGCTTCACACATTGTACCCATGTGGGGAATCGAGGGTGCACAGAAGAAGTGCTGAAATTGATCAAACAGCTACAAGGAAAAAGTTCTGATCTGGATGCGATTCCAATACCGCTCCGTCTGGAATGTATTGAGTCATTTATTACTTATCTCATAAGTGTGTCACTGCAATCTGGACAAGTGCAAAGGTCGTTTAAACATGCCATGGTTAGTCCCCAGCGATAGAAGGTGCGACTAGACAGGAACACACATAACAGCTATAGGCCTGTATCAAACCTTACTTTTCCATCGAGGCTACTAGAGGAAGCAGTCTTCAGGATCATCTGACCAGAATCAGTTTGCATAAAGAGACCAATCAGCTTACAGGATTGGACATAGTACCGAGACAGTCACCAATGACATCCTAACATCTGCGGACCAAGGGCAGATTTCAGCTCTAGTTTTATCAGACTAATCTAGCTTCTGATACAGTGGACCACAAGATATTGTTAACAACTCTTGAATGATAACGGAGCACCACTGACACCGCACTTGCCTGGTTCAAGTCATACCTGTCTGACAGGTACCAGATTATAGCTGTCATCTTTTCAAGATCGCCTGCCTGTGAGCTGGAGAGGTATACCCCAAGGTTCAGTATTGGGACCAATCTTGTTTACACTATATGCAAGATCACTTGGTCATGTTGCTGCAAGACATGTCCATTCAGTAGTAGGTAGTAAGGTCCCAGATTATATTTTTAGAACAAAATCGCCTCCTACCTACTTACATACGTGCAGGGCGGTGCTAGAGACAAGTGGTTGATCGAAGCGTCCGTTCTTCGCGCCAGAAGCTCAGGTTCGATTTTCCTAGGTGAGTAAGTTGCGTGAAGTATATTCCTTACGTCCGACGCATTAAAACCCATTAAAATTCAACACTAAACCCAGGATCCCCATATAGGTGCATCAGGCAGTTAAAGTTCCAGCACAGAGAAAATGAACAACATATGTTTAAATAAGTATAACGCGTTGGGACAAGGTGTGAGTTGTCTACAATGGCCGAGAAGGATTGAAACAGGAAGATATTGTGTGTATATCCCAGTCGTGATGAAAAATAGAATATTTTTCGTTTGAGGGACGAATCAGAAAGAAATTAGTTTCTCTTTACGTCGGAAAGCACAAAGGGAGGTAACTGGGTCTCGTAAGATGTATACATAGGCTTATATTGCGGGCTGACTATATTGAAAATGAATGCTAACTCGCCCACATCTAAGAAGTTAGACGACATTGTACATCATTTAGAGAGATCCAAAGTCGAATTAGCACAGTCAGTTGAAGATCGTTTACGTGGTTTTCGAGAAGAAGTTGAGAAAACAACCAAAGAAATATCCAAGCTGAAAGCTAATAAAGATTTTATAGGGATAAAAATAAAGTTGTTGAATTCAACACTCCTTCAATGCTGAGACTTTGGACAATCTGGGACAGTTAAAGTTTGCGTTAGTAACTGTTTGGTATGCAGCTAGTTTTCGATCATGGTTATGTCCTGGGAACGTTTGGTTTACTGGTGAAAGAAGTATATCCACCTACTCACAAAGAGATTTATGTCCCAAGTAGACAAGGTAATGGCCTATTTGGCTTTTCTAATTTACATTTTTACATAATAGCGATTCGAATTCAGTTTTGAATTTTTCATTACAGGTGTTTTTGATAATATGTTTGGTGACGAGGTAGCCCATCTACCGCCTAATATGAAGAAATTAGCTGAAGCCATACCAGGATTGCTTTATTTTGCAAGAGCGATTTCGACGTGTAAAAGGTATGCGTATGGTTTCTGTGTATGTTCTCCAGTGGGCTGTACCTAACAGTGTGCCGGTAACTTTATCGTTATTTCACTTACATTGCGCGCTTTTTTTGCTGTCAGTGATACTACGGCCACCGACTGACTATATTGAACGCTTGAATATTCTATCATTTATGCGTGATACCGACAGACGTGTCCATGAACATTGAGCTGGATTACTGCTTATGGTTTATGTGGTCTGTAGCCGCTGCTACTGATAGGATGACCAGGAGGGTGCGCTTTGGTTGCATGCTGTGCTGTCGAGTCCCTAGAATACGTTGACAGATGGATCGGTTTCCATCCATAGTTATAATTTCAAACACCCTAGTTGTGAGAATATGAATTTGGGATGTAACCTGAGTATGCGCTGACGAGTCATCAGAATCCATGATTAGACATTGATGCCTGTTTATATATTCTGGAAATGTGATTTAGTTACAATTTAATCATGTAAATGTGATATCAATGAAGGTGTGTTGATGATGTTAATTATTTTGGAGAAGTTGGTGTTGTCGACGATGTTGGTGATGTGGATATGTATTAATGACTAAACTGAGATCGGCCAGTTCACCGTATAGTATCCCGATATTTTATGGCTGGATATTTCTGTGTTCAGGAGAGAAGAGAAGAACATGAGATTCACGTGGATCACTGAACACACACGTGCAATCTTGACTGACTGAGTTTGGTTTTACGTCGCGTCGCTTTTAGCAACATTCCAGCAACATCACAGCAGGGGACACTAAAAATGGGCTTCACACATGGTACCCATGTGGGGATACGAACCCGGGTCTTTGGCGTGACAAGCCAACGCTTTAACCACTAGGCTACGTGCAATCTTGTCTTCCAGTAGTACGCCAACAAGTAGCAGAAAACAATACGATATTACTGTTACTTAGCTGCACCTTTTCAGTATAGCGTCGTCTGCTTGTTTATTGTATGACGTATCATTATCACGACATATCACGTGGTGTTGCCGTCGTAAAAGATATATATGGAAACTGGATAGGGTCATCTCTTATTACGATTTTCCAAAATTCTCATTTAATTTTCGAAACTGCAATGCATATTTCTGTGTCATGGGCCCAGTGTACTCATCCTGCATGCTGTCATTGGGTCCACCTCAAGCTGTGCACCTCCGTATGTGTAGTGAGATCTTCTGATGAGTTTTGGTGCCCTTGTCAGCGCGAACCGGAGGAGTGAAACATGCCTGGACATGTGATGTAACTAGCGAAGTCTTATCATGATTAACTTTGATATGAAATTATTACGACCATAGTTTCTAATAATTATTATTGGAACTATTACAAATATTCTTTTTGGACTGGATGTTTATCAACTTTATATTATAAAAATATCAGCATAGCACGAATACTGCTATTAGATTTCTGTTTTACGGAGAACCAATGAAGTGAACGAAAACAGATGACGTCATTTCCGCATTCACGATCTTTGCGTAGCGAACTATGAGGCCTGCTGTGCGGGTGAAACACAAGGTTAATCCGTCAGATATTTGAGTATCATAAATAAATAACAAACAAACGAGGTAGATTTGTTTATTATCGATTTATTTATGCACTTAATGTTACGTTGGTCGACAATCCTTACATGACAGAAAACCGAATACACAAGGATACTTATCATATTAACAAGTAAGTGTTGCGTGATTAATGCTCATGTGTATATATAATGAAGAATATGACAGAGAACATTAAATAGTGTCATCTATTAAAATATGTAACAAAATGACGTAACACATGATGTGGCACGTTAAATAAGACAACCTATCAGTATATAACGGTGAATAGAGCCTAGAACATT